GGAGCAGCTTTGAGATTCCCTAAAATACTCAAGTAAACATTGGGCTTATGCACAGCAACAAAACCATGACCTTAAAGAGCACTTTCAAAAGCAATTTCCCTCCCCTACTACTGCATGTAAACAGAGTAATTGTACTTGGGAGACTCCCAGTGCCAGCTGAGAGTGATTTATTTCCACGTCATCCACAATGAAATCAAAGCCACTATGATAACTGTTATGACAGCAGGAACATTTCACAATAATACATTCATTATTACTGATTAAAAACACTGTTATTTTTACAACCTGACTGATAATAGATTTGTCTTTGAAACAATTTTAAAGTTTACAAAGTTGAGAACAGAAAACATAATTGGGACCTGGAAAATACAAACTACTTTGAGTCCGTCCTTTTTGTTTGGTTCTCTTAGTCCTGCAGTGGGTTGGACCGCTTATTCATACAGCTCCAAGAGAGCCTGATATAAAAGCAGTGTCTGATTCCAACTTTGCACTTTAACTTAAGAGCTTGCACCAGCTGAGATCGCATCAATTTGAGTTACATTTAAAATCGTATTCTTTGATTAAGGAGTCGACAGCGGTTGTTTTTAGCTATTGGCGCGTCAAAGGTTATGAGACATAAGAGAAAAAACCCTGTTAAGAATATTTCTGTTATTTTTGACCATAGAGTTCACTTAAAAACATCACAAGTAAGAACAGGAAATCCAAAACAGCAATTGGGCTGCGTAATTTTATTTTGAAACGATGATTGATTGGCAGCTCTGTTGGCGAATGGGGGCTGTTGCAGCGTTCATTCCCAGACTGTTGGTGTAGAGGAGAGAAACACTGACGTTTGAGTCACTGAACTGTCTATGTGGGAGTGGGGGGGAAAGTGGACCTGACTACTCAGGGCCCGAGTAGGGAGAGGGGCCCATGAAAATCCAGTTTTTCTGTTTTTTTTGTTTTGTTATATTTTTATTTAGAATGAATTAGACTCTCCAATTAATTGGTGTCTTCGTTTATTTCAAATATATTGATAACATTAACTAAGAGAAAGAACTTTATGTCAGTCTTAGCAGCATATCAGACATTCTGGGGGCTCCCTCTTGGAGACACAAAATGGTTTAGTCCGCCCAACAGCGATCGGCAACAAATGTGACATAAGTGGGTGTTTGAGCACAAGTAGGCCATTAAGTCAGGTGGTGAATGAAAGAACAACTCATCAATATAATCTGATCTGATTGTAGCTTAAAACCTGATTTTTGCTTTTTTAAAATTTTAAATAAAAACCCTTTTTTTAATGTTTCTTTTCTGTTTTTTGCTCACGCGCCTCGTGCACTGGCACAGATAGCCCGCTGACATCAGGAGTGAAATTTGGTGCTCCTCCCCTGCCATAAGGTTTGGCTTTCAGAACCCGTCTGAGGATTGTGTGGCATCTTTGGTACTCATTCCTCATTAATCTAGTTACATCTTAATAATCCTTTATCACAACTACACCAGAAACAGAGAAAAGAAACGTTAGTATACAAAAAGGTATAGACAGATGTATAGCATCAGTCATTTTCCCACACTGAGAAAAGAAGGAAAAAAAACAAGAAGAGAAAAAATGAAAAGGACGACTCAAAGAATTAAAATAAATAAATAAATAATATGATTCTACCATAGTTTTTTATTGTAAAGGTAGCTTGTGGTTGTATTTCTGTTTTTCTTGTAGGTTATTTGATATATGCACGTCAAATGTATTCTATCTTAACAAATGCAATAGTCTTTTAATGATGAGTGTTGAGTTTTCGTTCACTCACAGCACTCTTATATATCTGACGCTTGAGTCTCAAGGCTGTTACCTCTTTTTCACTCACTTTGAGACAATCTCACACAGGATAAGCAAAATGTATGTTACCAATCTGTACTTGAGCTGATTTATGAAATGTAAACAAAAATAATTGCACAACTACACTAGCAGATGCTTGCATTTGTGTGCTGTAGTTTAAATATGTTGCATCTGTTGTTGGCGTCTCTGTTTACAGAGATCTTTCACAAACTGTGGATCGTAGATGTTTATGTCAGGGAGACCTTGGTGCAATGACAGTGTAAAACACTTCACTCACTTATTTTTCCTCTTTTCCCTGAGCAGTACACGCTCTTTGTTCAACTCTGTAATGATAACATTTGTCTGCCGTGTGCAGCTGCATGTGTCCTGAGGCTGAGCCAGCAGGCAAAGTTTGGTAATTATAAAAAAAAATAAAGTGAAATGAGAAAAAACAGGCGGTTTGTTAATTTGAAAATTCAAAGTAATGAAAGAGTCATTTACTTTAAAGGATCTGTGGAAAGACGGTAATATGCTGCAGCTACATAAAAATGTATTGTTTAAAAATGTTTTCTCTCTGATAATATTTACTTTTTTTTTTTTTTTTTAAAGAAAATGATCATTTTTTAATGTAAATCATGTCTGTGCACCTCAATAGTTGGCCTGAAACAAGAGTTAAGTTTCAAACTTTGAGGTAAACATGGGACCACAGGCTGCTCTAAAGGGTTTGTTTTAAGAAGTCACATTAGAATTAAAGTGAGGGACACAATTATTACAAAACTTGAACAGAGGAAGAAGGGACTTAAAAAACGCTTCATGATAAAAGGTGCAGAGCTGTAAAGTTGTCTGTGCTTTCAGTATCAATATCCCTTTAACTGTCCTTTTGGTGAAGCAACAGTGATCTCTGACCACTGACAAGAAAATTAATCATTATTAAAAAATAAAAATAAAAATAGTGCTTGGAGATTTTCGTTTGTTCGTTGAGTGCCACTATAGAAAATGGTGGAGCAGGATTGTGGCCCTCATCGTAGATAGAAATAGATAATCTGAAGTCAAAGGTCTGGAAATGCTCATCATAGGGAGTGTGCAATTTATATTACAATATGCATCCTGCTCCAAACACTTCATGCACTTAAAGTAAACTTGAGTTATTCGTTGAGTTTGTGAATACATCATGCATCTTGTTTTAATGAGAACAGTGTAAAGCTCGAGCACAGAGCCAGCTTTTACACACTCTTTGAGAGGACATTTAATCATTTGCATTTTTAGCATTTTATACATTAAGACACGTATACGTTGAGATTGAAGTCAACATGGACATTCACCTTCATCCACGTTACTGAGCCTGAATTTGCAAGTAGTCTTTGGTTGGTTTTGCATTGTAAAGCAGTATAGTTTTTTCCCTCTTGAACAGGATCAAGGCCATTTGTCTAATTTCTTTAACGTACACTACCAAACCTTTGTGGTTCCTGTCATATAGATGTACACGCAGCCAAAAAGATGTCTGTTGTACTCTGCAGTAACTGGCATGACTACAGCAGCTGTCTGTGAGCAGTTAGTGAATAAAACAACCTTTCCACTGAGGCCTTGATCACGCTCACATTAATAATACTCTCATTTGGGTGGGCTCTCACCTCACTCGTGACAGTCGTTTCCTTGATGGGCGTCAAATCTTAACTATGAAGCGTTGTTTTCCAGTTCCAAAATCTCAGGCCTGCCAAAGGTTAAGGAAACACACCACCATAAAACAGAGCCTCTGTGTTTGTCTTGAGAGCAGGCAGTGTTTACTTGCAATTCTCAAGCTGTCGGACGTTCATTTTATTTTTCTGAGGCAAACCGTGGTTCTGTTTGACAACAGTTTTTTAAGTTTGAGCCTTTTCTCACTCCATTTCCAGATGATCTTTAAGCCTTTGGGTTTGCTTTTACACTTAATTGGAGCAGCAGTATGTTTTGGAGGTTAAACAAACCTTCCTGTTTCACTCAGAAAACGTCACCTGTGCAGACGAAGGTATCACTGCAGACTCGAACTCAAAGATGCATCAAGATAATAATTAGTCAGAAAATGTTAGAGTATTTTTGTTGATCATTTTTGGGGTGCAAACCAAAATACGTAGTAGGACAGTGTGTGTGTGTTTGTGTGTGCAAAGCTAAACGTCTCTCTGCACTCTGGGGTTGATCCACGCAAAGGGAAGCAGCTCCAAACAACTGCAGAGAGACACAAGCTTCAGGTCTGCCACTTTTCATCACCGCCACAAAAACCTGCAACCCCAAGACTCTTTGTAAGAGGACCGCTCCGGGGCCGGTACACAGTTGCAGATCTCAATAGCTTTACCAATCTGTTGGCAGAGGAATCACAGGGCATTATGACTAATGACAGGCCTGCACTCGGAAGAATGAGATGAATAAAAGGCAGAGCTATGAGGGGGAGGACTAAAGACACTTTCATCCACTTGTATCATTGCCTGGCCACACAAAGACAAAGCTTAACCTGACATTCCTGTGTAATTAAGACATCTCTCACATGGCACGTTTCTCTTGACCACTTGGGACTCTCACACAGGACCGGAGGGTTTTCAAAGCAACCGAGGGCAACCCATTCACATCTGTGATCACTAGAGAGAGCAGCATGGCCATGAATGCAGTTAGACTGTAACACTCTGCAGGCATTGTTTTTAATACTCTGACATTTAAATTGTGATCCCACTTGCCCTTTTCTGGAGACCAACTGCAACAGAGAAGCTGACAAAGAAACAAAGAGGAAAAGGGAGGAGGCGTCTTTCAAACTTTACATGTAAAGAGCTCCAGAGTCTTCTGGCCCGTGGCAGCTACCCGGCAAAAGTATAAAGTATTCCTAAACGTCTCTCGCTCTTCTTTCTGTAGAAATTCATTCATTTCATATTTCTTTTTTTCTTTCTCATCTAATATTTTAATGTAAAAGTATGGATGTTAACGTAACAGCTTGACATGTGTCAATAAGAACACTGATCTGTTCAGTCGGTCACAACAGAATAAATACCCAGATCCAGTGTCCGGTATAAGTCAGTACACCCCCTATAAAAAGTCATGTGTTACTCAATATTCAGATGAGCAAAAGTACAATTTGACAAAGCTGAGTTTAACATAACATTTATATAACATAAGATGAAAATAAGGGTGATATGGTAACTCAAATTTTGTTTTGCTCCCTGAACTTTGATTGGGGTGTGCTCATAAATTGAAAAAAAAAAAAAAAACTTATTTGGATGCAACTTAAAAAATCTCGTCGGAATCATAGGCCTACATTTAGGGAGTAGTTTGTTGTATAGTCTGAAAGGAAACTAAAGGTCATTTATGCTGAGCCCTGTACACATTTTGAAGTTTTTAACCATCATATAAAAATCACCCGGTGCAGATAACCATTTTTGGAGATTTCTTGCTCAATTTTTTACACGATCTGTAAAAGTAATGCGAGTTTGTATTAAACTAGTTTGAAAAATGAAGAAGTTCTGGTTCTGTGAATAGACTATATGAAAAATTTCGCAGCTGAATTTTCTCTGGGTGTTCGTCCGACTGGTCTCCTTTGCATTTGCTGTCATTGTTAAGAGAAAGATCATACCGTGTAAAACTAATTGTAAACTGATGATAATCTTGAATTAGACTCATGTTCATATCTTTTTTTTAACTCCAAGTTATCCTTTAATTTCACTTTTTGTATTTATGCTGCTGTAATTTTGGAATTCCCCCCCATGGGACTATTAAAGGAGTATCTTATCTTATCCAATCTCTATAATTCCCACAGCCTATCATACTTAATAAAAACCTACCACTCATACTCATAAGCACATTTATAAAGCATCACTCATGCATTGTAAGTGGTTAAAAGCATTTATAACAACTTAAAGCAAAGACTATACACTGAATATCATGTCTTATGAAGATATGTCTTAATGCACCTTCATGCAAAACTAACAAGTGTCTTTTGAACGACGGGTTTCATAACACATCTGGATTCCCACAACTTAAATCCAGTTACAAAAGCGCACAGCAAAAACTTATTGAGCGCGTTATAATAATTTTAATTTCTATGATTGTCATATGGAGGAGGAGTGTCGGTGTTACCAAATCCAAGTGAATTCAAATCCCCTTCTACTTGTGGTTTAGGTTCAGGTCTTAAAAGAAGTGTCCCCTTGAAAACTCTTTGGTCCTAAGTCTCGGTCTGTGTCCTACTTTCATCCCGGTGCGAGCTCCTTTTTCGTGTCTGTGCGTGAAACAGTTTCAGAGAGGACAAATTATGTGATTGTTTCATTTGCTGATGTCGGAGCACTTCACGTTCTTGTGTTAACAATTAGCTAACAATAACAACTCACTTTGATGCTAACCAGGGTGGAAGCAGGGTCGCAACCTTTAACAGCTGCGTGGCTTCCCTGCACCCCTTCAGACCTGATCCACTCACGCACACACACACACACTCACACTGATTAAGAAATTAAACTCAAACATCAGCTAAAGGGAAATGCAGGATTCCAGTAAAGAGCAGTGCATGTGTTTTATTTATTTTTTTGTTTTTAATCAGTGGTGTCCAGATGTGTGGTTTTTTTTAGGCCAGGTTTAAAACAACAAGAAACAAACGTTAAAATGTCTGACGGCTTCACATGACTTTCCTATTTATGTCTCCAGTCTTGAATTAAGGCTTTATTCACTTATTTTTGTCAGAGATCTGAATCTATAAATATGCCGAAACTAATTTCCTACAAATCTCCTTTTTTTTTAAATCTCCACTATATTTATGTGAATAAAATCTGGATGTAACTGACATCAAGAAAAAACCTTGTAAAGGTTTATGTGAGTCCAGAACTTGTGGCCTGCTTGGTTATTGCTTTAGTTTGGGTAGGACCGTGCATACGCTGCAGTATTCATGTATAGCTGGACTCCATCTAGTGGCACAGTCCTGCTGTTGCTCGAGAGCTTCAAACTGTTTGTGTTTCCTGAAGATCAGGGCCTAACGTAGATGTCACACAGCATTTTTGTCTTGTTCAAACTCTGTGCATGTCTCAACATTGCAACACTTGCCTGGGATGGTGAAAAAGGAAAGAAGCCCCTTTCCAGTACTCTAATGTTAATAGATTTTAAATGGAGATGCCTTTGGCTTGGATTTAATGAATGACTTGGCTAAAGCAGCTGCTGAAACTCCAGGAGACCAGATCCCAAAGTGAGTCCAGAGGCTAATTTTCTGGCTGACGTAACAAAAGAGCCCGATTGGCTCGTAATCAGTGTGATGTTGGATTTGATGCAACTACAAAGCATGACAATGTGGAGCAGGAAAAACATGTTTAGTTGTCACCACAGAAGCCTTCACATTGCAGGTGGATGAGGGACACATTACAAAGTAGGTTTTCCACAGTAACTGTATTGCAAAAGTAAACAAGGCTGACAATCATATCATTCAATAACAATATGTTTGTTCCTCAGAATCTGCCATTTCTGGATGTCTTAAAAAAGTGAGCCATGATCTCAAAGAAAATCATCTAAATACAGAAAAATATAGATTCAGGTCAAAAAGGGTTGTAAATACTTACTAGTACTGTAAATAACAGTAAGGGAAGACAGCTACAACAGGTATCATTCACTGTCCTGGCACAGTGGATGCATTTAATAAGTCAGACATACAAAAATAAACCACAACAAAGCAACACACATATCGTCAAAATAAAAAACCTGAAAATACAGCATGTCCCAATGGCAGAGTTTGATCGGAGCGCATCTCATACTGTATCTGAAAAGTGGACACATGGTTTACATCTGTGGCTAACACACTGACTGCTATAGAGAATAGCACATTAGACTGTGTTCAAAATGTCCTGACCAAATGAAACAGTGTGATGGAGGCGTGGACGCAGTTGCTTATAATTATAATATTAACAATAATAATAATAATAATAATACATGTCACATTGGAAAAGTGTATCATGATACCATAGACAATGAATGAAAACAGAATGGAGGTTAAAGAAAAAAGTCTGCTAAACTCGATTCTAGTGCGTAACATGTTTCATGATGCCCCCCGAACACACACATCCAAAAAACCGAATGAAAACGTCCCAAAAGAACAGAAAAAAAAAAACAAAACAAAAAAACTTTCCTCTAAGGGTAATTTTACAAGATGATGAAATATTCAAAAACAAAAAACTCTTAAGAATTGTACAAGTATAAAAAAGCTACAAACATTAATAAATTACATCACTGACACATAAACACTTCACAAGGTGCTAGTAAAATAATTCCGAAACCCTTCAGGATACTAGAACTGGAACAAGAGGCTGGTCATAGAAACTTTAAGTGTTTTTTTTTTTTTTCTTTTCCTTTTTATATAATTCACCCCAAAGCTTCGTCTCTTGTTCAAACAGAATCACAATACAATTAGCTTTGTGTATGTAAGGCCATATGACAATAAAATGTATTATATCTTCAATTGTTTTCCAGGCAACACCTTTTTATCTAACAGGGGGGAAAATAATACAAAATGAATCTCTGCAATTAAAAAAAAAAAACAAAAAAAAAACGAGGAAATAAAAGTTTAAAAATTAGGACTTTATTGTATAACCATATATATGTATTTATTTATTTATTCATAATTAGCAAAACCAGTAAAAATGTAGAATTAAGCCTTAAGGGAAAAGGATACAAAAAGTAGTAATTTAAAAGGCTATGTACAAGCTACATTCTATATACTGTTCTGTGTGAAGCTGTAAAAATGCAGAGAGGAGTCTACAGGGAGGCGGTGCTGCCTGTGAAAGCAAAAGAAGAGAGAAAGTATCCCCATGTAACTGCAGACCTGACATGGATGAGGCTTATCATTAGCTACACGTTCCTATGCTTAAATCCTATTCACTCGGCCTCCTATGTTATCTCATCTTATACCGCAGAAACAAACATCCTGATTCTGCCGCCGCCACCGCCGCTTGATTCGCTTTGTGCTTTTCAGTTGTTGCATGAAGCCACATACTTCCTATCTATGACACAGCCCCAATAAATAAATACCACCGTTGATAGTGCTCTGCAAACAAAGTGTTATAACATAAAGAGATAAATGCTTGAGTTGAATTCAAACTGCTTTCCTTTTTTCGTCACCTGTGTGGCCATGATAAGCTGCATCCATTTAGCAGGAATTAAAGTGTAAAATCCCCAAACCCTGACCCAAGCGCACATGCAACTGAATACATGCAAGGGATACTTTCACAAATCTTGGAATGACTGCAATGTACTTCTACTTCATGTTTTAGCAACCCCTGATAAACTGACAGCTGTAGTAAAATGAGACATGTTCTCTTAAAAAATATTTATAGTAGGTTCTGTACACTTCAATATCTGAAAGTTATAAAGTATAAGTAGAGGCAAAAACCTATTTGAGTGATGTTCTTCTTAGAAATTGAAAAATGCATGATTTTCATTTTTTCTCCTCATTGTTGGCTTTATTCAGTGAACAGGGGTGAGGTTGGGATGGGACCCAGCTCATGAATTCCCAGTCCTACAGCAGTCTGCTGCGTGCTACAGGAGGAGCTTTCCGTTTCGATGGATCTTTAAAATCTTTCCGAGTCTCTGTTTGGCCGTAGCCATGCCTTTCTTTAGCCGCTTAGCTGTGAAGACAACAAGGAAAGACAGGAGATAAGATAAGACGTCCAGCTGGAACATAAGCGCTCCCACTCTGACATTTTATTTTCCAACCATTTATTTTCACAGGAAAAAATCCTCCCGCCCCCAAAATGACTACCATAAAAAAATAAGTTGGGCTTTATTCACTCAAGTATCTGCAAGCTGTGAGTCTTCTTCTCCAGGACACTGCAACCATCATTAAACTAACAGTAGCACCACAATGAAGCTGTGACATGTGTTGTAACTCCTGCCTGGCCAGAGAAAAGCCTTAATCCTAAAACTGGTCAAAAAGTGCATCAGAGCTTAAAGTAGGACTGGGCGATTTGGCAAAAAAAAAAGATCACAGTATTTTGTCACATCATCTGATCTCAATTATTATGACGGTTTTAAACTTTTTTTAAACTGCCAGTTTTAAAGCATCTGTACTAAAAACTAAAGAAACTAGAGATTAGTTCAACATTTTATTAACATACAAAGTAAATAAAAAAGCAAATTAAATAAGATAAACTTAAAAAACTATAAAAAACATTTTAACTCAACAGTTCAACAAATGTAAAGAAATATTAAATAGTAAAGTGAACTAGTTTACAGTCCTGAGTGTTTTTGCAGGTATGTAAGACCCAAAATCAACAAATCGCCCCCTCAGGATAATGGCGATGCCTTAAAATGTAAACATTAGACGATGTAAAGGTAGATGATACGACTAGTTGCTGCTTTGGTCTGGTGGCTGCACCGCTAATTGTGGCTAAACTGCTAATGCTACTTGTGCCGTCAGCAGCGACAGGCTGTACAGACCTCGCTCACATTTTCATGCTTAATCACTCAGGAAGTAATTCTTCAAACGATTAAACAGATCTGTTGTGTTCCTGGTTTTTGAAGGCCAGCATACCTTGCACATCGGCTTAATTGTAGGGGTGGGAATCACGAGTGGCCCCACGATACGATATTACTATGATACTTGGGCCACGCTATGATATCATTGTGATTTTTAAAAATTTTGCAATACAGTGAGTACTGCGATACAATATATTATATTTTCATGGAGCACATCTTGCAAATTTATATATCTGTTGCACTAACTTTCCCCTGCTCTATGATGTCACCTCTGCCAACCTCACTGGTTGATTTTATTTTTCCATTATCATAGATTTGAATTCATATTAGCAATTGATTGAAAAATCAATTGAGACAATACGATACATCACCAGACAAAATATCGCAATACTATGCTGTACCGATTGTGTCTCCTACCCCTACTTAATTGCTCTACGTCAATCGGAGATATGCGAACCACCACACAACGGACATTGAATAACTTTTCTTCTCACATCTACTTTTCGGCTGACATCTATTTTGCTGCCCTCAGCTCTGCCTTTAGCGCCACATTCGGTCATTCTGTTTACTTCTCCGGCAACTTGCAGAAGTGAGCAGGAAAAGCTTGACTCTGATTGGCTGTTGTCATGCCCATTTGTGTTTGATCAAGTAAATATGCTCCCAGCTGATCAGCGTGCTCATAGTGAAATTCATCACGATCATATAATCGCCCAGTCCTAGCTTAAAGACAGGTCATTTGTACTCCATCTCCTCTTTGTTGTTTATAGAGATCAACAATGAAGACACACGGATAAGTGAAAAAAGTTACTCTTCCATATAAAAAAGGGTTTGTAGTCATTTTAAGTCATTTCATCAGATGCACAGTGCATTCATGTTTACTTCTGTTTCCTCTCTGAGGACCTGGTTCACCTTAAAATCTTCCTTCTTCACATTATCTGCAGCACCAATCATCGATAAAGGACAGCACAAATCTACCCTCACAGATTTATATACCATGCACACGTAATGGAAGCAGCTGCCAGCAATAACAGAGCACTCATTTCATTCTCATCACTTTTCCCTGGAACAATTGCTTTAGATATTTCCTTGAAAGAAGTGAATAGTTTTAAACTAATGCAGGGAAATTTCTGTGAAAGATCTGCTCCATTTAACTCCCTGTGGCTCATTCAAGCAGTTACTTGAAATCAATTCACTGAAAGCCGACTAACTGAACATAATTATTTCCAGGAGAGACATTAAAGGGAAAAATCTCTGTTTCTATCTTTATAAATTTGAAATGCTTTCTCAGATAACAAGACTTATAGTTGGCAGCCATGCTAGCAGCTCAGTGAGGCCGTACTTAGCAAAGAGGTGCCTGCGTGCAAACGTCTTCTGACATTTGCAAAAACATTATGAACTCAAGTAAAGCTGAGCAGATTGTCATTAGTTCTTTTACAATTATGAGATGTCAGTCAAATGATCTCCACAGTAAATAAAATTCACCATGAGATTAGCCGGTCTAATCTGAAAAACCGTCAAACTTTACAACACTTGAAAGCAGCTGTTACCATGGCAACATGAGTAGCATTAGTGTGTCCAAAATAGTCATCTGTACAGTAATCATTTTGCTCCTTCTCCTTTGTATCTGTGAAATTTACACATGAATCTTTACCAGGAGACTTCTGAATATTAACATGCAGTGTGCTTTGATGTTGGCTAACAGGTTGTTCAATATATTTTTCAACTTTAAAGGGATATTCCTGCGAAAATTTAAGTTATGGTCAAAACACACCGTAACACAGAGTTAGACACCCCAGAGTTAGACATAGGCAGGGGATCATTTCCATGAAGTAATAATCATCATAATAATCATTTTACTCTGCAGACGCGGTAGTTCTTCTGCCTTATTGTCTTGTTCTGATTGCATTTCCGTGAAGTAATAATCATAAATTTTCTTCTTTCTTCTTTTAAAACTCAGCTGCACTCGGTGATCGACTCGTCAGGGCTCCCCCACAGATAAGCGGCTGCTGGAGGAGAGTGGGTGAGTTGTGTTTGGTCTCTTAGCTAAAGAAATCAAGCAAAGTTAAAAAGATGTTTGATGGCTAGCACTATGGCTGGGACCCTATATGTACTGTCGATGAAGTTAGGTGCTGTTCTGAACATTATTTGTGGCTATAGAGTGGCGTTTTGGTTGAAGTTTGCGCGTGGAGACGTAGACCGCTGTGTGTTGCTAACGTGCTAAGAGGTCGTTACTAAAGTTGGTATAACTAGAGAAGCAAGCAGTCGGCAGTATTCATCTCTTGGGGGGGTTGCCTCACACGGTGTTATGGTGTGTTTGACCATAACTTAATTTTACGCCGGAATATCCCTTTAAGCGTCAGCCAGCCTCTGTCTGTCTTTACCATCTGTAAAATGGTCACAGTTTGTCCAGTTATTACAGTTTACGTGGCTCAGGACCTGGAATCATATTTAAGCTCCCCAACCTGATTGTGACTCCACACTACCGTGGAAATAAGGTCCACTGGTGTACATGTTTTTTCCTGTCATTGTTTTCAGTACAGCTCACCTTTTGCCTCTGCTGAGCCCCCTCGGTCTCCCTTGGCCATACTGCTGCTGTTGGTGCTCGATGAGTTGGTGCTGTTGTTGGGAGAGGACATGGACGGTCGCCTCTGGCTGAGAAAGACCCCTGGTGCCATGGGCTGTGGGCCCCCCGGTGACTTCACTGTCCCAGTGCTGAACTCGTGGTCTATCGGACTGCTGTCATGGGAGTCCATATTGTGATCCGGCGAGCTGCTGTCCTGAGAGATTCTCTGGGGCTCCTCAATTACTATTGCCTTCTTTTTGGTGCTTTTCTTCTTCTTCTTGGTTTTCTGCTGCTCCTCCTGTTGACGTATATATTTCTGTTGAGCAAGTCTTACAGAAATAGTAACTGTTTGTTGTAAAAATAGATTCCTGGCTTACGGTACCTGATGGGAAAGCTTTGCTGCAGCTGCTGCCAGTCCTGTTTCGATGGAGGCCACTCTGGCTCCATCCCTTGCGGGCCGCTCCTGTCGTGGGACTGAGGGTCCTACCCGTGCTGTGATAACACACATGGAAGATTTTACAACACACTCGGATCATTAACCCAAACGTATAGACCTTAAATGGTATTTACCTGTCGGGCTGTATGGAGTGTCATCACTGCTTTTCCGTTTTTTCGATCTGGATTTGAACACAGGATTATCCTCTTCAGACTCCAGAGAAGGATAGACTAAAACAAAAGATGTCACCCATTACTAACATGTCATGCACGAGCTGACTGTACTGAGAGGACTGGGTTATTATTTTCACATATGTTGAGCATCAATGCACTTATCTCTGCTTTCTGTGCATCAAACATGTTCAAAGTTTCCAGTGACAGTGTGCAGGACAGCTGTAAAACAGCTGTGGACTAGTCCTGTCTTTCCTGCCTGGACAACCATTTCAATCCAGACCTTTAAATAGCCAATAATTGAATGATTTAAAAAAAAAAAAAAAGGCCGTTTACAGAAGAACAAAAGAGTGCCAATGGAAAAAAAGTTGTGTGCAGGCCTGAAGTTTTCAGAGCGGGTATGTTCGTGCTATGAACAACTAATTAGACACCAATTAGGAGTTCAAAAAGCATGTAAAATAACAATCAGGGACTCGTGTTAATGGCTTATTAACAAGCTGGGAGGGTCCACACATGTGTTTGGACAGGCTTCACAAAGAAAATGTTTTAGAGGGAAAAAATTACAAATTGGAGTAACAAGAAAGGCCGGATTTGGACAGAATGCACTCAAAATAAACATAAAGCATTTCATCAAGTTCTAATGAAAAGTTCCCGGCCAAATTTAGAATTAAAGACCCACATGTTGATCCATCAGCAGGGCAATGTGTTTTTAACAGCACCTGTTAGCAGCACTGAGAACCAGGCACGGCAGATAATTATTTTCTCATTCATTTGCTCAAAAAGTAACCCTGTGACACCGGCCTGACCTCAGCCCGCTCCGCTCGGCTGCAGACTCTTTAAAGTCAAATAAAACAGGAACCAAAGGGATGAATCAGCTTGTACTGCTTACCATTAGGGCTGTGAATAGTGTTGTGTCATTCATGAGTGATTCGCTCAAAAGAACGGAACTACTGAGTGAACGACGTGAATGGAATCACTCCAAGACCTGATTCGTACCCTTACTCAGTTCAGCTGAGCTCAGCCGCGAGCTTGGCGTGCCTGTCGGGAGTGGAACTGCCGTCTTTGACTCTTTTGGGAACGACATACAGCCAGCCAGGGAGCGGGCAGGCGGAGTCTCATGATTTGCTCACAGTGAATGAACGACATGTATCAGTCAGACTGCAAATGAAACGGACGACTTCCGAAAGACTCGCGAATGACTTGAGGCAGGCAGAGGAAGGAGGGGCGTAGCCTCGTTCACGAACTGCTGAGCAACAAGCAAATATCATGCTATTTGATATCTTTAAAAGTATCAGAATCCCCACTACAGCTGCGATGTTTGTTTATTTTTAGTCTCTCCACTTTTCTGCAATATAAAACAATGACAACTCGCGCTTGTTTAGCAAGCGTGCTGCTTGCTGCTGTGTTGTTTCACTCGCGTCGTGATGCGACGCAACTGTCGGCGACAAACAGAGGTGAGTTTTTCAGGGCAGGGGAATGATTGTTCCCTCATGACTTGGTAAATGAACGACATGTGTCACCCAGTGAATGACATTGTGACTTTAGCAGCAGGAGAAGGTAGGGGCTCATTCAATGAAGGAACTCCCAATCGGCGCCGCTGTGTCACTCACTCGTGTGCTGCACCCGGCATGATGGGGCTCCGAAGCACTGACTCTGTGAACGAATCTTTTGAATGAATCATTTTAATGAACGGCTTCTAAAGATTTAGTAGAGTCATAAGACCTGTTCTTCCCTTCACTATCTTTGTCAACCGGTTGACTTATTGGTCAATACGTGCTGAGTCAACCAAAAATTATTTTCCGCGTCACTTTACAGACTATGGTTAATTTAATCAGGAGGAACGTACCAAGTGCTAATGGGGGTGTTTTCAGAGCGCCCCTGTTTCACAGGTAACAGCCTGTCTCAGAACACCCCCCTTGTTTTCACCATTTTGGATTCACCCAACCTACTGGAGACAGGAAGATTGAAGAGTGTCCACGTTAGTCAACGTCTGGTGGTTTGCTGAATATTTATATTTTAGCCCTTTGTGTTTAACTGCCATCTTGTCGTACTGACGTCAGTATATTTTCACCCAAACCCTTCTGCGTTGACCCCTGCCACAGATGGGTTTGCTGTCAGAGTCAGACCCCCTCCCCAATAAGTCAATTTTTAGTCAAATATTTCAGGGTTTTAGTCGACAAAGAATTTCTTTGGTTGATTACAGCCCCACTTACCGTAATCTGAATCCTTGAAGCATGCGTCCATATGATCCTGCTCGTCGTCGTAGTCCAGACTCTCAATACTGCTGCTCTTCCTGGGTTTCTTCGGGAGCCGTTTGGTGGGTCGCTTGCTGTTGTTGCTGCCGCCGCCTCCGCCTCCTCCGCCGCCGGACTTTTTGCTACCTTGCGTGCCGTGGGAGTTGCTCTTTGACTGGCTATTGTTTTTGGACTGGCTGTTGCTCCACGGCTGCTGCAAGCTGTCTGAAGACGACAGGTTGGCCATGGACAGCATGCCCTGAATGGCCTCCTGTGTGCTGGGAGATGCAGGTGGCTGACTGTAAGTACGTCAATAAAAAATACACAACAACACAGCCATTACACAGCAGTCAACACGCTGCCAGAGGAGTAGAGTGTAAGAAATCAATGAAAAGCGTCTGTAAATCAATGTTAATTCCACCGGTTGTGCTGTTAACAATTGTTATTGGCAGGGAGCTGCGGAATAAAAAAACACATACTAGATCTTAAATCTGGATCTTAATGGATGATTGTACTTCAGGAGCCCACTAAAGAATCTACACACACACACACTCACACACACCCACACAGCTATCAGCTGCCTAACAGTGAGCAAAGCGATGATCAAACATGTGGTTGCGTCATTCCCTGCACCCACAGAGTTTCCTTTTCAAAGCAGCGAAAACAGTTTGAGAAATTAAAATATCGCTGCCAATGTTTTCCTTCTTTCTTTCATTGCTCATTTATAGCTTTCAGTGTGGTGGAAATAGACCATCAAGAGCTGAACAAAACAGCAAACAGCGAAAGGCGAAGGGAAGAGCCTGGAGCCACGTAACGTTTGATCGATCGAGGCAGGATGAAACAAACACTGACTTGACACAAACTGCTGACAGATTCTACGCAAACTGTTGCTTCAGTTGACGGTTAATTTTTCAGCTCCCAGCCAAGTTAAAAAATTAATCTTTTTCATCCAATTAACTTGTCGTTGAGCCGGCCGTTTGTTTGTCAGCGAGCTGCCCCATTAAGGAGCAAAAGTCCTGAAGTTCATGTACCGTGAAGACAAGAGGTCCAGCGGGAGCCATTTACAGAGTAATGCTGCGCATGTAGTGTAGATGAATGTTTAGGAGTAGAAGTTCAATTAGTGCTGAGGGTAATGGAGTGAAAGAGAAGAAAAATAAGGCGTTAGGGAGCTCAGTCTACCTGTTGGTGCTGTAGTCGATCCCACCCACTTGTTTGCTCGCCTGCAGCAGGTCAAGGATCCCTGCAGCGCTGCTGCCCTTTTTCTTGACCTTCGAGTTGCGACTTTTGACCTCCGGCTTTGCCTCTGTGTCTATGTGCAGAGTCTCCTCATCCGATGAGTCCACACTCTGTGATTGAGGAGAAGGCATAGAGTAAAGATGCTTTAAAGACCCACTCTGATGAAAATCCTGTTTTCCTTGTTGTCTACATGTTCATATGGCATTTTTCTGATGCTACAGGACATATGAGAAAAGTGGGTGTGAAATTGCATTTCTGAGTATTTCTGCAGTCAAATCGCTGTAAATCTCTGGCAGACCATAACGACAGGCTTAAACAAAGTGAGATTTCCTACATAGCAAATCCAAGCTCCGCCCCCGAAGCCCCGCTATGCAGGCCAGACTCGGAAAAGTAGAGAGTACGATTAAGGAGCAAGTGTGTGCATTAGCGGTTTGCAATGCTTGTAAGAAAGCTAATTATGATATTAACTTTCATCATGTCCCTGAAGACATTAGTGTCTGAGAGCTGAATACTGCTACTTCTACTACACCCGTAATTTTAGGCTACAAGCTAGTATGAAGAGGAGTGTGCAGAGCAGCGCTGTCTCCGCCCACGACTCAGAGGTGAATCGCTAATGAGCTACTGGAGCTCTGCAGAAGAAAAGTCCTTGAAAATGACACAGGTAACGTGATTTAGGCTGAAAACTTTATAATCACAATTAAATGACCTCTGAGAACACTTAAGTAGTAAAAATAAAATGACTGGAGTGGGACTTTAAATCTGATGCATCTGGATTTGAGTGATTTGATCTCAATATGTTTCCTATTTCTGTCTTCCTGAGCTGTAGTAATGCGTTACATAACTGACTCTACAATCCCTACTGATCATCCCTCTATGGGTATGAGGTTTTAACATTAATGTTTTATGAGCTAAACTTAAACAAATATGAATTTTCTTTAATTGTACACAATAAAACTAACTCTAAATGTGGGTCCTGAGTGACTCCACAGAATCTGGGTCCTCAGGGCAAACGCACACACATGGGTGAGCTATCTCCCTCATCAGCTTTATGAGCTTTCGTAAGTGACAAACCCCAAATGCACAACATTCATTAACATGATCTCCTAATCTGAGTTTCTAGCTCGAAGCATCACAGCAGAACTGTTCAAAAAATCCTGCTCGTAGTTCTTCAAACAGAGTCAGACGGTGAGCTAAAAACAACAGTCAGAGTCTCATGGAGGCCACACACGTATCAGTTAGACCACAATCCTCCTATATGTTATTGACTGTTTAGAAATGAGTCAAAGGTGACACGTACCTTGGTCATCATGGGTTGGAACTTTGGTTTCTTGGCTGGCTGAATTGGTTCTCTGATGTCTGACAAAACTGAAAAAACAATATCATTCATCATTTAGTATCTCGATAATGTGTTACTCTGACTATCTGCTGGTGCCAAGAGTTAGGAGGCATATTTGAAGATATTTAGAAATATATGTTGATTTAGTGGTCGCTTATTCTGTCGAGACATAGTAGAGATGTTTCCTTTGATTATCCAGAGAGAAAGAAAACATAATTATCTGACCAAACATTTGAAAGCCTTCACTGCTTTCTGGTTCTGAATGCTTACATTTTTATAAGTCTGTCATTTGACCGTGTAGACTTGATATCTCACCGCAGATTAGACTTACAATGACCCAAAACTCAGCATGGAATAAATCCCTCATACTTACAGGACTGATCTCGCTTCACTGTGTTCTTTTTTCGCCGAATGGGGAATTCGTCGATCTTCAGCTCCCCCTCGTCTGAGACATATTCGTACTCGTCCCTCACTGGCTTGGTTTTGTCCTCTTTTAGGTTTTGTAGTGATCCAAAAACACTCGAGTTGGTCTGCGGTTTCAGCGCCTTGGAGCTGAGGAGGAAACCACAGGGGAATAAGAGAATGATAGGAGGCTCAGCCAGACACTCACAGTGAGAAGTCCTTGAATTATCTTTAATGGATACACAGCTGATAGCCACATATTTCTATAACCATCATAAACACCACATGAGAGGGCTAACACGCTCTCCCCTTACAAAGACTGCAATCAAAGCCGCTCCATACATACCCCAGCATTTTCTTGTGGGACATAGTAAAGCTGAAGCGGTCTTTATTGCCTGACAGCGGTGTTCGGTCAAACTTGCACTCTTCCTCCATTTTCAGCAAAGAATCTGGTTTACTGTTCTGTAAGGGTGAGAAGACAAGACAGGAATAATGTCAGGGCTGTAGTGACTGACGGATGATATCCAGCTTTCATTACTCAACTGTATGAAGTTCTTCGTTCTGATTGGTCGAAACCCAACAAACAGTTTTCAGACAACCTGACCCCCACATGTCATTTCTAATTAGTTTGCAAAGGAGCCTGAACACTTCATCTCATGCTTGTTGACACTGAAGCAAAACGTCAGTATCTGTTAGCACGCTAAATTAGCGCGCTAAATCTGAGTCTGTCAATCTAGGGCATCTCTAGATTTATAAGAGAGTGTCAACTGCAAAGCCCCGATAAGGAGAGCAGGATGAGTTAAGAAGTCGCTTTGGTCATGTTCAGTCCGTCTTACTTCAATGTTAATATTCAGTTTTTGGTTTATTCGGCTGTTTTACTGAAACACTCACTTGAATGTTGTTTGTCCCAGGCTGATATGAATCTAAATGTTTTTGAAGTTGTATACAAAATTGATTTTTAAGACCGTAAAATCTGCTTTTTCTAAATATCCGCTGTGAACTTATCTCGCTCAACAAGATGGAATCATAATATGTTCTGTTTATTTAGTTTTATCCTGGTTTCTCTTGTGTTTCTGTTCCCCTGTAGTCCAGTCTTGCGAGTTTACAGTTTAAGTTTGACCCTGTTTCCCTCCTGTTCTCTGTGTTTTATTCTTTAGATCAGTTTTCAGTGTTTCCTGTTTTATTTTGTAGTAGTTGATTCCTTGTGTTTCTAGTCTGGTTTTACTTCCCTAGTTTTCCCTCCTTCGTTAATCACCTATGAGTTTCACCTGTGTCTCGTTTGCCTCACCTGTTGCTCGTTACCCAGTGTGTGTATATAGTCCCTGTCCTCCACTCTCTTCTTTTGGTTCACTTTATGTTAATTTATGCGTTTGCTTGTGTCCCCAGTTGTCTCCTTGTAATGTTTTACCCAGTGTCTTCAGTTGGATTTTGCCTTTTGGATTCTTTGGTCGGACATTTTGGAAGTTTTTGTTGCTTTTTATTTTGTTCTTTTTAATAAATCATTTTTTGTTCTTCATTTGGCAGTTGGTATTTTAATTTGTACAACCACTTGCTGACCATTCATTATCCCTTACATATCAGCTCACCATTCGTATCATATTATCAGCATTTTGGAAATCATTTACAGCTGCAGATGTAACAATGTTACACGTCACATTATCCCTGCGCTCTGTGAAGATTATACCTGTCTGTTTCCTTTCTAGACTCTTCGTCTCTACATGATAACATTATTATTTTTTTTCAGATTTATTGGCTTATTTTCTTGTACCTGACCAACATCACTTTTTCAATATCATTTATCGTAATTTAACTCACTTTTCTGAATGTAATTCATAAGCCTTAGAGAGGTATAAGGTTGTATAACCGAGAAAATAAGACTGGAAAGGTTTTAATGTTACTCTTCTCAGATCTTATTCACTTATGATCTTTTTCTGACCCAATTTCAGCAAAACCAAATCTCCTAAGAGGAATGCAAAGCAGCTGCCATGTAAATCACCGCTGAGCAGACAGTGTAATTAACTGAAATCCAAGAATATACTTTGTCAAATATTCACCCCTCAACTCCTCGACTGTAAATTAAAGCCATGTGACTCAGGAGTGTAACCTAAAACTGACATTTCATATCATCTGAAGCCTGTTTTCTTTTTTTTTTGTTTAATTGACGGGAACAAATAGTTGGGGCCTTCGTGCACTTTCAGCTACTCAGACGAGCTGTGAACTCTTTTATGAATCACCAGAAATCTGAAGTGAAGATGTGGTCTCAAACGGCCTCAGTAAACATCTCAGTGATCCTCCACTCCATCTGCTAATGTTTGGCCTTACACAAAGGAGCAGAGGGATGGAGATCCTTGGAGTCGCTGCAACATTTTTGAACAGTTTGGCAGCAAATTTTCCATGAAACCAAAGCTCTAAAATGCCTGCCGATCAACAAGATTACACTTTTTCTCCATGAAAAGGCCCCGCTGTTATACAGCATTAATGATAAAACCGAAAAAAAGATGAGAGGCATATGTAAATACTTAGATGAAGCACAGTGGACACGGCTTTATTTCAATAAATAAACAGAGGGAGGTTGGATGTTTCCAGAGCAGCTCTGATGAGCTACAGGCAGAAATGTGTGACTGAAGCCACATCCTTATTTCAGCTGATTGCTTTGAATTAGTGTGTCTCAAAACCAAAAATGAACAGACTGCTCTTTTCTATTCAGAACTGAGAGTCTTTCTTTACTAGGAACATCAGGTCCTGAGGAGTTTTTTTTTAAACTGTTTAAAGTCTGAGAAGTGTTAGCTTTATTTCAAAGAGCCCTGACTTCAAATAGTAAGATTTTTTTTTACCTGGGATGAGCTTACCTTGTATTTCCATTTGGCTTCTGTCTTGTTCTTATTCTGCTCTCTGATTTCAAACTTCTCCATGCTGTTCTGCTTTGAGATTTCCTTCTCTGCCATACTCAGGACATTCTTCACAGCCTGGAAATGAACAGAATCGGGTAAAATAACACCTGGACACCTCATCTACTTATCCCTGTGGTGCAAACAGGTTTTTCTGTCTCGTGAAATGCTTTTGCTTTTTAAAACATAAATAAGTTTGACACACAAAAAAAGACCACTTTCTAACATCACCTCACCTTTGTCTTTTTTGGCTGGTCCATTTTACTTAAGATGTCTTTTGCATGAGACTCAAGAGCTGCAAAGCTGGAGGGTTTTGGAGGGGGTGACGACTCTTTTGCTTTCTTGGCTTTCTTCTTTCCTCCTTCCTTTACCTTCGGCACCTTTGGAGGTTTGGGGGCCTTGGGCATCTTCGGAGGTTTGGGGGGCTTTGGAGGTTTCGGGGGTTTGGATGTTTTCTTTCTGGCTTTGTCTCTGCTTGGTGAGGGGACGTGGGCTGGGGAAACGGGCTCTTCAGGCTCGGAGTGTGTGGATGGGGGTTCCTCCACTGGTATCTTGATGCTGGGCTCACTCTTAATGGCTTTTGTTGCATTCTGGAAATAATTCACAAGTGAGACACCATTGTGTAACCAAAGTCTAGAGCTGTGTTAATCCTTAAAATACTATATCCCTTTGCTTTTTCAACAAATATCAGTGTACAGAGAGGATTATATGTTGATAGTAAACCTGTGGGCCTGTCTGTCTATTCTATTGAATCAAAGGGAGGCTGTATGTCCTGATACTCTCAGATAATACAAAAAAGTTTAACCCTGCAATGACTCTTGCTGAATACAGAAGCTTCACTTCTTAGTAGGGCTGCACGATTTTGGCCAAAAATGAAATCCCGATTTTTTCTCTGAAAACTCGATTTTTTCATTGGGTGACAACTTCACCAAACTTCACTTTGTTAAAAAGTTTTTCTATCATCTCTCAAAACTAAACCACTGAAAATGGTGTAGGGCATATGCCAAGCCAGTAAGTGATGCTGTAACGCCGCCAAGGAAGTGTACAAGAGACAGAAAAAGAGTACAGAGCATACGTATGAAGGTTGCTTTGGTGAGACACGTGCAGCCATCATGAAAGAGTTACGCTGTGTTTCAAGAGAGACGCAGATACACAGAGATAAAATGAAAGTCGTTTACGGATTTATGCTCTCTCTGACCCAATTTCAAAAAGTACAGTTTACAGTCACCCAAAACGCCATTTTCATGTGGATAAAACGCCAATACAACCAAAACTCATGCATTTACTCCTGAATTAGTTTCCGTGTGGACAAGTTGATACTGCCGTCAGACAGACTTTGAGTCTTTGAGTGGTTTGCTCTTCGTCCAAAAACTGCGAAGCAGTACCAATTCCATACGACTGACTTGCTCTTGTCCTATTTAGCCACAAAATTATCACCTTCTTTAGAAAACGCCATGTTTGTTTACACCTGTGAGTGTGGGAACTGGGGAACGCTCCCACAGGAAGGGGGAGGAGGCGCGAGACATGATAGAGAAGAAAATTGATTTGACGATTTTAATTTTTTAACATCGTCATGATCAAATAATCTGATTATGATTTAAAATCAATTAATCGTGCAGCCCTACTTCTAAGGTGTGTCCTGTGGATACAAATATAGGCACAATGGGGGTCATTATTAGCGCTTACTTATTCTTAAAAGTAACAGAGTGAAAGTTGTAATGTTGTAAAAACTGAAGTCTGAAGCATGCGCTAAAAATGTCAGAGGCTAAATGAAAAGTGTGATTATCTGAAGCCATTAGCTTTACAAAGCTAACTTGACATGGAGCAAAACTTGTTGCTACTAAACATCTGGTCTCGACAAAACCATTAGTAATTATCTCTCGTTGCTCATGAATATGTAAAATGATCTGATTTCAGTCCAAATAGAACTCTCTGGGATATATTAATATAAAGACTGAACAACGGTGCACTCAAACACTAAAACAATCATCTGTGACAGCTACAGGGGGAAACCAAAATGACTTGTTTGAAAATGGCTGGCATTTTATTCACACCAAAATAAAATCCAAATACCTCTGACAGTCTGATCTCTTTGGCAAGATCCTTGATAAGCTGTGATGGTTTCATGTTCTCTGGTAGCTCGTCTTCATGTTCCAAGAGGGCCTATCACAGAGACAGACAAACACACAGATAGAAAATAAACCATCACAAAAAGGAACAGTCGGAGAATTGTCACATTCAGTGTGTCTTCATGCGTCCAAACCTGTTTTTTAGTCCAAGCTCTAAAGGCTCCATTGATTATTTTGGCACCATGTACCAGGTACGGGGCTGGTTGCTTATTTGCTTTATGTAAACCTGCAGAAAAAGAAATGCAAATGTCAGTGAATGAATCTTGACTTTGAAACCAAAAGAGGTCAACACATCACACCTATAGATGCAAAATGACAAGTTTACATGTCCTGTATAAGAGACACTTCCTGGTTTTAACTTAGAGCCAAGTTTTTCATTGAACCTAAACTTCAAAGCAGCATACAGGTCTATGGATCCATACAAGCCACATGTTAGGCTTGCAGGAGGCAAGAAAAAACTCGCAGGGTGCTTTTATACTGTTCGATGGTGTGATGTAAATATGACGTGAAATATATTTTTTTGTAAAGAGGTTAGCTGCCTTTATTCTGCTCAACTGCCTCTGCCGTGAGGTTCGCTAACTTTGCCTCTACTTGAATCAGTCCGAGTCTAAGGTGCAGTCCTTGTTCGGGCTGCTGTTGATGAGTACAATGTTTGGATGTGGATGTGCTGCATGAAGCCACAGATGGTGGACTATAAGTGATATTCTGACGTAAAATTAAGTTGGGGTCAAACACACCATAACACCAAGTTAGACACCCCTCGAGAGATGAATGTTTCCAACTGCTTGCTTCTCTAGTTATACCAACTTCAGTAACAACTGTATGATAGCAATACACAGCGGTCTACATCTCTATGCGCAAACCTCAACCAAAAAGCCACTCTATAGCCACAAATAATGCTCAGAACAGCACCTAACTTCATCAACAGTACATATAGGGTCCCAGTCATAGTACTAGCCACCAAACATCTTTTTAGTTTTGTATAATTTCTTAAGCAAAGACACCAAATACAACTCAGCCCTGACAAGTTGATCACCAAGTGCAGCGGAGTTTCGCAGCTCAAGGAAGAACATTTATGATCATTACTTCGCGGAAATGCAATCAGACTGAGACGTTAAGGCAGAAGAACTACCGTGTCTGCAGTGCAAAATGATTATTATGATGATGATTACTTCATGGAAATGATCCACTGCACTCGGTGATCAACTCGTCAGGGCTCCCCCACAAACAAGCAGCTGCTGGAGGGGAGTGGGTGAGTTGTGTTTGGTGTCTTTTCTAAAGAAACAACCTTTTGGTAAAGATCTTAGGAGGACTGTATCTCAGCTGACCTTGGTCCCCATCCGATAATGCTGCCAGTACAGAATCACATTAGATTAGACCACCACTACTCCGCCTACTCAGCAGTCAGACACAGGACACCATGTTTTAGTAATCAATCATAAATCTTCAATTAAGGTTTCAGAAAAAAGCAGAGGTGATCTTTTTTTCACAGCCTTGCTTTAAGATTTTGTTTTTTGTTTTTTATTGATGCTTCTGAGCTCTATACTGCTGTCAACCAATCACATATATGGTTTTACTGCTCCACTGCTTCATTTTTGCTAATGCTTCTTACACTCTGCATTTACTCTCTTGCAAGCTCCTCTCTCCTCCTTTAGCCATGAAGGCGGAGACAACTTGGACATCAGAAAAGCTGGGTCCAAAGCAGATTTACGACCAAAACAGGAAATTATCAATAACATTGGGGAAAATACCAGCAGCACTGAAGTGAATCTTTTTCCTGCACTGGAGGAGCTAACCTTGAAGTTAAAAGGAAGAATGGCGCATTAATGGCAAGGCCTCATGAGTAAGAAGTAATGTGTACCACACACAATACACACATACACAGAAAATGGTGGAAACATAAACAATTGGCCCGGGCCAGCTGAGGGAAGTTTAAACACAGGCTTGTAATGGAGCAAGTGATTCTAGCTGAGCCAAACCTTTTGAAGCTAATCATCTGTGAACTCAGCGATTCACCGATTTAATGACTGAAATAATATTAGAGCATCCAGCTCCTCATCTGTGCTGCAGACACGCAGCCATACCCTGAATGTGCGGCTAGGAAAAAACACATATTTGACAGAGTTTGTGTTCTCCGCTTTCCAGCATTCTTCTGGAGACACTGAAGCAAGTCGGTTCACACAAACAAAGTGCATATTAAAGCCAAAGTGAAGTCTTTAAATGTATACATGATGTCAAGAGCTCACCTTTGAAACGCTCGAGGAGATGTCGTCCCACATACCAGCACGCCGTCTCAAAGTTAGGGAAGGGGTTGAGCGTTTTGACCTTTAGCCGCTTCTCAATTTCATACGCTCTGAGGAGAATGAACCAAAATGTTTCAGCACAGTAATGCCAGACATTAACCAAAGCGTGTGTTCCCGAATGTTGGTAATTCAAAAAGAAATCATCATGGGGTTTTGCCCCAAAACAGAAAAGGGAAGGTCTCAAATTCATAGAAAATCCCTCTTAGATGTGGACATGACTGACAGCAGGTGACATGAGGGATCACTGTGAGTGTAACAGCGCCTGCAGGTGCTCTTACCTCATCTGCATCTCCACGCTGAGGTTGTGGACAAAGTGCCCGGAGAACGCCAGGCAGTCCACCGGAGTCAGTATTGCATTGATCCAACCTAAGGAGGACATAGTTCGTCATAGGGGTGGGCGATATGGAAAAAATTTCACATCAAAATTTTTTTTTTCTTTTTTTTTTTTTTTTTGCGAAATCACAATCACGATAAAAAAATGGAAATAATAAATAAAATAAAATATCTAGATTTTGACAACAAACAGCATACCATTTATCTTAACTAAATATTCTTATTCTTCAATAAATTTGAACCTAAAATAAGATTTCACACACTAAAGTCAATATTTCCAAAAATGATAGGTCGTCTTATAGTCTTATAAATAATAAAAATCACTTAAAACTAATTTACAACACACAACAGATAAAGAGTATTTCTTTTACTTTTTCGCCAAATTCTTCATGATCTAGGATCGTTAAATCACACATGCCCCTAGTTCGTTATAGAGCTTACAGATATTCACTCATTCAGTTCATGAGGCCAGAGAGAGAGGGTTGTGAGAGCATGAATTCTGAAGCATTGATCGAGTGTCCTCCATCATATCAACTTAACTATATTTTAATGGGCAATAACAGTTTCTAAGTTCTTTGTCAGTATAAACTTTACACAGACTCAAAAGCTGAAAGGAGATAAAGTTAAAATCGTGATTAAAATCATTGGCACTTTGATTAAAACAAATCAGTCTGAATTGTTCGTAATTTCTGTTTTTAGTGGGTCTGGATCAGAATGTGAATTTCTAATCTCCAATTCTTAGACATTAATCATAAAGGTTCATTTACCTTTCAGATGCATTTGTTAACATTTCACTTCTTTTCACATGATTATAAATTTATTTTGGGATTTTCTTCTTCATCAAGAAGCAGCTCTGACCTGATGGGATGAACAGGGTCTGGCCTTGTTTCAGGATACATTTGTAACACTTGTCCACCTGGTCGGCAAAGAACATCTCAGTGTGATTGGACGATGATCTCCAGCGCTCGTACAGAGACAGGTTTGCAGAAGTAGGCTTTATGAGGAAGAAGATCTTTTCTCCCTGCGGACAACACATCATCATCTTTACTTTCCTTATCTCCCATCACATTTCTCACATTTCCTTTTTGAATCACAGCAGAGACAGCTGACACGGCCTGGCTGCTACATATTTCTGCTCTAGCGTCAGTCTGACTCAACAAGTCTAAACACAAGTGTGACAAACCTTTAGGACATGGTACCAGACGGAGGCGCCACCGCACTCAATATGGAAGTCCGTGTAGCTGTCTTTGACACAGATGAGACAGTATTTGGTGACTTTCGGCTTCCCAAGCAAAGCGTCATCAGGCCAGTAGTTTTCTACCCAAGACAACCGCCGCACAATCTGTGGACTCTCCACTATACTGTTCATCCTGTCCCAGAAAAACACAAAACCAAGTTAGTGCCAGCAGTTTTTCAGACCTACTTTAGTAACTCCATGTCAAACTTCACCATCAGAAAAAGAGCAAGCACCTTGTGTCGGAGAACTCCAGGTTGATGACATTTAACACTTTCTTCCTGTTTGTGCTGTAGTAATAATCAACAAACTCTTTGAGTTTCATCTTGCTGTCAGACTGTTTGGTGACATCAACAACGTCCACGCCCACATCAGGACCTGAGACAATGACAGAAGACGAGGAAGACTCATTAAAACAAGTCAAGTAAGAGTAAACATAGAAAGGGCAAACGGTTTTAGAAAACTGCCTGTAGTAGTGCACTGTTGACATGTGGTGAATGATCTCATCATTGACAGAGAGCAGGAGAAATGAAGAACACATGCGCCCCCTATTGACAAGGCAAACAGTATAGAGCATTTTTATCAATGGAGTCTTAAAGCATGGAGGTGCACTGCAGGTCACCAACTAAAACATGTTTATGCCTACATTATCTTTCATGCATTAGTGCCCATATGTTATTGAGCATTCATACTAGTAAATACTCCATTGTGTGTACTTAATTGTGCAAACATTATCGTGCCTACTTTTCCGTGCATGCATTATTGTGCATTCATCATTGTGCATGCATTATTGTGCATACTTTATTGTGCATGCATAAGTGTGCATACATAGTTGTGCATACTTTATTGTGCATGCATTACTGTGCATACTTGATTGTGTATGCTTCATTGTGCATACTTGATTGTGCATGCATAAGTGTGCATACATTGTTGTGCATACTTGTTCATGCATGCATTATTGTATATTAATGTGAAGGTATTATCTGCATAAATTATTGTGCATAAATTATTGTGCATATTTTATTGTGCAAATATTATTGTTTGTTGATTCTCCTTTGAATGTTCATGCTTTTTTGAGGGCAGTCCAGAAATGGTCTGAGGTTAATATTTTTGTATAATCAGAGTAATGGTAGATGTTATTTACAGCTGTATTTATCCACAGAGTAGTACAGTAAAATGGTTTTAGTTCTTCTTTTAACACGGGGTTGTTTTTATTAGAGCACCTGATACTTTGAGTACATCTGTAATGTGTGTGATCTTTGAATCAATAAAAATAGTACAGCAGTAAATAAGCTGTGCAACAAGTTCGATAGAAACCACATTGGCAGTGGATTTGACAGCAAGGATTCTGGTCAGAGTAGAAACAGAAGTTTACACATGCCTTGCTATTTGGTGAATTACAAAACATAAAAAGTCAGTGCAGCAGCTGAGTCATAAATTCAAAATGAAACATGTATTTATCAACAGATCTTTTTCTAAAAAGAGGTAGTGCGGCGAAACAAACCAAACATCATGTTTTTTGAGCAGAGTGTGCACATTTTAACACCATAAAGAGTAAAGTGCAGGAATTAAAGGCTCAGTACACAAGTGTCTCGTGGCATGAGGTGTGAGGATAATAGCAGAGTAATCATGGCGGTCATAATAATAGGAGCTGGAGTCATGGTGGCATCATGAGTAGCACTTTCATTAGTAACCAGCAGCTTCATTAGTAATTACTGCAGTAGATAAACAAAATACTATTTTTGTAGTTCTATTAACAATAGATAAGATAAGAAGTTTATTCATCCCTAAAGGGAAATTCAATAGATGTACTTTATTAGTAATATCAGCAGGAATGATAGTTACAGCACCACTAACAGAATCTCTTGTAAACGATCAGGGTCAATCATAGTGATCGCTTTTGTTAACGGAGTATTACACTTGGTCGTCAGTACATAGAGCAGTGTAGCAAGCAGAAGTAAAACTCTATTTCCTTACAGGCTGTAAATAGCAGCAGTTGTGGTTGAGTGGTAATAATAACAGCAGGGGTTGTACTTGTATCCACAGTATCGAAAGCGTTAGAGTGAGTCTCTTACCAACATAGTTCTCCACATCACTGATGTAGAAGGTGGGGGCGGGCATGGACATGCCAAGGCCATCTTTCTTCTGAACCAGGACTGGCTCATTGAAGCCGTTCTCCTCCAGGTAATCCATGGTCAGCTGACCGCCACTGAGCTTCACCACGACATCATCAGCACTGAAACCAATGGCGTAAAATTACACAGGGGGTTCACAATGATGTGTGATTATGTTCATCTAAGTGAGGGGAAGACCCTGATAAATTATAAGACAGCGCCCCCTATTGGGACAGTGGATAAAGTGTAGTGTATTGACAGCCAGACCGCATGTAAGAGTGTAGTGTTGAACCACGAGGTAAAAACTGCCGGCTGTTATGTCTCATGGTCCCTTCGTTTCATCAGATAGGACCTATTCCTCGTGTTCGTGGGTGTACAGGTCGATTATCAGACAAACATAAAAAAGTCCTCACCTTGGAAATGTTCGACTGCGCAGCTCCTTGATGAAAACCTGACTGCCATTCTGAACAGCTTTGATATCTGTGCTTTGCCCCGTGTCGTGTTTGCTCCAATTCTTTTTCTTTTTCACTGAGGAAAATAAAGCACAGCATGAAACACTCATCACAAGCAGCGATGCCTTTCAAAGCAGCAAGACATCGCCAAAGCCAACGATTTAATTTCAGAGAAAGACAAAAGAAAATCCTCTTGTACTTTTTCAAACATCGACTTTCACATTATTGATGGATAGTTACAGTGAAAGTTGAGGTTAGCAAAGTGAAACAGTCATGTAACGGAGGCAGCTGTTTAACTGCTTCTGAGTCAGCTGAGGGTTTGAGGAGGTACTTACAGGTGGATTTGCCGTGAGTCTTCTCACAGTTTGGACAGTGATATATGTCGATATCAGGAGCATCATCCTCATCCACCTCGACACAGCTGAAACGACAGCAACAAAAAGATTTCTGATTAGAAATGAAACTTGAGAGGAGCCATTTTAAAAAGAAGGTTAAGGTCCACGAGCTTCTTGTTTATTATGATTTTCTGCAGTATGAACATTAATCAGCCTTAATCAAGACAAAAAAATGACATTACGTATTTAACAACTCTCGAGTATTTTCCAAAAGGGGTGCACTCAGAAACTTTTTTACTTTGCACTCGTCAAAAAGTATTCTCTTCAACTTTAAATGGCAGAAGAAGTAATAAATAGTGAATGAATGTATGTGTATCAATGGCTTTGTGAGTAATTAAGTCATGGTCATTCTGCTCTTTGGCTCTAATCAGCTGTAACATTTTGTTTTATTTTATTTATTTATTTTATTCAATGTTTATTTAACAGGGACAATAAATGCAACATTGCCATGTAAAATGGAAAATGCGATGCATGGAAGACGTCTAGCTTCATCTAATTTGCATTCTTTGTCCCTGGTCAGGCTTTAGAGTAGGATAAAATATACTGAATACTACAAATGCAATAATACAAATACAGTGGATAATACAGTGAATGGCTAGGTGACATGAATAAATGAACACAGCTACAAAATTCAGATGAAACATCTGGCTTAACCTTCCTCCTGTGTTAGCTTTTACTACGCACCCACCATGTTAAGGGTCGATTTTGACTGATGTCTTAAATCTGCTGTAAATTACACTAAAAACAATTCTATATTATCCAATTTGGTTCTCATCTCTAGGTTTCCTTGTTAGGCTTCATTATCTATGAAAATATTCCTCTAATAGTTATTGTTGTGGGTCTCTGGGCCCTTCTTTGTCAGTATACCCCTCACACAGACATCTACTGAATTGATCTCACATGTCTGGACATGCCCGATGTTGTTTTTTGTGCAGGGAAAAACATGGAAAAATAAGAATTTCCTCAATCTCCCATAATTGGAAGAGATCTGACTGTCAGCGTGGTGCCTGACAGTACACTTACGATTTCAGTTTTTGCTTTAATTATTAGATATTGATCTGATGGATCAACAGCGACAAGTGCCATAATTTTAATAAGAGCATTTTATAATCAAGAGCATTTTATAATTAAGTCAATTTAATTTTTTTTATTTTGTTGAAATAGAGGTTCCTGACAAAGTCAAAAAGTCTTGATGCAAAAAAACTTATTTAAGTGGTTCTTTTGAGCATTTAAAAACAAAAACGGTTCGGTACAGATCCTAACACAGGAGGAGGGTTAAGAGGCTGGAAACCAGCTAATTTTTAAAGTTGAAAAAATAACTTCTATTTTATACAAAAATTATAAATGGATTTTTTTGGGTTGTAATGAGGTGACCAAAAAGTGGTTTTGAATTCACCTCCAATCCCTGGCGCTTTGACTCACAGCGTGGCTGCTGAGTTAGTTTTAGTCTCTCAATGAACACTTTGCAATGACATTATAATTAATTTGTATCACACTACCATCTATTTCTCATAAACCTTTCAGTGATTCAAATATGACCTCGAATCCAAAGGAAAGCATTAACTCATGACCCCTGTGACATCTCTGGCTGTTTGCTCCGAGTGATGAAGTTGTAGTGAGACAGAAATGCTTCGGCAGTGAAGCAGAAAATGACTGCAGCCTTGTGGACAGCAGATAAAGACACAAACACTGAATGGTCTTCTCTTCCTGCTGTTTCAAACAACAGCTGTCACGCTCTCTGCACAAGCAAATTCCTCCCATTTGGAGCCGCTGCTCCCAAACTCAAATGAACTGGGAGTTTCCCAGAATGTTTCTTTTATTCCCTCTGTGAACTCCGCAGCTTCACTCCACCGCCTCCTCGCTTTCACTGAAGGCAAATAAACACACGAGTGGGTGGGACTTTGGAAATAGTGGAAATGCCTGTTCATGACATCCATAACTCCATGACTCGGAGAGAAGCTAATAAAGTTTCTACTCCACAAGAAATGTGCAGCTAGTTTTCAATTTCTGTCAGTTTCAGTGACAGCTTTTAAAACAGGACAAAGAAGGTAATGATTTTTTATTTTACTCAGTAGTCGGAGCTTTCACAGCTGTTTTCTGAGGAGACAGGATCTAATGATGTTCTACTATTCCATCTCAAAGTATATGTTCTTGGTTGAGGCATTTTTTTACTATCTTTGGAGTAAACTAGAGCTATTTTTATAGGTTTTAAATACATAGATTAAATAGATTACAGCCGTAGATTCACAGACATAATGCTTGTACCACAAACGGAAGGATAGTCATGTTACTGCGTCATACATTTTTAGCAGGGAGTCCATAAATGTAAGAGATAATGTAGTTTGTCATCTTAATAAACTCTGAATCTCCAGTCCAAACATGCATTATGTAAGAAAATTTTATGTCAATCTTAAACTGTGAAAAGTTATAGCCTCTCTTTTTTTCACCTCACTAAAAAACCTGCAGCTTCTTTGTGTGAAAGGTTAGAAAACTGTCTCACAACTTCTCCATTATCTCATAGTTTGTACCGTTGTAGGATCAGGTCTAAATGTCTACAGTAGGGCTGCACAATTAATCAATTTTAAATCGTCATTGGATTACTTTTTAAGACGATCTTAAAACATTTTTAAAAATTAAAATCGTCAAATTGATTTTCCTCTCTATCATGTCTCACACCTCTAGGCCACCATAGGCTCCCCCTTCCAGCAGGAGCGCTCCCCAGTTCCCCCACACACCAGTGTAAACAAACATGGCGTTTGCAAAAGAAGGCGATAATTTTGTGGCTAAAGGGTCGCAAGAGCAAGTCAGTCATGTGGGATTGGTGTGGCTTTGCAGTTTCGTGTGAAGAGAAAGCCACTCCCTGCTAAAAAGTCTGTCTGAAGGTGCTATCAACGTGTCCACACAGAAACTAATTCAGGAGTAAACGCAAAAGCTTTTTGTTGCATTGGCATTCCATCCACACGGAAACAGCGTTTTCAAGTGACTGTAAACTATACTATTTTAAAATGGGTCAGAGAGTGTATAAATTCATAAACGACCACCATTTCATCTCTGCGTGGATGCCTATCTGCATCTATCGAAACGATTATGTGACACACAGCGTAACTCCTCTATGTTGCCTGCGCCTGTCCGGCCAAAATAACCTTTATATGCTCTGTACTCTTCTGTCTTTTGTGCATTTTCTCAGCAACGTTAGGGCGCCGCTTACTGGCTTGGCATAGGCGCTATATCGTTTTCAGTGGTTTTGTTTTGAGAGATGATAGAAAAACTTACTATTTTTAAAGTGAAGTTTGGTGAAGTTGTCACTGGGTAAAAAAATCGCAATCGAAAATTGAAAATTGACTTTTCAGGGAAAAAAATCTGGATTTTATTTTTGGCCAAAACGGTTCAGCCCTAATCTACAGTTTCAACAAAAACATGTTAAATAACTCTGCCACACATACTGCAAATAAAACACTTCATGTCTGAAACATCGTGATTTCAACAATTTAATAACAATACTGTCAGTCTTATGTTTAAAGCCAGGCATGAAGTATTTTACCACATCTTTCACACTTTAACATCAGTTTGCAACAACATAGAGCTGCTTCAGGGTTAACAGTGTCTTTCTCTCTCAGGACAGCCAGGATTCATTAAAAACACTCATTTTTATCTTGTGTGCACCAACATTGGCCTCTGTCCAGGGATTGGGAAAGTAAGCTTTTAACTGAATGCGATATGCGTACATCATGTATCGTCTCCATCTGGTCCCAGCAAGCCATCGGTGTAAGGACTCCATGGGGGATTTTCCTGCTACTGCTCGGATCAATCATCCCACCTCTTAAAAAATCTCCCCATAGAGTCCAATCGACCAAGACTTTCTGCTGAGTAAGGTTATTCTGATAATTGGTGTAATAAAAGCCTTTTATTCTGAAACTTCTCTCTCCTGATCGAAACAACCTCAGCCTCTTCACACTATACATGACACATTTAGTATGTTTACAAGTTATTCTTTCTCTTTTTATCATTTATAATCTGCACTGACTGACAAATTGTGCGTTGCCTCGCTGACCCCCTTTCATTCAAATAAAAATGGGTCTGTATTCCCACCATACTGTTTAATCTTTTACCGCACAGTTTGAGCTTGTTAACCAGAAGAACGATACAGGAGATGTCGACAACGATCTTGATCAGGCCATCATATGCCAGCAAACTTCAGCAGCATCTATCCACATTAGCTAACCAACTTTTGACAATTTTATTTCACTTAACATGTTGAATCAATGTTGTACACAAAGTTCAGATCAAAAGATTAAAGGTCCTTTCACACCAGGAGCGTTTTTGTCGTGCGATTATTTTGGACGTCAATCAGCGACGTTTTCCGGTCCTACTGTGTGTCCACTTCTGACCAATCAGATTGCGTGTTGTTGCGATGTCTGATTCACCGGTATATCCAACATGGCCGACTGGCTGATTGTTTACGTGTTGGAGAACAGAGTGCTTTTTGATAAAAAACACAAATATTACAAAGATAACGACCTAGAGGACAACTTGTGGAGAGTCATAGCGTCGGATTTCTCATATGACAATGGTTTGTGTGCTTTAAGTTTGCTAAATGTTTTTGTTTTAACTTTCATCTGTGCTAAGTAACTTTAGCTTGTAAGCTAACCTGTTCAGATACAACATACCATATGTATTTTCACTGTCTCAAACTCAAGCGCGTTGCTGTCACAGCACCATTAGGTCTCAGTTGTTACCTTCCGTTTATGGATTATAGTTTAATGTTCTTATCTGGTACTGGCCCCGACTCAGTACATGCTATCATGACTGACAGCCATCTCAACACTAGTGTCTAATCAGAACTGAAAAACAGTCAGTCTGCTGTTGTGTCAGTCTTCTCGCTTCCACCTGGGACGCATCTTTTTCCCCCCCGGAAAGTCGCAAAATTGCATCGGGCTTGATATGTATAGTCAGGGGCGTCAAATTCTCCTCTGAATATTTCGTAATTTTGCGTTCTATATTCGCGTCGGCGCGGGTGTGTAAGGACCTTAAAAGTTAGATTTGACACTGAGCTGAATCATCTGGGAACGTTACATTTTCTTTGATCCAGTTGAATTAAAGTCAGAAAGAAGAAGTGATTGATTTCCTCATATTACCTTCAGAGAGTTTAGTCCAGCATGGCTCCCTCTCTGTTTAGGTACATTATATTTGAATGCACAGGGTGATGAGATCTGACTATAGTTAGTTACTGTTAATTATTGTCTGACATCTCACAAAGGCATGTTACTAAAGAACCTGCATGTCTGTGGCTCTGATGGCCTTAAGTGATCGTCAACAGGCTGATTATCTGTTTCCTTACCTACGGTGGACTGAATCAATCACGCTCTGGCTAAACCACACTGTTGGCAGCCTGGCATGCGCTTAAAGGGAGCAGCTGCTGTTGCACAGATTACAGGTGATCACAGTGACAGGAGAAGAGAGAACAGAGGTTTAACAGGATGATGCTCTGCTGCAGAGTTACCGAGTTAAGATACAGGTGCTTTAGAAAACCAGTCAAAAAGGTTTCTGCACAGCAGGTGTCTGTCTATTACGTCACTGGTAAAGAAGAGGATTCACAATATAACTTTAACAAACTAAAAGTTTTACTAACTAATGTCCTCACTTTAGATTCTGTATCTGGTACAGTGCTTTATCCACTCTCGCCTGCTATTTAAGTCATTAGTACTGTAGCAGTTATACACTTTCTTAGTGGCCGACCACAGGCTATAATTAAGCACACTAAACAGTTGTGTCTGTCAAGGAGGACTCTTCTCTCTGAGCAGATAGACGAGGTCTGGGTATGAGGCTGAGCAACACCGGAGAGAAGTGGTCACGCTGAGTCCATTTCAGAGGATAATACCAACAAATTGATGTCGCTCTAATTGTTTTTAAAGTGTGACCAATGGTGTCCTATTAAAATGTAATAGAAAATTAAAATACTGGAGGCTCAGTTGAGCTCAGTTGGTAGAGAAGGAACCCCACATAGAGGCTAAAGCTCTCACTGCTATGTTCATTTGATCAACCCTTGGTCCCAGCATGCTTGAGGATAAGAAGGTTACAAAGTGAGAAAAACAACGGTTGAGACAAATACAGCAAAAAAAAAAAAGACATCTAAAGGCCAATCATTTAAAGTGATTTCTTAGTAAACTGGATGAAGTAAAATGCTGACATTTATTCATATTTATTTAGTTTTATTTAAACTCACTAATGCTGAGTTCCAGTTGTACTCGGAAGTCAGGATTTCTGAGTCGGAAATTCATCTGGAACGTCCTGAAGTCTGATTTCCGACTCGGAAAGTCGGACGATCCTCACCAACCACAACTTGACCACAACGTAATAATCCAAGATGGCAGCACAGTGCATCAACAGTAAAGAGTAACAGTAAAAGCTCTTGTAATGTATTATTTATTATCACTTATGTTTTGCTTTTGTGAAATTAAATAAGTGGTTAATGTTGTACTGCCCAACGTCTAACTGTGAACACGGTGCTATGGTGCTTGTAAGAGTAAAACACTGTGTTATGCGTTGTTTACAACTGGTATAGCTAACAACAACTGACAACCGCTAACAACAACTGACAACAGCTAACAACAACTAACAACAGCTAACAACAACTGACAACCGCTAACAACAACTGACAACAGCTAACAACCGCTAACAACAGCTAACAACAACTGACAACCGCTAACAACAGCTAACAACAGCTGACAATTGTTAAAAACATCTAACAACGGCTAACAGTCGGTGTCCATCTTGGTTTTCCAACTTGTTTACTGAAACGCCGCCAACTCTGGTGTAACGTCAATCCCAGCTCTGACTTTCGAGGTAACTGGAATGCAGCATGAGTTACTGTCAGGCTGTTGCTACGGTAACACTAAACACTCTTAACAGAGAGTCAGATATATGTTAATAAAATGATTTGTCACACATAAAAATCACACACATAGTGATGTTGGTACGAGTAAGAGGAAAAGATCAATACTATGAAGACAGCTGTTTTTTACGGTACCTTACTGTTTCAGTTAGTGCTGCATGGACCTGATCTCCAAAATGATGGGACCATCACCCTAAACATCTCAACTGACATGTGTTATTGTTTGATTAAAAGTGGACCGTTAGGGGGAAAAGTCATCGACTATTAAAAAAGTATTTCCTTTTTGATCGTTGGCAGAGCAGTTGTTTTGTAATTTCTCACATATTCATCTAAAATGCCGTGGGCACAGGCAAAAAAAATGTCCTGTAGCTCCACTGTGTGTGATCAGCTGTCTGAAAAGATGTCACAGACACTTAAATCAAAACCACGGTCTGTCACAGTGACAAATGTAGTAACATCATTCATGGCTTCTCAACTGCCTGAATGACGCCTGGAGTCTGGCACCGAGCCAGGGCCATGCTGGTTTCAGAAACCAGAAGTGAGAGGAGCGAGGTATCAGCAAACAGCCAACAGAGTTATCAAAGTTTAACAGTCAATACAACAGTGAATGAGACTGTATATGTGGTTTACCCCAACCACATCTGCTTCTTCATCAGGATGAAGATGCTGAGAGAGGTGGTGGGATGTCGGGGTGAACGACAAAGTCACAAAGACCCCTCAAAGAAATACTCGACAAAAAACAGCACTTATTAACCAACAAATAAAGAGATCATAAACAGGACATGCAGTAGACCTGCTATTGAATGCTAAACATCCATAATCAAACCTGAAGTTGTCTGACAAAAAATAAATAAAAAAGATAAAATAGAATAAATTATGAATAAATAAATGAAACACAACCTCTTGGAATGCTAATTATGGCATTATTACTCATATCATTTTTGTCTTTTTGATCAAAACGGGCTCAAAAGGTAGAAAGAGTGTGAAAGGTTAAGAGCAGACAACCAGCTCACCTCATTTTAAGTGTCTATGCTCCTCATAAAACATATTCAGACCTAAAATCACTGAGACACTCGTTTTAATGTATCCATGACCCAACCTGAGCAGTTTTGTTTTTTTTATCAAAGGCTGTAGTTTTTTCTCTGTCTCTTCTACAGTCTGGCATCTTAAAATAATAGGCTTTGGGGGCATTTATGTGGGAGAAAGAAATTGTTGATGTATGTCCTTTTTCAAATTTCTGTATGAAACCAATACAATGACATTGTATTGTTGATAAGTCATGCCTGCTCAGAGGTGCAGTGGTAAATGCTAATAACAGATTGGTTAACATTCCCCTCCAATTACTACCTTTCATAGCCCTTCACCGTCATCTAAAAGAGAGCTAACTACTACCGTGAATTCAGTCCTGAAAAAAGAGAAGATAAAGAGAGCGCTGAGGGATTGTATCTAAAAGTTTTGAGTCCAGTATCTGTGCCATGTTTCCTCATATGTACTTTGTGTGTGATCTATCTCAGATCTCCAGGGTCTATCTATCACTGTGATGGTTCTCTGAGGTGAGTCCCAGATTGCAGTAAACAAAACAAAATGACATAAAATTGCTAGTATCTTGGGAGAAAAGGTCTTAGGTTCCACTGTATAAACGTGCACTTCATCTGGAAAGACATATCGCCAAATAGTAAAGAGCTCTATACACAACAACCCCACCACCACCACCACCTGTGCGATTCATGGACCCAAAGGGAAGCCTATGGTTTGGGATCTCTCCATGGTGCATGATACATCGTTACCATCCTGAAACAGAGCGGTGAGTCTACTGACTGCTAGACTCAGATACAGTCTTTCCTCCCTTATCTGATCACTTTGGTTTAAGATGTTTTTTTTATAGAATCTGAGAGTTTTCAATCTTTTGGATCTTGATTGATGTTTTTATCTTTCCAATTTGGTGAAATCATGCTTTTACTTTTAATCTCTTCCTTGACGTGCTTCTGGGTAGTGCCTGAGAAAGAAAAGATTTTGTTTTAGAGATCGCTTTTCTCCTTCTCTCACTTCTTCTCACACCCACCAAGCCCAGGGAGGGTCTGTCTGTTAGGCATGCATGAGTCGGGCATGCCCTCATGAGTCACAGCTCTGCTGACCACATTTCACTGTTATAAGTCTGACTAAAATGCTGTTAAAGTCTAAAGGGTGGCGCTTGGACTGGGACCTATGTCCAGTATTACATATTTCCAACATGTCACACTTAGCCAGAAACACGGATGAGTGGATTTTATATGAGCACAGTTGCCAAGGCCTCCTTCATGATGAACTTGGCTTGGCTTTAACAAAAAGGGTAAAAACTGGTAGACCAGCCCTGGCTGGACTCTCTGCTTCTTGTGTCTGCACAGTTGCTAACTAGACTATGTTAGTGCCTTTAAGAGAACAGGTCTGAAGTAACAGGTCTGCAGGTTGAGGAAACAGCCTTTGGTCTACTTATTCAGATATAAAGTAAAAATGACCAGTATGGTCATACTCACATCACAGTATTCCTCCAGAAACAAACACAATGTCAACATTTCCCATTGATGCTGGTCTTCATCAACTCTGTTACTAGTGGTGGTCTAAGGAAGAACTTCTGTGTTTCCAGTGTTGCTTAATGGGGCAGCCAGTTTTTTTGCCCCTCTGACTGAATAAACAGGCTTTACGTGTTGGGGGGGCAGATTTTCTATCTTGGGATCTTGTTTCCGCTCATCTAGATCTTTGCTTGTGTTGTTCTTGTTCTCATATGTACGTCGCTTTGGATAAAAGCATCTGCTAAATGACATTGCAACACTCATCCTGATTGGAAAAAACACCTAAAAAGTTATATCAAACTTCATTACTTCAATGGCATCTCGCACTGTTTCTGTTTAACATGTGTGAAAGCAGCTAGCCTCCCTCTGTTCATTTGAGAATTATCCAGAAAGACTAAGTCCAGTTACTTCATATGACTCAGATAAGTCTGCTGAAAAGCTTTCCTTTCCTATCATGAATTACTGTTTAATAAAGCAGTCATTTAAATGTATTGGTGATTTTTTTTTCTTGCTCCTTGGTGTTTATCATTGCTTCTCTTTCACTACAGTCTCTATTGCTTCAGTTAGACTTCATGTGGATTAGCTGAATGGGTTTTTTGGTTAATACCTGTCCAGTACTGCCGGTATACAGAATCTAGAAATTGTATTCAGTTCAACGAAAGCACATTAGTTTCCCTTGCCTGTCAACATATTGTTCCTCTTAGTGCACCCTAAAGGGATCACAGCATCTCCTCTCCTTGCCTCCTGCTGCTGCTGCTGTGATAGGAAAATTAAACCTCAATACTTCTAATTGGCACATTTAATTTACCAAAGTCCCAGAGGGCTCAGTAGATGAGTCAAAATATGTCAAACTGAATCAAGTGATCATCAAAGTTCTTTCAGTCTGAGCTGGCACCTACGAGCGAAGCATACATGTGCAGCTAGTGTCAGGGGACGACCGCATCACAGCCTGAGGGAGCGCTTTTTCAGAGAGTGTGAACTGTTGCTGAATTAAATCTTCCAGGTTAACTACAGCACTTACTAAACAGGTGGCAAGACTGGTCATGACTAGGGCTGCAGCTATCGAATACTTTGGTAATCAAGTATTCTGCCAATTATTCCATCGACTAATCAAGTAATCAGATAAAACACATTTTTTTTGTAGTTAAAATGCAGTTATCACGAAACAGTCATGGAACAAGCGTGTCCGTTAGCAGATTGCAATGCTCGTAAGACGGCTAATTATGATGTTAGCTTTCATTATGTCCCTGAAGACATTAGTGTCTGAGAGCTGAATAGCTCCTATGTTGCATGCTACTGCTACCACACCGGCAATGTAAGGCTGCAGTAGCATTAAGAGGAGTGTGCAGAGGAGCGCTATCTCCGCCCACGACTCAGAGGCGAATTGCTAATGAGCTACTGGAGCTCTGCAGAAGAAAAGCCCCTCTTATCATTCAGTTTTTTCACCAAAACCGTGCTTACTCCTCCTTCTTCCATGGTGACGTGTTGTGTCACCTTGAAAATAATTTGTGCGAAACAGTGACGATTTGAGCTCACAAACGAGAACTCGAGGCAGAGAAAATTCCTTCAGACCGGAATCTTTTCAGACCTGTAGGAAACAGAGTGAGCAACCAAAGGGAAACTCTGCTCTAACTAAGCATCACTAGATACCATGAATTAATCAAGGTGATGTCAAAATCACTGTACATTTGACATTTTGCACATGCAGTCCTGAATTTGTCTTACTGTGCTACTAAATTTGACAGAATACACTTGTTAAAGCTGTCTCCTCCTTCTGGGTTATGGCTTCAGGCCGCTCTGGTCATTAAGTTGATTTCACTGCATTTGTTAAATACACTGGTTAGAACACATTTACATTGTTACTAATAAACTATTTCAAAATGCAGAGGAATGTATGTGGTTAAAATGTCATTAATTTCAATTAACAACTCGAATTCTGTAATTAATTCATCAATGGACAGCACACCTGAAGTAACTAGGTTTATGACACAAGCTAGCCAGCAGGGCAAGCTTGACAGTGTATTGCTGTAGGGCAGGTTCCCATAGAGGTAAGAAAGACAAAGCTTTCAGTCAGTGGTTAGACCTGCTTTTTGCCCCTGAAATGGGTTATCACTCTGAAAAAAAAAAAAGACAAACACTTAAAGCTCCAGTGAGAAACTTGCCGTTCAACTATTACTGGCATCCCCTGTGAACAAATATTACTGTCAACATTGCCTGAACATGTCTACTAAGTGTCTTGTGATGATAAAAACTTTGCTACTGTCCTGTTACAATCAAACAACCTGGACTGTTAAACTGTGAGAGCAGCTACTGCAAATACACCCTAATTCGTCTTAGATAGTTTACCTTCACACATAACAGGACTACATGAGTTTAGTTTTCTATGAGTTAAGCACAAACCTTGCTGGATTTATGTTTTTCAATGAAACTAATCTTTTTTTTTTCAATTCTTGACACAATACAAAACTCCTGCAAGGCTGCAGTCAGCTTAGGATACATTAGAGTGGACAGTAACATAGGCAGACGCTGCTTTAACTGTCTGTTACAACTTTTATGAGGAGAGCATCATCAGCCCAACACACTGGTCTAACAGCGGCTCTTACAACGATTCTTCAGCCTGGTTTGGTTTGTGAGGTTAACAGCCTGCCATGCTGTTTCTCCTTCACTCCGCTGGACACAACACAAACTGTGCTGAATCAACAGACTCGCTTAGATCGTGCACTTTTAATTTCTGTTCAGAAATAACACCACTGACTGTCGGTCAAGAAGAGGCCATAGGTAACGGTCGCAGTAAATATCTGATTTTTTGCATTTTTAATCTGCAGGTGTCTTGTGATGGAGCTCATTTCTGAATTATAGTTTACTTAAATCATAATATTGGGTCTCATTTAAACAGTAACCTGAAGCATACTTATGCTGAAGTAGCTGACTGACTTCATGACAGTGTCTTCTCTCTCAGAGTAAAAACACACAGAAAACATGCCAAAACAAACAAGGCCCGACTCACAAGAACCAAAATCTCATGTTAACATGATGGTATTGAGAAAAAAGACAGCAGAGAACAGCAGTGACTCTCAAGCTTTATGAGATTTATGCTCTTGCTGTCCAAACAGCAGTGGTTATTTTTCGGCATTTAAGGCATTAGGCCATTAATGGTCCCTATATGAAGACATGGTTGACCTACAACATGTCACTATTGTACTTTGTAGTTGGATTTAATGTTACAAACATCGACAGTCCAACATGCTAAGAAAAAAACTCTCTGAGAAACAGGATTTTCAGCAGGATGTGTGATAGTTATGACTGACCTATATTTTAACCAAGCTTGGCACTAAGACTGTTTACTTTACCAGTCTTTGTCTCACTGTTAGAAGCAGATGAACCCCAATACAAACAAAGGGATACACACCTTTAAGCACATTTAGTATCTGACACATATTCCCTCACTGTTTCATAAACTGCTATTTGTGAGCCCTAAGTTTGGCCTTTTGGTCACCATAATCTCTGTTTGAAGGCACAAGAAAGGGGATATTTAGATGAGAGGGTGAAGCGTGAGAGCTGGTCAACACCAACCAAGTCATCAAAGTTACATTGTGTGTGCCTGTGGCTAATTACTAAGCTAGCTAATGAGCTAGTAAACGTATTCCCTACAGAGTGGGATTCTGTTGTGGGGTTCAGTTGAGGTTGTTTCATTGGACTAAAGCAGGTAAGAGAAAGCGTGGCCCATAGAGGACTTCATCTGCAAAATGAGCGCCAACCAGATTCCTGAAAAAAAACAATCTATACGTCAGCCTGACTTCTCCAATGATAGTCCCCTGACTGTAATGCCCCTTCTGCCACATACAAACCAAAATAAGACAAACACTGTAAAAGCTAACAAGTGAGATTTGTTACACATCAATGTGACTATCATATTACTAGACTTTCATCATTGGAGAAAACTAGAGTGCAGACTTCTTGAATGGTCTGTCAGTACAATAAACTGCACGGGGAGTCATAATATTTGTTTGATATTTGCATAAATAGATCCCTAAAGGCACCAAATACACAAACACAGCCCAGACTGTAGGTTCGCTGTCTGAGGAGACAGCTGGTGTCACCAGAACACAACCACACCCCACATAACGATCAGCTTTTAGCCCTTATTAAGTTTGAACACATTTAAACACATTTAGTTTGCATTTTTTTGGGACTGACTTGCATTTGGAGCTAGCCTCATGCAGCCACTTTTAGAGCTCCAGTTTTTGGTTGAAGTTTTGGTCTTGACATATGATCTGGAATTAAGTTGTTCCTCAGGGATAACAGGTCCTTGAGACAACCCATTCACTTCACATTCTCCTGTGTGCTTCAATAGCTCAGTTTCTATATTAAATCTGTTGTCCCTCATGTTTAACATTACCCATGCTTGCAGCACGTTTCCCCTATATCCAAGATCACTAAATTATCACCAATTAGTCTGAGGTTAGCTGCGCCATCTGGCTGCGTCACAACGGGCTTAAAAAAATGTATGGTTATGAAAGCTAGCCTTCCATCTACCAGGTACAATATGAGGGAATAGAGGGAAAAAGCTGATCTTGTTTCCTTATTTATTGCAATAATGAAGGTTTTTCTGATATAAATGCTCATACTGAAATTTAAATAAATTTGCTTTTTACTATGTTCGTCAAATGTGGCAGAGCTAGAAATTTCCATATCCCTGTGATGGTCGAGTGGTAGCCAGTCTAGGCACTATCAACAACTTTATCGTCATTTTCTCAGTCAAAATATGGCAAAACCACGCTGCACCGCAAAATGTCACCTGTACTTGTTTACATCCTGCCAGTGGAGCATTAACATATCATGGCAGGAACTATACAGTAAATCAGGGTTACAGCCTCGGCTGATTGCTGGTGTCAGCACTTAAACCAAGACACGACACACGGCTGTCATTTTAGGCTTGCAGTCATGAAGATGCAGTATCAATAAATCTTCAATTAGTTATTCTTGATCAAAACCATCAAGAGTGACAATGTTTGATTCTTCAGTCAATTTAACACATGTACATTACTGTGTTTACCTTAGAAACCATCTTTAATTTTGTGGGTTTCACTGTTATAGTCTCTAGTTTTTGACCCACCCTTTTTTTCTGTTTTTGTCTAATCATCTTAACCATCCCTCTGTTCATGCATGAATAGGGTTAAGGTCAGAGTCTGTGATTTGAAACACATTTCAGTGGTGTGTTCTTCATAAATATGTTCTGCTATCAATAAATAATTGACTGTAACTATAAACTGTCATAATGTAAAGGCCAATCACAATCAAGCACTTAAGGCTGCTATGCGGTGAGATTAACTTTTTTCTTCCTTTCGTCTCTGCTCATATTTTTGACCTTTTCCTAGAAATGTATGGTTGAACTAGATATGATCTGATAAATGATATTTGAGTATACTATTTAGCAAACTTGTACATAATACACTTTTTTATGAGCTTTATGATCTATTGTTCATATAAAGATTTGTTTTACATAACAAAGCACTGTTATCAGCATTAAGCATTGCAATAGGTACGTGTAGGTAGAGTGACATTTCACAAACCTCAATTCCAGTGAAGTTTGAGCTTTGTGTAAAATGTGAATAAAACTAAATAGGCAATGATTTGTAAATCCAAAGACAAGGTATTTAATGTTCAAACTGATAATCTTGATTGTTTTGTTGTAAATATTTGTTGTAAATATTCACTGATTTTGAATTTGATGTCTGAAACTCGTTCCTTAAAGCTGATTGAGGGTCATGTTTACGGCTGTGTTACTTCACCTTTCCTTTAACAAAAGTCAGTAAGCCTTTGTGAACTGTGGACATGAACTGTTGAAGCTTTAGAGGTGAATTCTTTAACAGGATTGATTGATGGACCACTTCAGCTGATCAGAGGTCTCCATGGTGGTATTTTTTGCTTAAAAATGATCCACGCATGGTTACTGGGAGACAGATCTGAACTGCAGGCAAGCCAGTCTAGTACACGGACTCTTTGACTCTGATGCTTTGCTGTTGTAACTCGTGCAGAATTCGTCTCAGCGTTGTCTTTCTGAAATCAGCAGGGACATCCCTGAAAAAGGGAAAAACCTGCATGTACCTTTCAGCATTAATGGAGCCTTCACAGATGTGACAGTTAGCCATGGGCACTAACACATCCCAGGCCATCACAGATGCTGGCTTTGACCTTTGACCTGAGGACAGTCTGGATGGTCCTTTTCCTCTTTAGTCCGGAGGACACCATGTCCATGATTTCCAAAAACTATCTGAAATGTGGACTTGTCAGACCAAAGCAGACTTTTCCACTTTGGGTCAATCTGTGTTAGATGAGCTCAGGTCCAGAGAAGCTGGCGGTGTTTCTGGCTGTTATTAATATCTGTCTTTGTCTAATGTAGCGATGAACTATGTTCACTGTTAATGGTTTTTTGAAGTCCTCCTGAGCTTACGTGGTAAAATCCTGTACAGAGTAGGGTTTTTTTTTTTTTTCTTAAAGTAGTGCCACCTGAGGGGTTAAAGGTCACAGTTATTCATTGTTGGTTTTGGGCCTTGTTGCTTACCTGCATAGATTTCTCTAGATTCTCTGAATCTTTTGATGATATTTTGGGCTGTAAACCATCAAACTCTAAATTCTTGCAGTTGTACATCGAGAAACATTGTTCTTAAACTGTTTAACTATTTAGCTCACTCAGTTGTTGACAAAGGGGTGAATCTGGCTCCATCCTTGCTTGTGAAGCACCGAGCTTTCAGAGATGCTCTTTTATATCAAACCATGACCCTCACCTGTTTCCAATGAACCTGTTCACCCGTGGAATAATCCAAGCAGGTGTTTTTGGAGCAGTCCTCAGTTTCCTGTCTTTTGTTAACCCTGAACCAACTTTTTGTTACAGACATCAAATTCAAAATGAGTGAATATTTGCAAAAACAAACAAACAAAAAATCAAGTTTATCAGTTTGAACATTAAATATCTTGTCTTTGTTGTGTATTCAATTTACTTTAAAGTCAAATTAGTAAAAATGTTGCAGACAATGTTTTAACACAAACATGAAAAATATAACAGCTAGCTTAGTTGCTAACTGTTTAGTGGGTTTATTATAGCTTTTCTGCCAAAAAAGATAGTTTAGTTAATGAGAAATACAAATTGAACTGGATGCCATTTCTTTAGTGTCAGAAGCGGAGGAGAGGCAAATATTGTTAAAAGTGGGCTTGCAGTGTCACCTTTGGAGCATTGTCACAATTTTACAAGCTTACGATTAGTCTTGACTGGTGCTAAGAGAAACTGGTGCCAGATTATTTTGTGAGACTCTACAGCAAATAAATTCCCCAAAATATTACCTGAGATTACCCAATATTCCCTTACATGTTAACTTTCCATTGGTGTAATAGACTGGTGTTGTAGAGCTTATCACACCTGACTTCAGACAGCATAGAAGACATCCGCTGTACATGAAGCCTATTTAAAATCAACATGAAATCGGTCTTGTCTACAGACCTACAGTTTGTAGATATGTAATTTGTTTTATTACTTTAACCATTTTGAAAAACAAATGTAGTGTATGTATGAGCCAGTACAGTTTAGAAGAGAAGTGAAAGGATGCAAAATCCATAAATCCTACTATATTTACCTTTTAATATTTTAACATGAATCTCCTACTTCCTACTTTATGTGTGACATGGTACTCAGGCTGATGATGATGGTTATGTTACACAGAGGTAAAGAAACTGCATGAAATTCAGTTATATATCTGACATTTGCTGTCCTTTTTGCTGTTTTCAGTTCATCTGGTTCATGCTGATGCTAAACTGAAGGTCATGTCTGATCCTTAGCACTTCATTCACCACTACACAATGTAATAACGCTGTAAAGTCTGGGCAGCTAGGGGGAGCATTAAAGGGTTAACGTTCGGGCGCGTAAATACTCTTCATTGCTCTGACGGGCTTGTTCACCAAAGGAAACACGATTAACAAATCATCTATTACCAATTAGACACCCCGAGAGCAGCCGAGCAGCATGAAACATGCCGAAACAAAGCGGAGTGCAATGGTAGATCTGTAGCTGCAACTACAACAACAGGAGGGAAATAAAACATGATGATAACAGGGGTTTGGCTGAGAGCAGGACAGCGTATGTACGGCGGAGAAAGTGATTAGCGTTGGTGGACGATACGTCTGCGTTTAAACACAACGAAACTACACAGCTCTCATCTCTGGTATAAAACAGAGTCAGATAAACACACTGACTGTAAAAGAAAATGTGCTATTACCCTACTAAAGCTTAAGGGCATCCAGTACGGGCTATTGTCAGCCATAGCTGCTGCCTGGCAGGAAGGCTGTACGGGGCTGAGCTCAGACTCCGGTCGTGATTTTTAACCGTGCTCTGTAGAAACAGTCGGTGAAAAATAGGAGAATGTTGACATTGTGACAACACCGGTACACAATAAGGGCGAAATACTGGTTAGAAAGCGGTAGAAAGGAGGGCGGACGGAGGAGAAATGAGCAGCGAGACTGCCTCGGCTTCCCCCGCTGCCTCTGCCGCCCGCTCATTACAACGGGAATGGTTCAGTTTGGGGCTATGCGGGGATGTTTGAGACACATCGAGCGCAATTAATAGACGAAGCCCATGCCGAAATAACTCCATTAACGACTGTAACTTTTTACCATAATAGTCTCTTTAGTGTTATTTACGAAAAAATGTCACAACCCCGGTCAGCTATATTTAACTCCGCCTTCTTCTTCTTCTCCAAGCGGCCTCTCCTCAGATGTAGACGGGCGACTGAGAGCCACAAAGCTGTCAAACGCACCGAGACCTCGCCATTTTTGTTTGTTTTCTACAAATGCAAACCGCCACAAAAACACAACGTAGAGCAATCTGGCCTTACCTGCCGTGGAACCAGTCCTTGCAAGCATCGCACTCGATCATAAACTGGGTCACGTCGTAAGGTAATCTGCAGATGCAATATACTGGTACAGTCGCCATGTTCAATTCACAACTACGTCGGGATAGACTGGGGGGGCTGCAGGAGGAACAACGTCCTGCAAACAATATGATCCAATATGATCTTCCCCGGAAAAAAAGCCAGGGGCAGACCCGCCGGACACATGAACCTAAACGCACATCTCCATCACACCGTAAAGCGTGGTGGAAACGATGGAGGCTCTTCGTAGCAGACTTTCCTGAAATGCATTATTATTATTATTACTATGTGCATGCCCCCTGGTGACTGTACGTTACGGCACCGAGGCGGTCATATTAGAAGCAGCCAGAGGAAAGTGTAGCTTCGATGTCGTTGCGAAATTAAGAAATAAATAAATAAATAAACGCGAATGTTACGTCAGGGAGCTGGTTTAAATCCGAGGAGCTCAAATCAGATGAATGAATGCCCGGATCAATCAGCGATGCAGATATATCTGTCATGAGATTTATTTCCTTATTTTTATTATTATTATTTTTAATACAAGACGTTTGAAATCTGCAGACCTGCTTAAAATAAAGCCGTGTTAGATAGCTATCGTGAGCTAATAAAGTCATTTGTAATGAAATAATACACTATTACGTAACTCAGTCAATAATCAAATAAAACGGCTTTTAAATAATGAATAGTAATATAAGAACACGAATAAGATGCATATTAGATCGCACTGTATTGGATTATGAAGCATAATACAATGTTATTTATTAAACTGGAAACGTGAAATTACAGAAGCTGGTCATTTTTAGTGATTTCTTTACAATTATTCCATTTTTCAGGTATCATTTTCTTTGCTTTTATCATTCCTATATATATCATAAAATCCTATATATATCATAAAAAAATTATACATATATATAAATATATAATAATAAAAAAAATATATATATATATACATATATATATATATATATATATATATATTTTTTTTTTTAAGGCACATTTAAACGAAATCATGAGTGAAGCATAATCACAGAGAATCACCAGTAATAAAAATTATGGGAGGTTGAAATATGGTTTATAGCCTACCAACCCTACCTCTGGCTGTCAGTGTGAAAAGGGTATTTGAACATATTTACTTTAACTATGAGGGGTGAAAACCGAAACCCAAATTGATATAACCAATTTTTATGAAATTAAAGACGTTGATAAATCAAGTATTTTGATTGATACTGTAGGTCTTGTTTCTTGGGGTGGAGCATTTCTGTGCCTATTACTGAGAGGTGCTGGGCTTCACATTGTAAAAGTCCTTCTTGGATATTCCTTTTTTTTTCTTTTTTATTTAAATAAAACTGAGGATATGCTATTAAGTATTTTTTTATTTTAATTGTAACCCCAAGTCCATTCATCAGCCTTCTCCAGAACTATCAGCTCTGTTACTCTGTCCTTATCAGTGCCCTTCCAGGTGCCACCATTATGTGCTTCTCTACAGTTTCCTTCTCAAAGAGCCGTGATGGTTGACTTGAATGATGGGTGAAATCTCTGGGAAAAAATGAAAAAAAAAAAAAAAATGGCTTTTGGGTGAACAACCTGTTTAATCAGTCTGAAAGATTTTTTTTTTTTTTTTTATAAATCTGACTTTTTTCTTCCTCTTGCATCTCAACTAATCTGATTGATCAGAGAATGATCTAAAAAAAATAAACTGAACATTTACAGAAATATATGTATTTGTAAAATTGACTTTAAACATTACAAGCAAATTTACATCACAACAGCTTTATAAAATAAACGCGGGGACTCAAAAATGTGGGGATTCAGCCAGTGAGCAAGAAAGGGTGCTACACACATGCCGTTACTGTTTGATGTCTGATAAATAAACCGCAAACAGCTTATACTGAAAGAATATAGTTTTATTAAGCATTGTAGCTAAGTTTCTTCAAATACACCACGCCACAATCCATCAACATCCAATCAAACCCAACAGCAGCTCATTCTTTTGCAATCCATGAGTTAGAAACTCTGATCAACTTACATCAAAGGTTAAACCTATTCAGCTCTTGCAGGGGACTGGGGAATACACCATTTGTCTGGTCACTAGTGGAGGATGAGAGGGACAATTCAGAAGTTTGAAGAGGAAATGTTAGAGGACCATTCTGGTGTAAAGGAGGTACAACTTTAAAACAACACTGAAAGAAAGCACTTAACCGATTACTGCAGACGGTTAAAGTGTTAATCAGAAGGTGGAGTGTGTTGCTTTAAGCTACAATATGGAGTGATTCTGATCACAGCTGTCAAAGGGATTTTTTTCAGATATATTTGACTGATAGAGAAAACAACAACAGAGAACAATATTGTGTAAATTCACTACTTCAAAGTGGCTGATTACTCTCACCTTTTTATAATTAAATGCAACACAGGTCATTCTCACAAACAGAGGTCAGAACAAATCTTGTACAACAGTTAACTTTTATGGGCTATCAGTGATATTAGCTGTTTTTTTTTCATTTGCAAGTGGGCACAGTACCTGTGATGATAGAAGAAAACGGTCTACATGCATAATAACTACACACCTCTTAAATTGTGAACCATGCAGAGAAGGTTTTTTTTTTAATTTTTTTTTGTTGAAGCGATAATACTACAGCTCTAGATTTGATTCAAAAAGGTCAATATCAGAGTTTGACAGGATCTCGTGTCTGATTTTTAGAGCAATTTTTTGAAATGTTGCAGAAAAATGACTGAAATTATCTGAACCAATGGACTCGGTAGCTTCTATATGAACCAAAGTGAAATTGGACCAAGGCAGATGTGGTTGCCCTTTCCTTTTCTCTGTTACCTTAACAACAATAAACTGATAACTTATGCAAACATATAACAGTGAGTATCAACCCCATAAGAACTAAAATATTTCAGATTAAAGCTTTTGAAGCTTTAATGTTCTAATGCAAAGGAATAGTAGTGTTACATTAACAAGTGAACAACTTCTTAAAGTAGCAGTGAAATCAATCTCATGTTTATTGAGAAGGGTCTAAATTTGATCTCTCTCTTCTTTGTATTAGGAAAGAAAGTACACTGACTGTAGGTGTTTCAAATTCCCACAAAATCTAACTCTGCTCCACCTTTCATTCTTCACCCTCTCTAGAAAAATAGGCTTACTCTTCATTACTTAAGACAGTGGCCTCCAGACCCTCATCTCTATGGCAGCCACTGTCTGCATTTAGTGCATTTAAGTGAGGATTAGAATTGCACATCTTGGAGTCACATCTGAAGGCACTTTCAGGTTGGATGGGAGCCCTGCATTCCTCTTTATCTCCGTTGAGCTGGTGCGGTTCTTTGTCCTCCACACCATTCTCCGTCGTTGAGCCATCGCACGGTGCAGCGGAGGATTTTCTCTCCTCTGCTTTGGACCTCTTTCTCTCTTTCACTGCGTCATGCCCGGATGTCTGAGCAGGCTTATGAGAGGGCTTACTTGGCTACAAAAGAAGAGAGAGAAAAGGATTTTTTTTACTGATGACAAAGACAGTAAGGATCTGACGGTGACTTTGAGGATCCTTCTTTGAAATGATGTGCATATGGTGAAAATTTAGATGTGGGCAGAAGGTTTTTGTTACAAACAAAATGACTGGAGGGCAAATTAGAAGTTAATTAGCAGTAAAATTAAAGGGTTTTAAAAGGAAACAAAGACCTGCTGAGGGCTGTTTAGTTCCCACTCATCCTGCGCTGAGAGCTCCAACAATGGTGTTGGAATTTTGTTTTGCACTGTAATTAAACAGTGAAAAGAGCAACAGCTGTATTATGACCTTTGTCTAAAGTAAAACGTTACCGCGGGCGGACATAATAATCTCACATCCCTGAGAAAACAATCCTGCGGGGTTTTTTTTCCAGCTTTTTAATGAACTGTTATTGCTTTCATGTTCATTGACGGTCCATTCATTTTTATATTCTATTTAGGATGCAATTCAACAATATAAACCTAGCAGCATTATTGATCATTTACAGGCATTTTTTTTTGCCTTGGTGTATTGTAACAACTGGCTAGTAAGAGCACAACAAGCAAATAGAGAAGAAGATGACCTGCAGTGAATGGAGGGATGGGAAGGAATCGAACAGAATGATACAGACTACGGTTTAAATTACATGTGTCTTGCAGTGAACAAATGCTCTTTGTTGGTGTGGTCATTGGTATTTTGGACATCCCTAACTCGTTTAACATTTGTGCACTTGTCCAAGTTTAACACTCAGATTTTGCACCTTGTGCACAAGAGGAATCACCAAAACCAATTACCAACACAAGCTCACTAAAACATCATCTACGGTGAAATCAGGTATGTTTTACAGGAATTTTGTAATTTATATCTCTGTTGGCATGTAGTCACAGTGTCCCTCATCTAACACAGACCCTCACTCCCACCATTTGTTATATGAGCTGTCCTGAACTTGCGCAAGCACAGAGTGATAACATGTAAAGGTCTGGATCCTATGTTCCCAAAGAGCCCTTATATATAGGGTCAAATAGGTTCCCAGACAAAGAACTAGTCACAAAACCTCTTTTTAGCTTTGCCTGGTTTCTTAAGCAAAGAGACCAATGACAACTCAACCACTCTCTTCCAGCAGCCGCTTGTTTGTAGGAGAACCCTGACGAGTCGATAACCAAGTGCAGCAGATGATTTCCTTGAAGTAATCATCATTATAATAATTATTTGCACTGCAGACTGTACTACTATACTAGCACTGTAGTTCTTCTACCTTAGCGTCTTGGTCTGATAGCATTTTCATGAAGTAATGATCATAAATGTTCTTCCTTGAGCTGTGAAACTCCGTTGCACTTGGTGATCAACTCATCGGGGCTTCCTCACAACCAAGCTGCTGCTGGAGGAGAGTGGGTGAGTTGTGTTTAGTCTCTTTGATAAAGAAACCAGGCAAAGCAAAAAAGATGTCTGATGGCTAGTAATATGGCTGGGACCCTATATGTACTGTTGATGAAGTTAGGTGCTGTTCTGAGCATTATTTGTGACTATAGAGTGGTTTTTAGGTTGAGGTTTGCGTGTGGAGACATAGACCGCTGTGTATTGCTATCGTGCGGTCGTTGCTGAAGTTGGTATAACTAGAGAAGCAAGCAGTTGTCAACAGTTATCTCTCGAGGGGGTTCTGTTATGGTCTAAATCTGTGTTTTGGTGTGTTCGACCATAACAGAATTTTACGCCCGAATATCCCTTTAGGAAAAAAATAATTATTTTGACTCATTGTTTACATGAATGACTGAATTGAAAGCAGACTTCCGTCAAATTTTTCCAAGGACAACCTCATGATGTTCCTCTTGCCTAAAACTTCTATCTATCCTTTCGCATTCTCATGACTACTGGCTGAGTTTCATTTAATATTCGCCTCTTTCATCTTGTGTTACACAAATATTGGTATTTTGTAGGCATTTTTTTATACTTATTCGATGAAACTGTTGATCATCTTCTTTGATTGGAGTCTAGTTCACTTCAGTTTTTCAGTTTGTTTCAGTAAACTGAGGGACCATGCAGAACACGGTCAGAGCTGTGTCAGAGTCTGCTTTGTAGCTCTGTTTTGATGCATATATATAACAGCAAACCCGTATCTCTGTAAAGTGACAAATCTGCACAAAAATAAGAAATAAACAATGAATTCAACATGTCCCTGAAGACACATCTGGTTGAATGTTTTTTTTGAACAACATCAACTTGCATGTCGTTTTGCACAAAGGGCCCACTGTCTGAGGTTTATGTGTAGGAGTACATGTTTCAGAATCATTTCAAATAAATGGAGATCCACGAATGTGAGCCAAATCTGACCTTCCTCCCATGTCTGCCTCTGCAGCTTCTGACCACACAGACAGATGTTTTTTTATTGGCGAATTAACAACCGCTCTATCACTAAGGTGCACTTATCTACGATGATCATTATTAGTGAAAGCATATGTCTCCCATGTGGAGAGTGATTTACCTGACCGACTTACCAGGTACGCTGTCTGACTCTTGAAGACTCTTGTATGGTACCTGCCTCCGCGCCCAAACGTCCTGATGACAGGCGTGGAAATCACACCTCTGGGACGACTGCAGAGGGCAGAGAAAAGTATTCGTTGTTCACTTACAGAAAGGAGAAGATAGAGCGTAAAGTTTTCAAGATAATAAATCTTCTTTCTCTTCTTACCCTGTGTTAGGTCCACCAACAGAAACCACCTGGACTGGGAAGCCTCCTCTTCCTCGGCCACGTCGAGCTCCAGCCCACTGACCCACCACAGTGCCAGCTATCTCCAGCTTCCCACCCTGTGACGACATTCCTTGAAGTCCTGGAGTAATAAAAGAATAGCAATCATTCATCTCTGTTTATCTGTGGAGCACATCATTACAATGACCCCCTTTATCAAACTATCTGAATGTATGAGTGACTTTGACACAGTATGAAGACTCATGACACCAGACTAAATGGGCTTTTCCATACCCACCAGGCATCCCTCTGCCTCTTCCCTGAGGAGGCATCATAGGGGGAAAGTAGGAGCCACTAGGAGGGTAGAAAGGCATCCCGTGAGGGGGCGGAATTGGCGGTGGGGGGAACGGAGGAGGATGAGGTGGTCGGGTGAAGTTAAGACCTTCGAGGATACTTTGACGCATCTTCTCTACCTTTGCAACCAGTTCAGCCTGAAAAGAGAGAGGAACAACATATTACTTCCACTCATTCATGCATTTATTTGTACGAAACAAATGAATTTCTCCGGCTGCCTGAAGAGACTGCGCTCCATTTCTAAGAATGTTTGGCCTGCTTTATTTGTAAAAGTGGAGTCAGAACATTTCAAGAAAGCCACTTTCACAAAACATGGGAAATTTCACTAATCTTAAAGGAAAAATTGTCTACATGGATGGACTACTCCCTGAACACAACTGTTTTCGAACCGATTTGGAGTGGAAGAATGAATTCTGTTGGTTAGTGATCACTAGGGTTTCTTGTGAAAAATGGGATCTAGGTGAACTGTGTAGTCTTTGTGAGCATTCTTCTTTTTATCTAAAGACAGAAAGTCATGAAAGTGTGGAGAACAATGTGTTGATTTTACAGTTTACGGAAAGTCTTCCCATCTGCCTCTGTCTACAGGCCTGAAGAACTGTCATACTCAGTCAAACTCGCGGTGTACAAACAGCCCCTTATGTTGGCTAATCCACTTTGTTTGTACAGCGGTGAAGACCGTGATGGACAAGAAAATGTTGAAGCTGCTGAACATGATGAGACCATCATGTACCTCAGGCAGCTCTACTGTGCAGTATTTAGTTAAACTGTGTAACACCCTATGCAATATCCTACACTACAAACTGGTTTTGTATACACTTCCTACTCTCTGTTCACTATGCATGAACATAACTAATATCCTGAACACTCTGCACTTTGTCAATAGCTTTATTTTGAATATTCTGCACTTTTTACAAAACGTAATTTTAATCACAGAGTGCAGCAGATCATTTCCATGAAGTAATAATCATCATATAAATCATTTTGCACTGCAGACGCGGTTGTTCTGCCTTAGCGTCTCTGTTTGATTGCATTTCCATGAAGTAATAATCATAAATGTTCTTCCTTGAGCTGCGAAACTCCACTGCACTCAGTGATCAACTCGTCAGGGCTCCCCCACAAACAAGTGGCTGCTGGAGGAGAGTGGGTGAGTTGTGTTTGGTCTCTTTGCTAAAGAAATCTGGCAAAGTTAAAAAGATGTTTGATGGCTAGTACTATGGCAAGGACCCTATATGTACTGTTGATGAAGTTAGGTGCTGTTCTGAGCATTATTTGTGGCTCAGTTGAGGTTAAGGTTTGTGCATGGAGACGTAGACCGCTGTGTATTGCTATCGTGCGGTCGATACAAAAGTTGGTATAACTAGAGAAGCAAGCAGTTGTCAACAGTTATCGAGGGGGCGTCTAACTCGGTGTTATGGTGTGAAATATCCCTTTAAGGGGTAAACTTTAAAACAAACCAGAAAATGAAACAGAAATATGGCGGGCTGTAAGAGGCAGGAGTTTGTGATTGGAGAGTTAAAGCGGGTGTGTGTCTGTAAGGGTGAGTTCATCCAGGACAGCTGAAGTCTGCTGCCTTGTGTGATGTGTGTGTGTGTGTGTGTGTGAAGTTACCTGACCATCACAGAGGTCAATGAGCTGGGCCCTCTCCCTGTTGGCTTGATTTAGTTTACTCTGAAGCAGCTTGCCGTCAAAGTACATCCAGGGGCAGCAGTGCTCCCAGGGTATAGGCTGTCCACATGAATCGTTGGCAAAGAGAGCCATGTCCACCCCGCTCATGAACAAAGCAGCCAGCTGGACTCCTCGAGGGTCCAAGTTGTCGATCTATGGAAGAGGAACACCTAGACTCATTAAAAACATCCCTAATAAAAAACAATCAAAGAAAGACAACACAATCGTCTACCAGAGGTGCAGAGCAAAGCGCAGAGCAAGCGTAAACAGCTCATTCACTCCTGGCTGCACAAATACAGCAGTACACATCCTAATCCAGCCAACACAAAAAAGCCAGCAGACACAACCTAGATGTTCTGGCACAGCAGAGAGCAGACAGGCTGACAGAGCTACACACAGACAGACCACAAGGACCAAAGCGGACAGCTTGTGTGGATGGTTTATATCAACAAAAGGCCAAAATGAGAACAAAACACGAGCACTCTGAGACTTGATAAACCATCCACACATGACACGAGAACCCCTGCGAGTCACTTAAAGCTCTACACAAAGATTTATTTTAATGCAAAGCTAGAGCTTCAGGAACAACAAGCTCCAACAAAACAGGGTTTTGTGGAGCTGGTTGCTTTATCTGCAAAATATGAGGAGTGTCCAGAGAAACATTGGACAGGGGCGAGCTCATTGTCTCATCTATTTAGGTGAAATTGTGAGTATTTTAATACTTGAAGACTCAGACTGCAAAGAAATGAAAATAAACCCTAATGCAGACATATATGTAGTTTAAGACGTCTCTCTAACACTCCTCATATCAGTAACACTACACAATCACCTTCAGTTCCTGCAGCTGGTCAGGCTCATAAAGTTTAGGAGAAAGAGCCTGGGCTAGGAAAGCGTCAAGTTCGTTACGACGCAAAATTCTTACTCCTGGCCATTGTAACATAAACCTGAAGCAAAACAAAGAAGGTTAACATCGTTATAACTCTGTCTTAATGAATCATCCCTCACTCACTCACTCTCTATTATTTGACTTCACCCAGACATGTATCAGTGTGTGCCAACTGTGCCGGATTTCAGCAGTCAACTCACCGCAGCACACAGCAGAGCACCATGAGGGGTGTGGGGACGTTGGCCGGGTTCAGCATAGCCGGAGTGTCAGAGCGCATGCAAGCCAGGAACGCTCTCATCCTGCGGTTCTTGTCCTCTACAGCTTTCCCCAACCACAGCTTCTTCAGGTTCGGACAGGTCCACTCCCTGAAGGGTAGAGCCTCCACCAGCTCCGGAGTGTGAGGAGACTTGCCTTTGTAGGCAGCCCACTCTTTGACAAGGACGTGTGTATCTGTGAAGAGATCAGCATTAGTGCTCACCATCCTGGGATCTAAAATATTACAGTCATGTCATATATTGTGCTACAAGTTTTTGTCTTATGCTACAAGATTGTAAAACTCTGCAGCACCATCGCCATGGACAAAAAAGTTACTGTACAGCCCTGCAAGTGTACCTGGAAGAACTAATGCTGTCTTGAAGGCACCACGAACAATAGAACGATAGATAGAACGATAGATAGATAGAACGATAGATAGAACGATTGATAGAACGATAGATAGATAGAACGATAGATAGATAGAACGATTGATAGAACAATAGAACGATAGATAGATAGAACGATAGAACGATAGATAGAACGATAGAACGATAGATAGAACGATTGATAGATAGAACGATAGATAGATAGAACGATAGATAGATAGAACGATTGATAGAACAATAGAACGATTGATAGAACGATAGATAGAACGATAGAAAGAATGATAGAACTATAGATAGAACGATAGAACGATAGATAGATAGATAGTACGATAGATAGATAGATAGAACGATAGATAGATAGATAGAACAACAGATAGAACGATAGATAGATAGAACGATAGATAGATAGATAGAACGATTGATAAAACGATAGAACGAACGATAGATAGATAGATAGAACGATAGATAGATAGATAGAACGATAGATAGATAGATAGAACAACAGATAGAACGATAGAACGATTGATAGAACGATAGAAAGAACGACAGAACGATAGAACGATAGATAGATAGATAGAACGATAGAACGATAAAACGATAGATAGATAGATAGATAGATAGATAGATAGATAGAACGATAGAACGATAAAACGATAGATAGATAGATAGATAGATAGACTTTATTGATCCCAAACTGGGAAATTCCTAATATGTTATGAACTTAGTGAAAGCTGATCAGCAACAGTAGCTGGTTCAAAATATAATGTTGATTCAATTTAACTTAAAAAGGCCTGCTTGAATCATAATACTGGCGTTATTTCATACTGTGAAATTACATATTGTGTATCACGATAAAGCATAAGAATATCACGATAAGTGATATTAAGTGATTTGTCAAATGACCCAAAGAGTTTAAAGGCAAAGTGCAAAACACTGTATCAGAGCTGTAAGTCAATCAGTACTTGATATCAGCCAAACTCTTTCAGGCATGGGGAATCATGGACAAGAGTTGACTTTATTGACTTTAATTTCACATAACATAAATGAATGTTTAACCATCCTGCCCACTGCTGTAGAGCCGGCCTGGATGCTCTGTCCTTCCTGTAATTAGGCCACTCTTTCTCTGTAATTTGTCCAGTTATGCATTGTGTATGATCTGTTGTACTAATCAAGTACCTGACTGTGCTATGAGAACAGTAGACACAGATTGGTATTGTTGGAGTATTAATGGCAGTGTTGGCTTTCATTAGGGCACTACTTTAGTTCAACTCTTCACATCACTGGAGGCTAAGTAGGAGGGCTGGGACAGAGGTAATGAAGTTTCTAAGATAATTAATATATCTCCAAAACCGCCAATTTATGTGACCTTTCTTTTTAACAGATACCCACTAAAGAGAATTGTTCTTCTTCATTCAGCCATGTGTTTAATGCTGTGTGCAGGAGGGTGATAACACATCTTATGGCTTGTACAGAAAAAATACTTAGCAGTGCCGACTTGCGCCACTCCTGCATTAGGGTTTCGGTGAAGCATCCTAATCCACAGGCCAAAGCTATTGTTGAAAAGCATAAAGCTGAGGATCTTTTCTAAAAAGGGCCAGTCAACCTTATCAAATGCTTTTTCCGCACTGATGTCAGAGGCAATGACCGGAGCATCTGCCCCGATCATGAGTTTGAGGCACTTCTTCCTTTATCACTTCTCTGTCAATTGTTTCCAAAACCAGTTTATTGGCAGGTCTTTCTATCCGGTTTGCTTTTTCCTTCGTAAAAAATAGGCTTTTTTGCCCTTGTATGACTGAAAAGCTTTAGAGAAATATGCACCAAAAACTGCTGAGACAGGGAATCAACTCCACAACTAGTAGGTCAAGATCTTGGATGCCCACGCAGAAAAATATTAGTACCCCTATTTGGCTGAGATTGGGCTCTGGAAAATTACTGACACAGTGGAAAACTTATGATTATTACTTCATGGAAATGCAATCAGAGCGAGACACTAAGGCAGAAGAACTACTGCATCTGCAGTGCACGTACAAGATACACAAGAACTCTGATTGTATTTCCATGAAGTAATAATCATAAATGTTCTTCCTTGAGCTGCGAAACTCCGCTGCACTTGGTGATCGACTCGTCAGGGCTCTCCCAAAAACAAGTGGCTGCTGGAGGAGAGTGGGTGAGTTGTGTTTAGTCTCTTTGCGAAAGAAAGCTAAGAAAGCTAAAAATATGTTTGATGGCTAGTACTATGGCTGAGACCCTATATGTACTGTTGATGAAGTTAGGTTCTGTTCTGAGTATTATTTGTGGCTACAGAGTGGCTTTTTGGTTGAGGTTTGCGTGTGGAGACATAGACCGCTGTGTACTGCTATCATGCGGTCGTTGCTGAAGTCGGTTGACCTAGACAAGCGAGCAGTTGGCAATATTCATCTCTCACGGGGGTGTCTAACTTGGTGTTATGGGGTTTTTGACCATAACTTAAGTTTACGCTGGGATATCCCTTTAATGATATAAAATAAAAAAGAGCATAAGATTTAGACTGGTCTGCAAGTCGTCTTCACTCGTGTGGCTCAGTTACTAAAACAAACTCAAATTAAAAACTTCAAAACTAAAAAAAAATGAATGTCTTTTAGAAGAACCATCTCCATCCAATAAACTGCAGGTTATGTTCACTTTGAAAGTGTTAAAATGACAAGGCTAACCCCTGTGATAAGGCAAGAGGCCTTTCCTGGCTGTCCCCCTACCTGTGACCCTGAATGGGATAAGCAGGATATATAACAGATAGTATTAAAATACTGATACTTCATTTACACCCTGATCACACTTGATTTCACTTCAATGTGACCGTAACTTTCAAAAGACATTCAACGTGTTTGTGTAATGATTTTGTTAGATAAGTTTTTGTAAAAATAAGGTTTGAGTCCATCTCGAGAGATTATTTCTGAAAAGGGGGGGCAGCCATCTTATAATCAGGGTCATCTTATATGAAAGCCAGTCATGGTTTTTCTAGACCAACGATTCAAATCCTGGGAATACCGGGCCTTTCAGAACCAATTACCTGTTCTGAGACTCTTAATAAGCTCCTGTCAAGAAACCGAAAGCCTGGGGTGTGAAACAGTGACATGTAGGTGCTCTCTAACCACAGGACTCACATTCAGGGAGGCAGTTCTTCCTCATGGCGAGTCTCTCAGCCTTCTTCCTGGCCTCTGCCAGGCTGAAGAGTACTCCGTAAACATATTGACGGATGGGCCGAAACAGCTGCACTGCTGAAGGCAGGTCTTTGTTAGCTTCATCTTCAATGGTGACAGATAGCTTAATCTCTCCCTGCAAAGACACACTGTTACCTAGATGCTACAGGATGCCAGACACAGCTGACTGCAGAGTCCAGAGACCCCACAGGTCAAATACTGTCTGGGTATGCCTTTTGGCAAAACACAGTATTATTGTGCTGGATTTCTGTTGATCCAAACACTCACACTGACGGTTCTGATAAAGAAAAGTGTAAATGAGCCCGACCTTGGTGAGAACATGGTAGATGTACGGGTACATAAGGCCCTTCTTGTGTCTGTGCTCAGCCACCCTCAGTACTTCAGGAGCAACCGCAGGGAGAGGTGGGATGGTGATGTCCATGTGGTTCCTGGTGGGCATGGACAGAAGGGAGGGGATCTGTGGATTCACACTGTGGGGACCTGTGGACTGTGACCCTGGGCTCGAGGCAAAGGTTACACAGGGGTCGCCCTAAGAACAAAAAGGACACAATGGTTAGTTAGCCGGCAAGATGCCTGACCAGGCAGAGGGGGGTTTCTGAGGATTTACTCACTTTTGTTTGGTCCTCCAGGTCTACCTCTTCTGGGTTTTCATAATGTGCGGAGTGTCCGTTTTTCTCCCATCCTCCCTTATGGTCACTAAGATGACTGAACAACACCGTACATGTGACTCAGATTTTGCAACAGCAGCAACAAACCCCTGATCAAATGTGTTTCTGGCAAGGAATGAAAATCAACAGCTGTTTACTCGAGGAGTTAAAACGAGCGTCTGTCACTCCCATCAAGTGAGCACCAGATTACATTTTATTAAGATGACTACAAACCCAGAAATCCACCGCCACACCTGTATTTCTGGGTTGAGTTCAGATGTTCTTTTACTAAAATATGTCATCAGGAGTCAGGGTTTTGTTTTCTGAAAATACAGAGTAAAATGCTGATCTAAAGCAGAGTTGATGGACCACTTAGTGACGCTGAGGAACTTTCTTTTGATCGCATATATTTCCTCGTTCACTACTCACAACAAGACAGGGATATCTGGCTTTCAGATGAAATTTCAGAATGCACTTTGACCTTTACAGGTGAACTTAATTTGACCTTCTCTAAACTTTTGAATGCTCTTTTCCAGCTGTGTTTCAGTATTTACTGCATAAGGTGCTGTTCTCTAACAAGGTCATTGACCAGAAAACTCACAAGTGTCCGATCCATAAATCTACTTCTAAATGTTCCAGTTCAAGGACAATTTGTATTTTAACGGTCCTCTTCATCATGCTGTTCACATTTTGGCATCATGAGAGCAAGATGATACCTAACCCTCGACTTGCACCGCATCCAGAGCGGCTCCGCTGAGGAACGGCAGCAATTTTCTCCATCCACCAATTCCTACTGGATGTGTTTGTGAGGCAAATTTCGTGGCGGATTTCAGACAGCAGGAATTGCGAGAACTCACAAGAACCTGCGGATTCACATGCAGTCGTGCGATAATGAGTTGTCTGTATAAAGACAGCCACATAACCATATAAGCAGTTGATTGTGTCCTTCCAGAGGAGGAAATCCACTTCTAGACCTCTAGAATCAGCATCTCCTCATCAATGGGGTGACAGGAACTTCTTACATTTTCCATGAATTTGAAGTGTATATTTAGTTTAGCAATAATAAATCACATGTTGAGTGCAGGTGCACTGTAAAAAAAAGATGTATAGAAATACAGGAAAGAAGGAGTTGAGACTTTCTTCCATGACAGGAGATAGTAGCAGACCCTTTTGGATCCTGATCTGCGTTAAACTTACTTGGCAGTTGAGCTCTCTTCATTCTCCGAGGATGATGACGCAGAGGAGGCGTTGAGGAGAGGGGCCCTGGTGTGGATGGGGCTTTTGGTCTTGCCTGGGTGTACTGGAGAGGCCCTCTCGTACAGCGGTGTGTGCTTCCCTTCATTAGGAATGTTGCTGAAGCTGTTCTGCTCTGGGAGGTCTTTATCAATAGAGTCCACAGTAAGGCTGGGCTCCACTAAAGGCTCCATGAAGGGATAATGGACCTAAAGGGTAGAATGACGGATCAGACTTAGATCCATGTGAGAGCGAAGCTTGGTAGTAGTAATCCGAAACTGACGGTGCAACAATCAGGTGCACTATACTGTTTAAACAAACGGGATCATTTGAGATGAGGTGTTGTCCCCAATCATTGCACTACAAAGAGGGACATACTGACAAATTCATCGCTCTGTCTCTGTAACTACCTGCAGTGCCTGTCTTAGACACAGGAGATCATCCCTGTATTGATCTCAGACAGCATTTATATATCTTGAAGTGGTTGTTATAAAGCTGAACCTCCTGTTACTAGAACTACAAACTGTTATTTCTCATACCTCTGGTTTAATGGGCAGCGGCACCTGTGGAATGTGGAGCATCTTTGGAGGTGGCACTGCAGCAGGCACTCCCATGGATTTTGGTCTGACTGGAACAACAAATGAACGCAAATATGAGCCGGATATGTTTTTACCAGAGAGGAACAACAAGGTACGGTCATGATTAACTATTAAAATTACAGGGTTTTAAGAAAATGATGCGTTTAAAGACCCACTCCGATGAAAATCATGTTTTTCTTGCTGTCTACATGTTCATATGGCATTTTCCTGATGCTACAGGACGGATCATGAGAAAAGAAAATGTGAAATTGCATTTTTTAGCAATGCAGGCCACACTCGCAAAAATAGAGAGGATGATCGCGAAAAAGTGTGAAAGTTAGCGAAATGTAATGCTCGTAAGAAAGCTAATTATGATATTGACTTTCATAATGCCCCCAAAGACATTTGTGTCTGAGAGCTGAATAGTTCCTGTGTTACCTGCTTCTTCTACTACACCGGCAATGTTAGGCTGCAAGCTAGCATGAAGAGGAGAAGTGTGCAGAGCAGCGCTGTCTCCGCCCACGACTCAGAGGCAAATTGCTAATAAGCTACTGGAGCTCTGCAGGAGAAAAGCCCTTGAAAATGACACAGGTAACAAGATTTTGGCTAAAAAAAAAAAAAAAACTTCAGAAGCAAAACTTAAAGACAACTGAGAACACTTTAAGTAGATTTGTGTGATTTAAAAAAATGGGTCTAAATAGTAAAATATTGTAAGAATGCAGACATGTGGCATCTACTGAAGGCAACTGGTCTCTGAAGTCTTCACTTGGGGACAGCCCTGGCAGAAATGCATTTGACTGACAGAACAACACAAAGGGCACGATATGGTGACAGTATTGGCAGACCAGTCACGTATTTGTTTGCAAATCTCCGGCCTTTAATCAAATAAGCTACAACATTAGATTGTCTTGAATGGAAAGCCATCAAACAGCAAAGAGTGCACCTTTGGTCTCTACGTGGCCTTTTTCTGTCATCCTGTGTCTGTCTTTTAGGAGCATAGCCATCGAAATGCTCTCTCCAGCAAAAAGAAAACTAAGTTTTAACTCTAAGCAGATTTCCTGGTGCAAATTTGGATACCTCTGCATCTGTCTGCTCAATATTCAGTCCAAAGCTGCTGACTGCCAGCACCTTCTGTTTCCTAGTCAAGGCTTCGTGTTCAGACAGTAGTGAAATAAAGAAACCCACCAAACTGCAGAGGAACATGAAGAGGTTTGCTGGCGACTGAATAGTACTCCACTGCCTTCTGAAAGCGGACAACTTTGTCGTCACTGCACGACTAAAAGGAAAACAAGACAAACAAGAGAATTGTTAAAATTTCAGTCTTTGTTGTGTACTGTAGAAGTACAATACATGCAGAAAGATGCATGTTTTAAAACACTGTATATGTAGATAATAATAATAATAATAGATTTTATTTGTAACGCACTTTACATTTAAAAACAAATCTCAAAGTGCACAACAAGACAACAATAACAGTAAAAACCAAGCAACAGGGCAAAACAATAAAAAACAGTCAACATAAAAAACAGTCAGCAGATAAAATCAGATAAAATTAGTCCGGGTAGGCTAGATGACCTTTAAACAGAATGTCAGATTACAGTCTGAGTCAAAACTCACCGACATGTGTGCAGCTCTACTTTACCTACCTGTGAATGCTTGAAGATGTCCTTGGCAATGGCCTCTAGGTCGCTGATGTCTGGGATGTTGCGGACGTAGTCGGCCACAGCCTTGATCACAACATCACAGGGTGGGAGCACAAGCTGGTGGGCACGCACCTAAGGAGCAACAACACAGCCACTCCCATTACAAACACACATAATAAAGGAAAAGGGTCTTGTGCAATATTAAAATAAAACAGCTACGCTATGGAAACAAATACATGTGGAGATGCAACCTGTGACAGCCAGCAACAACTGAATCAAGTCATGAGAGGACTTTAAAAACATCCATGAATGATTGAATGGCCTGTCTTTGTCAGTGTGGTAGGCTAAACGGCAGTAAACAAATAAACTCACTGCCTTAGCCTTTGTCCACTTGCTGTAAAAGTTAATAATTGCAAAATTATCTGCTGCACTCAGTGATCGACTCGTCAGGGCTCCCCCACAGACAAGCGGCTGCTGGAGGAGAGTGGGTGAGTTGTGTTTAGTCTTTTTGATAAAGAAATCAGGCAAAGCTAAAAAGATGTTTAATGGCTAGTACTATGGCTGGGACCCTATATGTACCGTAGATGAAATTAGGTGCTGTTCTGAGCATTATTTGTGGCTATAGAGTGGCTTTTTGGTTGAGGTTTGCGCATAGAGACATAGACCGCTGTGTATTGCTATCTGCGGTTGTTGCTGAAGTTGGTATAACTAGAGAAGCAAGCAGTCAGCAACATTCATCTCTCGAGAAGGTGTCTAACTCAGTGTTACTATGTGTTGACCCTAGCATTATTTTATGCCAGAATATCCCTTTAAGGTCAGACTGAAGCACTCTTTTGTACTTGCGTCAATCCTAAAATTGAGTGTGGAGCTGAATCCAAGATCAAGAAGTTGTTAAAGGCCTGTAAATACACAGTTAGGAGTAGTGGTGCAATGGATCATCATTGATCCGTGATCCGTTCGGATCGACGTCATCGGTTCGGCACACACGTTACCCGCGGTTCGATTTCTGAAAAAAAAAATTTGGCTTCCCTGTCAACTATGATGAGGAAGGAAAGAGGTCAGTGGACAAAACTGCGAAGGTGTGTAGGCACTGTGGCATAAGAAAGCCATATGACAGTGGAAACACATCGAGCATGTTCACGCATTTGAAAGCGACATCACCCGGGTGTTTTAATGACAGGTGTTGTGCCGTAGACTGCACCCCTGCCGTAGAATGCACCCCTGCATCCCCTCCACTCGTTAGCTTCTTAAAGTGGAGATAATGATCTCATATTTAAAGAAACACGAGTATTAGATCATGACAACATGTCAAATGGAGCAGCAAACTTTCATTTTCTTTTTATGTGTCTCAAAAATGCAAATATAGAGGTGTACTTGGGTATAAACTGTACAGAAAGCTGTCCAGGTAGAGAGCATTATATTTTCGGGACAGCAATATTCCAAGGGCTGTTGTTTTTGGCTTCTTTGAATAGCCTGAATGAAATTATTACAGGCAAACGCTTTTGAATCCATCCAATGTAAGAAAAACTTGGATTATTTCGCCTCGTTATGTACTTTAAACCGCGCTCCCGTCAGGGGGTGCATTCTACGACAGGGGTGCATTCTATGTCACAACACCTGAGATAAAACGAAAGCTGGCCAGCAACCGCTCATCACCGCAGCATTTAAGCAGCCTCTTCCTGCGCAATCCGACCGGGTTAAAGCTATCACAAACGCTATCAGTGTGTTTATAGCTACAGACATGAGGCCATATTCAGTTGTGCAAACGAGGGCTTTAAAAACATGCTGAAAGTGCTTGAGCCACGTTACAATATCCCACCGCGCACATACTTCATTTTTGGTTCATTGTTACATTTTAAAGGAAGGAGATATGCCTATATATTGCACTTTAAGTTGTTTTTCATTAATAATTATGTTGAATAGAAGATATTACGCGTATGCACTACTTTTATATATTTTAATTCAACCATTTAAGTGTTTAATATACAGACAAAACTGCTTTTTGCTGATCCGAAAAATGATCCGATCCGTGACTCTTGATCCGAGGAACGATCCGATCCGTGAGTGTTGTGATCCGTTGCACCACTAGTTAGGAGTATCAGATGTTGTTTTCTCAAGTGTGTATCTTTGGTTTTTGTCTTGTTTGTTGTAAATGGAGCTGCTATAATACAAGGCAAACATTAGACCTTCTATCATCATTATTATAAAGAAATGAAGAGACACCCGTGAAAACACGTGAGCGTGCATGTGTGTGTGCTCTATGGAGGCCTGATGTGTTGTCATCTTGTAGCTTAATGTGATGTGTCCGTCTCAGTGGAGCTGTACATGTGAAACAGATGGCTTTATGTTTAATCACAGCGAGTCATTTCAAACTCAACAGCTGAACCATTTACACACAGTGCCCTGAAACAGCCTGGCACTTCTGTTGTACAACTGTTTGTCTGAGCTGTTCATTACTCCCCGAATATTCTATTTCTGTATACTGGCCAATGTAGAAAAAATCAAATAGAAGACACCTAGAGAGGTGGCAGCTGGTGCCTTAGAACGCAGAGTCATCAACTCCCTCCAAGCTCGTGGACAGCTCCAGATTGATTTGTTGTAATAAAGAAGTTTAGTTGCACAAGTGCTTGACCGTAAAAAAAGATGTTCATCTCAGTGCCTTAAACCTGTAGAGAGTCACTACGAAGAAGTACCCGCCATGACATCACCTACTGCCTTCTACCTACTTGTACACCACAGTAACAGACCTGCCAACTTTTTATGAGTACTACCCAACCCCCTCCCGAACCCAGGGGTGATCCCCACTGTCAACCCCCCAACCACCACCACTGAACTTGTTACAACACAACATTGCATTTTTTTTTAAATAATTGAAAAATGATTAAAACAGTTAAAAATAAAAACTGTCCATTTTGTGTTTCACGCTCGCTAGCAGAACTAACATGGCCTGCCTGCAAACATGCACTTCGGTCAAGCACTATAAACGTTGCCACATGGCATGCGGGCTGTGTTGCCAGGTTTGACAATGCCCCCTTTAGGAAGCAACATTAAGACCTAAAATTCTTCCTTTCACCTTTATTATTTGGGTGAAGGGAGGAGTATAATGTATGTTCATATAGCGCATTTGAAAAAATGTGTTGGCTGTGTTTCTACATTGGAAGCTACCATGTGCGCCACCTATATAGCTTGATGAGCCGCATGAGCCGCACGATGAGTAACCGTGAGCTAACGCAACCTGTTGCTCTTTGGTGACTTGGACATGCAGAGACATGGCCATCTCTTTCTATAGCTGTCAAGAAACTTTTGCTGCTTCCGAACCTCTTATTCAGGCGGTTCTGCCATTCCAACCAAGCCTACAGCAGTAAAATAAACCGAGGGGCAAAGCCTGACTAGGAGGGGCGAGTGCTTGAGTGAAAATGAAGCGTTCTGATTGGCCGAAAGCACACAGCGAGATCAAACAATATGCGTACTTTAGAACATAGAATCCTACAAGCACACTAGGAGGTTAAAATGCGTGACAAGTACACAAACTGCAAATATATTTCCCTTTGGGGATAAATAAAATACTGTGTTGTATTTATAAATGGAGCTGTAATTTCCAGAGTGGACATAATTATGAGATGAATATGACTGGAAACAACAATAAAGACCATTCATCCAGCCGGAAAATGTTAACTGGGGTAATTAATCAAGAGAGAAGTGGGATAATGTTCTAATCAGCTACAACCAGAGCAGTGAAATCCTGTTGGCCATTAAGAAACTCAGATTTTTGAGTACTTTATGTCCCTATTACAAACCAAAAGGCTCAGCTCAATATGTGTATAGATCCTATATTGAAAATAAAGACCACAGACTCTCCTTTGCTGAATAGGAGTACAAATCTAGTCTTTGTATCGAGTCTGGTCTTAAAAGCTTAGTAAAAAACAGCAAAGAAAACTGAGCCAGCACATATTTTCAAAATGTTAGAATATCCATACTCCAACAAGCCTTTTGAATCAATGTTATAACAGGACTAAGACGGGTCTCACTGTTAATCAGCTGATTATTCAGGGGCCTGCATGAACTCATAGGTCCACCAGTTTCAGTTGTTTCACATCGAGCACCTGTGTGATATGATGTCTGTGCTTCAGTGGAAAAAGCCAACATCACATCATTTCATGCATTAATCAATACTTATCAACCGGAGAATAACTATCTGAATGACAGTTTGGAACGGCTGATGTAAAAAAAAGATTAAAGACAGGACTTCTTCAAGTGACAAAATAATACAGACAAGAATTGAGCAAGGCAAAGCCAGACATGAGTCTAGCTCCAACAACTCTACATCCTTTTTCTCATCATCAAAAGACATCATCCCAAAAAACATCACACAGCTGAAGTAGTTTGAGTCATAGGTTAAAACAAATTTCAGTTCAAAAATCAGTGGAACTTTCCAGAGGGCACACAGCATGGGATTACCAGTGTGGTAATTTGTCACCTCTGTTGAAATCTTTACCTTCAAAGATGCTAATGGATGCTCTGGACCAAGTAAGCTCCAGTGAAAGGCAGCCAAGTCTTCATCAGGCAGTATGTGATTTCCTGTAAAACACAAAACAGCATATCTGTTTGAGCAACCCTCATCTCAACTCCCAGCACCAACTCTCATCTGTCCAGTGGGTTCACACCAACCTAAAAGCGATGCGAAAATGATGAAACGATTTGGGTTGAGATCAAGCTGCCGTGCCACTTGGTGCATCAGATACTGGCTGGTGGTGAGGCTTTTGCCGTTGCGACTGAGTTTGAGGGAGTGCGCGCTGAAGTAGCACGGGATGTTGCACAGAGCGTAGTCGGAGTCGAAGGCCACCAGGCCATGGAAGCCGTTCTCCCTGCATAAGGCTATCACTTCCAGGTGGTGGTCCTCAATGCTCTGGACAACCTGAGGAGTGGCCCAGACAAGAATAGAGCTTTAGAAGGTAAAGCCTCAAATAAACCTCTTAAACAGACATGGTGCATTAGGCACTTAAGAGAAAGCTAGAGGAACAGGATTACAAACCAGGTACAGTCTTGTTTGAGCAGCTCTTAGTCAATAAGCCCTACACTGCTGATTGGATACTCAAAGACAGGGATTTAAATAACAGGCTGTATTTGAATCTTACCCAGAGGATGTGCCAAAAGAAACTGATCCAGCATCACTTTATAAATACTCACACCATAGATAGATTTTTTTTTTTGATGACAGATACATTACAACATTGTCAAAATAATAATATATCACTAAACCATTTTTATCAGCATCATTGGGCTGACATGCCTAAACAACCTAGCACTCCAACTTCAACCAGTCTAAAGGAAAACTAGCCTTTGCAACTCCTCATGGCTTTTGTTGCAATACCCTGACTCATTATGTAACCCTTTGGCCAATCCCAGGTCCTTTCAGAAAGAGGGGCGCTCCTGTTGGCTGTGCTCTGTAAATCCAAATGTGTCCATACCCCTGTAGGTAGCAGATGTGAAAGCTTGATTACAGGGAAGAAAATCCTCGTGCAAAGCAACCCAGAAAATAGAGCGATCAAAAACACAGTCTATGTCATTTCTGGGTAGAGTACAGGAACTTTATGGTGTCCTTCGCACATCTATAAGTGGCTGGTCGCCATACCTTTTCTTTAATATTGCTGAGTGAAAGGATAGAGTTCTTAAATGACACATTTTTTGTGAACCAAAACTGCTCTGAAAAACTAAACTTGGGGAAACATTTCCTAGATCTTAAATTTGCATTGCCCACTGAATGGTATTGTGAGGTATATGACCCTACCTGAACATTATTCTAATAGCTAATAACGAAAAATAACAATTGACAAAAATATTGCATGTGATGTGGAGCAGCAAACATATACTGTATATATACCTATTGATATGAAACATGATAAAAATGACCAATAAATAACCTTCCTGTAGGAGTTTCTGTATTTTGTAGAGTTCCTGTATTGATAATCTTTACAGGCTGAAGCTAATCTTTCACGACTGTGATTTATTCACCTATTTCAGTGAATATAACTTGGCCTCAACCTTTAAAAAGTTTAAGATGGCCACCACAATTCCTTGATGCTGGGGGTCTAAAAGTCTAAAAAACATTGAGAAGGTCCGTTTAACCAAGAATTTCATGGATATTCACACTCCACAGGTAGAAATCAGAAAATCTGGTGATGTTGATATTATCATGTATGTTTTTATGAGACTGCTTTTGTCCTTATTACCTCTCCAGTCCAGCTACTTTGCACAAAGACGGTACAGTGTGACGTTCCTACAATATTTGCACAGCAACACACCTTACATGTTTAAAGTTATCCAGCCTTTGTCATAATGTTGGGAGCACACCTTTACAGCCTGAGTTTTGCCCTAAAATCATGAGGGGTTGAATATGAAAAGCAGGCCTCTGACTTCATCACAGACCCCCCTGGAGGCACACTGGTCAACTTGGTGGAGTTTGAGGTTTTATCGTGGGTAAAGCTAGCAGTGAAGACATGGTGGTGTGGAGCTAATAGGCTAATCAGAGAGCCTGCCCATGAGCCCAAAAGTGGCCCGGCTCAACAGGCACTGCCAGGCCGATTCTTCACTTACCCCGACGCGGAACCTGAGGAGTGCCAGTCGGATGCAGTGGGCCATGCACACGGGGGGAAGAAACCAGACTTTCGGGGGTGGAGTGCCCTTGTTCTGGACGTGGCTGATGATCTGCTGGGCGGTCTGTCTCTCGTTCACCTGTCGCTTGACCCACTCGTGAAGACGGCCCTTCTCCAGGGCGCCATTGAAGCACACCAGGAGCTCAATGTTCCCGTTGAAGCAGGCCTGTGAAAGGGCGGCCAGGTAGCCCAGCATGTGGTTCCACTGGCCCCCGCTAACCCAGTCGGTGTAGAAGCCTCCGTAGAGCCGGTGCAAGCAGTTCTCGGCGTCCACCAGCAGTCTCAGCGGACTCTGAGGGGGTCTCTGTCGGCCACCTCCGACCATGCTTCCCCGGGCTAGCTTCTGGAGCTCCACCGGCACCACGGCGCTGGGGCAGTGTTTTTCAATGTAATCTAGGAAACCTTGTATACCCATGTTATCAGAGGACCTAAATATCAGAGGAAATTCAACCGAATGAGTTGTAGTCCGCCTGCCCCCTTGACAGCGACTGACAACCGGTTGGTAGTTGAGGATATTGCAGGAGTTGAATTGTTTTCAAAAGAACCGACATATGCTGCTATTTAGTCATCTTGAGTTTTGTAGTTTTTTGGCTCATGGCTTCCAGCTGCCATGTGTCGCTTCACGGAGCCATGTCTGAGGTTAGGAGAGTGTGACCAGAGTGAGAGGAGAAGGAGGAGGAGAACGAGGGGAACACATGACGACACGACGCAAAGGCACGTAACACAGACACGCGCAGAGAGCAGGAGTGTTCGCTGCTGCTCACTTCCGTGTTTGTTTAGGCATCTACAAAAGTCAATAGAAGCTACTCTTTTGCAAATTAGAAATGAATAAACTGAAAAGGCAAGACCTGAAATAACTGGTTGTCTATTTACCAGACTGACCAAATGGGAATAATTTAGGGGTAGCAGGATTGTTGGTGAATATTTTACTGTAGAGTCACTGCTCCACAGGTGCTCCGTGTTTTTTGTTTTTTTCTTCATTTTAGTTCATCCACACCTTAGTACTGTGGCATAGGTCCTTTAATCCAGTAACCCTCAGCTATAAAGAGCATGAAAACATAATAGTATTCAGGAAATGTTTTTCAGGAAATGGAAATGTAGAAGCTGAATAGAGAGATCTGAAGAGCCTTCAGTGACTGGAGTCACAAAAACTGCCTCCTCCTCAACACCTCAAAGACAAAGGAGATGGTCATAGTCTTCCATAGATCCAAACCCCCTCTTCAGCCAGTGAACACCTGTGGAGTGGACATCGAAGTGGTGGCATCATATAAATACATAGGTGTACATCTGGATAATAAGTTGGACTGGTCTAAGAATATAGACTTCATCTACAGACAGGGGCAGAGCCGCCTCTTTTGCCTGAGGATTCTGATCAAAAGACATTTGTAGTAAGATGCTGCAGATGTTTTATCAGTCTGTGGTGTCTACAGTGTTCTGTTCTACATTGCAGTCTGCTGAGGAGGAAGCATCAAACACAAAGATGCAAGACATCTTAACAAACTGGTGAAAAAGGCTGGCTCTGTGGTTGGACTCAAGCTGGACTCAGTGGAGGATGTGGTGGAGAGATCTACACTGAGGAAGGTGGAGACTATTCTCAAGAACATCGATCACCCACTTCACAACACCCTGATGGACCAAAGGGCCAATGGTGGTGGATGGCTCCTCTCTCTTCGCTGCAGGACAGCGATACAATACAATACATAGGTAATAAAAATAGATAAATAAAAACAATTAAAAGCAAAAAAAGCAATAAAAAGAATAGGAAACAATGCAATAAAATAAAGTAAAAGTGTCATCACTCTACAGGGTATTAAAAGCCAGCATAAATAAATACGTTTTCAATCGAGATTTGAAAAGGCCCAGGTCAGAAATAAGTCACATTTGCGATAGGGAGCTTATGGGGAGACATTTTTGATGCACTTCATTTAGATTTGTTCATATAATTTAAAAAAAAGTGAAAATGAAGGTTATTAATGCCCACAATGCAGGGGAGGGGTTCAAGAACACAGCAAAGCGCTGTCAGCTTGTAGTTTTCACAGTGTGATATATGATCATGAAATTGAGGGGAACTGTCGAGGTCAAGACAAGATCTGAAAGACCAAAGAAACTCCTGGAGACAGCAGCTTGTAGGCTGGTCAGGAAAATAAATGAAAACCCACATTTGACTGAAAAAGATCTGCACCATGATTTAGCAGACTCTTGTGTGTTGTATTTTATTTTCAGTTCTGAGTATCACATGATGCATAATGAATTAGTTTTACTATTGCTAGATTTTTTAAATTAATTAAACAACAAATTAAAGAAATAAAGATTGAACAATATATTTTTTTCTCAGTGTGATACAGATGTAAGTTTAGAGAGATAAAAAAATGAGCCAAAACATTGAGCCAAAAATGTTTTGAAGTCAAAACCTCACATGGCTGCTAGAGGGCAGCATGTGATAAGTTGCCTATTGATTGTGTCGAGTCAGTAAATGGCAAACCTGATATTTTAAAACTTTGTTTTCTCTTTGCATGCCAGATTTGTGATCAAGAATGTGTGAAACAAGTGAGAATTAAATCCGCTCTGAGAAGACATGTCCTTTCTACACACTGTGCTTACTGTAAACAGCTAAAAGCCTTCCTGACTTCAGAACACATATTTTATTCTATGTTTGCTTTTCATGCGCATCTTTCAGTCAAGCCCAGGACTTCAGTACAGTCTTTTTTTGAAACCACATCAGAACATTAAGCCCAAATAATACAACAAATGAAGTCTTTAACAGCGTCTTTCTCTGGGTATCAGAAGTGGCTGAAATAACCAGGTCGGAGGCGCTGGTAATAAATGAGCTGTTTGGCCTTTGCTGACCATGAAAAAAACTACATGTCAACAAAACAGTTTGTATTACATATTATATCTCCCTAATTTATTTATTAATCATGAGCAATATCATCCATTATGTTATTCAGCAACTACACAAAAGTCTACCTACACACATCTGTACCTGTTTTTGTTGGCACTGATGTTTTTATATTTTTTATACGAGTCTTTTATACTGTTCTTGTCTTGCACTCCTCTTCCTTTTTTACACTCGTTCTTTTATCTTTATTTATTTGTTTTTGTACCTGGCATGTGTGAATGTGTATGTTGCGTGTACTGCTGCTGTCAACAATGTAAATTTCCCCACTGAGAGATGAATAAAGGAATCTATCTATCTATGTATCTATCTATGTATCTATCTATGTATCTATGTATCTATCTATCTATCTATCTATCTATCTATCAATCTATCTATCTATCTTAAAAAGTTATTCTCCAAAATAATTTTCTCCCTTTTTTGCTGGAGTCCAAACACAACCACAACCAATTTGTCAATTAAGGGTCGCAATCTAGGGTGGTGGTTTGATAACACTTTCAGTGCCCATTCCTTTGTATATATAGGTCGTCCCTGTGGCGGTGGTTGCTGGTTTGACCCCTGACCATGAGGCTTTATTGTGTGTCATCCTCCACTCTCCGCTCCCCACATTTCCTGTCTGTCTTCAGCTGTCCAATCCAACAAAGGCTAAGATGACTCAAAACCAAACTTCGATACCACCCACCCCTCTACACACACACACTCAAGCACATTTCCCTTCATTTTGCCAATGAGCCAATAAGAAGAAATACAGGTTCTCTTACGTTCTAATAATTGGACTGACTATGGACTCAGAGGCAGAGAGACGCTGTTGTACGTTTGTTATTCATGCCCATACACAACTGTAGACTTACATTTAAATGAAGCTTTGTACATCACTCACAAGCAAAGTTTCCCATAGTGGTTTCTTGTCTTAAGCAGAAGTAGGTGGTGAGTTGAGTAACACTCTAAAAGTAAAGCTCCACCAATCCCACGCTTCCTTTTGTCCTTTCGTATGGGGCAGACAAAAAAGCCCCTGTGTCTCCTGCTAGACAAATTATTTCCCCCGTCAAACATGGCAGAAAATGAAACAGAGTCTCTTAGATTGATCAGTCACATTCAGTTTGTAAACTAGGACTATTAGCATAATATTGTTATTAACGTGATTAGTTTAAATGCATATAAATAATGCTCATAGCATATTTAAAAATCAGACATTGACAGTTGCTAAACAGTTATTTTATCATTAAAACTCGATTATATAATACGCTTGAATTTTCACGTCCGTGCAACAGCTCACTCTGACGACACAGCGACAGCACATCTGCTTCAGAAAATATCAACTCAACTGCAAAAGAGTTTTCCATTTTTATTTTAATATTACAACGTAATAAAAACATAGTTAACACTCAGACCTTAGGAAAAGTTCAGGAATGCATAACACATTTTGATAATATTAACAGAGATTTCAAGTGACAACTACTCTAGTGAGAACAATTCATAATTAATAAATTTAAAATAACACTTATAGAGCAAACAGCATTTGAAGTAAATGAAATTACTGAGAACGATGTAAAAAGGTTACATAATAAAGCTCAATTTAAAACTAGCTTGAGTTCAACATCACCAATGTGCAATTAATAAACAAACTGTCCCATAATATATATATATTTTTTTTAATTTTTCAAATTTTATTACAAACAAATGTCAATTATTCTGCTTGTCCCAGCAAGTTCTCTTAACATTTAAACCAGCACCTGCTATAATTATAATGACAACATTCAACAAACACTTAAGGCTGGTGAAGCCTGAAGATAAAACTAAAGAGTGAAAGCAACAGCTAAATAACTCTGCTATACAAACAAATCAGTTTTTTTCTTTTGTTTGTTTGTGTGTTTCCATGTGTGTGCTCTCACAGGTCGAGTGATATCCTAAAGTGCTGTGCTCTTTGGGCTAGTTCCTTGGCAAACTCTTGGGCCTCATACAGAGCTTGGGCATCAGGAAAGTGCAGCGCGGCCTTCTTGGTGGCCACAGCCAGCTGCTTCAGGAGTGCACACAGGTGATTGCTTTTACACAGAAGGCTCTGGCTGGACCCTCCTTGCTGGGCCTCCCTGCACAGAGTGTCCACTAATCTCTGGCCCACCATGATCACCAGTTTACTCTGTGAGATGAATCGCTCTGGAGGCTGGCCATCCTGAAGGCTGCTTACGAATCCTCTGATGGCCTTTTGAAGGGCGCCAAAGTAAAGCCTGCAGTGCTCAGACAGGGAGGGTGGTGCTTGTTCTTCTGATTCGCTGCTGGAGGACTGAGTAGTGGAGTCAGCCTGTGCAGAAAAGAAAACACCAGAGGGATGAGAAGGGCTTTGTGTCTTCATTTGATGAGAGCCTAAATTCTTGATAACTAGCTGTGTAAATTCTCGTATTCAAAGGCAAGTTTGTTGAACCCTAAACTCACATGTGCCACATCGGAGACCGGTGTGCCATTTTCTTTTGGAGTCTCCTCCACTTCCTCCTGCTGCTTTTCAAAATCATTTTTTGTCTGAGGAAAAAGAAACAATCACATTATTACAGTCTCAACTCCATCAGAGTTAGTACAAGTAAGAGGTTGTTAAAAAAAACACATTTTCAAATCATTTAAAGGTTGTATTTAATTAATAATAGTGCAGGAGACAAATAAAATGTTGACACTGAAAAAATACACAAAGAGTTGGGCTGTGTCTTGGTTGACTTCTTCTGTGAGCAAAAAGGTTATATGTCTAATGATGAAAACTTAACAACTCTATAACTCTCACAATTGTAGTATGACAGCTTTTTTTCCATCCCTTCTTCTCCTGTTGAAATTTTTTTAACTACCAGGATTCCTACGACATATTTCTCAACCCTCTCTCAGTCCGATTAAGGCATATACATGGAAAAAAATATCCATTCCCAGCAGCTAGGGCTGTAAAGTCCTAGTCAACTGGTCGACTTTTTGTTCGATACGTACGGAGTTGACCAAAATTCTGATTGGTCAGCTCAATTTTTTCCACGCCAATTTACAGTCCATGGTTGATTTCACCAGGAGGAACGTACCAAGTGCTAATGGGGGTGTTTTCAGAGCACCCCTGTTTCACAGGTAACAGCCCGTCTTAGAACACTCCCCTTGTTTTCATCTGCATCCACAAATGTGACTCAATGCACTACCATGCAAAAAAAAACAAACCATATAAAAACAAAATCTTGAAATTTCAGCAACTTCCCTGGTCCCAAGCTCATCTGAGATGGACCGGGGAAAAGTGTAAAACTGTCCTGTCATCCAAGAAATCAACATTTGACATTCGTTTTGGAAGTCATGAATGCTGCATCCTGTAATATTCTTTCTCATCTCCAAGGAGAAGAAAGGCCATAGGGCTTGTTATTAGGGCACGATCTAAAGGCCAACATCTGTGATGGTATAAAGCTACATATATGCTCATGGCATGGCAAACTCATAGTTTACATATTTGAAAAAAAACAACAAAAAAGAACAGACATGTTTTGAAGAAACATTTTTGTTTGTTTATGGTGCAATCCAAACGATGCTGTTTACTAAGAAGATTTTGCATTGTACATCAAATGGCCCTATAGAAGTAGATAAGTAGAAATAAGAGTCTGGGTACCAGTGGCCTGCCTGCTACCCAAAGTTGTGACCCGTTGACACCTTTGCAAACATAGTGAGCAGCTCAAAGCATGTATCGGACATGAACGGGACAATATTTACTCTAAAACTTCAGAAATGGGTCTCTGTGGTTCTCAAACGTTTTCATTGTGTTGTTAGAAGAAGAGGTCAAGCAATACAAGAGTAAATGTGCTCCTGTCTCAACTGTTTAGAAACACGCTGCTGGCATTAGTTTTAATATGAGCACATTTTTTCATCATATATTTCTTCAGTTTGAACATTTGATATGTCGTCTTTGCACTATTTTTAATTAAATACAGGTGTTAAATGATTTGCAAACCATCATACTCTTTTCTTATAATCAACCCCTCAATCGGGGTTTCACAATGTAATCCATCTTTGTAATTTTGTGTTTTAAGTTCATAAATTAGTTATTCCAGTGATGTGTGTCTCAGAAGATGTTTTTACCTGCAGCTCAACATAGTCATCATCATCCTCCAGGTCTTCTCCTTGCTCCTTCACATCAGGACTTCTCTTCACATCTGTCTGGCTGAGACGGTCTGACTCTTTCTGAGGGGCTCTAAACAGAAGTTTGCCATTAGCGTTGATGATTGACACCAGGCGCTTGACGTCTTCTGGAACAGTCCGTGCCACCATGACAAAGCGCTCTAACTGGTCAGGGGTCTGGACCTGCTCTGGGTCCTGACAGAGCATGTTCAGGGGCCAGCCAGCCATGTTCAGAGCACTCACTGTTTGTTGTAGGATGATACCTGAGTCTTCGATGATGGACAGCTGTTTGTAAAGCCTGGTCTGGAGGTTGGTATCTGTCAGGCGGCGGGCATTGCCTTTGACATCGAGGGCAAAGTTTAGGAAGCATGTTAGAGAAGTTACAATCCCATCTGCTGCTTCTTTGATCTTCTCTAAGTGTTTTCCCAGATGGTCTCTGCTTCTCCAGTGACTGCTGACAAAATCCATGAGACAGGGCACGGCCCTACAAACACAGTCCCGCAGGTCCAGAAGTCTGCGACAGGCCTCGTCCTGCCTGAGCGTTACTTCTCGCAGGGGCTCTGGAGAGGACGAGCTCAGAGCCAGAGAGTCACATGAGCTGGTGGAAGAGCTGGAGGCCGTACTGATGCGTTGGCTGTCTGCTGCAGAGAGGCATAGGGTTTTAACTCGTTCATCATCGTCCTGCTTCAGTGACTCCCTACTTCCTGGTAGGTCATGGAAAGATGTACAGGCGAGGAAGTTCCTCATTCTTTGCAGACGTACCCTTTTGAGTTCATGAGCATTTTTTGAGTCACCCCTACACTCCAGGGGGATATGATCTCGAGGGGGTTCATTAAGCACTCTGACGTGGGGTTCCTGGGGAGGAACAGCATAAACTGAGTCCTCTGTGATCTTTTGAGCTGGAGGCTTGTCATAAATGGGAACCCTTGGCAGCACTTTAGGTGGACTTTCAAAACTGCTGGGCTTTGGTATATCATAAAGTGAGGGTGCTGGACTGCCTCTCTGGATGGGCAAAGGGTGTGCTGGGAGATTGTCATAGAGCTGCCTGCAAACAGCTCTGGATGGCATGGTGTCAAAGGGACTTTGGGGTGGGCTGTGTTTCTCAGGACCCACAGGCACATCGTAAATCCACTCAGGTTTGCGGGGGGTTGGAAGGGTGCTGTATCCAGCAATCCTTTTCTGTGCTGCTTCTGTTGCCGAAGGAATGGGGATGTCATAGTTTGGATCCTGATGTAAAGGTGGTGGGACCGCATACACCTGTGGACAGATACAGGACTATGACTATCATGATTGTGCAGAAAGAGGGAACTTCGGTAGTTCAGCAGATATAAGAGGGCTTGCTAGCAACCCTTACGGGCTCTCTCTTTACATTCATTGTAACAACCATAGACTGTATCAAACAGATGAAGGCTGCAAAACCCAAAGATCAGGGTTTGCGTAAAGACAAATCTGACAAGGTTGATAAGCCGCCACTAACGCAGTAGTGTCTACCAACATCTGTCTGCTTTAACATAAGTTTTCCTCAGATGTTTACTCTTAACAATTTCTGTCTACCAAACTTAAATTACATAGATGTCTCCCAATTGGATGATCAGGGGAATGTGATATTGACCTGTATCGTATATGGGGGGTTGATTGCAGCTGATAAATGAAACATTATCGACAATCTTTCCAAAGTAACTTTAGCAGAAATGCTGACTCAAACCAACTTTTTGTAAAGCTGGAAACAAGGAAAGAGTTCACCTGCCAAACAGCTAGTATAACGCACCATCCACCAGTGATGACCACCCGACCACCTCTATTTATGCATAGTTCATGTTAGCAAAACTAAGAAGTTATAGGAAAAAACATTATTCATTAAATTGTTAAGAATTATGAAATATAGTACAGTGTCCAAAATATTATTTATCTATAGATTCATTCATTCATTCATCTATTTGTTTGTTTGTTTGTACAAGGCGGCAAAAAGTGTCTTAGCTTTTGAGCAGACACTCAAGACACTCACTTTCAACACTGGAGGTTGACTGGTACCAATAAAGTATCACATCATCAAAGACAGGAGACTTTCCTAAATCATGCTCGGATATCTCTATCTGCATAAAGAGTTGCTTGAAGTTCCAAGTACAAAGACTGTTTCCTTTATAGTGGGGGCCCTAAGACACATTTCACTTCAAGTCATGATACAAATGTCCCCTTTGGTATGGAAGTACCTTAGGGTCATAGAAAACATTTTATCCAAAGAGACATGTTAGATCACCCTTCAATTTTTTTTAATAGCCATTTTAAAAATAGCTGCCGACAATAAACCGCTTATACACCAGACCCCATATCTTTTCTTCTGTTAGAGCTATAATCATAATATTGGTGTCAAAGTGCACATTTTTGGGGTCTAGGAATTCAATTAAATAGGTTTCAATGTAAAAAAAAAAAAAACAATGCTTCATTAATTACAATGACAGTAGGGGGTAAAATATGCTAATTTCATGAAAGAATGTACGTTTTGACAGGGTAACTTACCCCCACCCCTCCCCCTAAACTGAGATTTACTGTTCCTTTGGCTTGGAAGTACCTTAGGGCCATAGGAAACATTTTATCCAAAGAGACAAGTTAGATCACCCTTCATTTATTTTATAGCCTCTTTGGATAAAATGTTTCCTATGACCCTAAGGTACTTCCATACCAAAGGGGGTATTTGTATCATGACTTGAAGTTAACAGCTTATTTTTTGGGCTTAGGGACTCCACTATTAAACACAGTTTTGATTTAATGTGATGTGAACTGACTCACATAAGTGTCTCCTGGACTGCTGCACCTTGAGCTCTCCACAGCATCAAATCTTTTCTCCAGCACTGACATTGGGAGTAGAGAGCTAGTTTGTGGTGTGTGCCTTGTTGAAGCCTGTTGCAAAATGAACACAACAACAGTTAAGACAATAGGACCAGTACTCAGTCACCCAAGTGATAGATTATCCACAAACACTCTCTAGTTTTATGTTGTGTAAAATTAAGGCTCTTACGTTGAAAAGAGAAGCCCGTCTTGCTTGGTTTGGGACATCATAAACCTCCCCTTTCCGACTGGACACCATGCTGAAAAATGAAGCCTGCGGACAAAACAGACAGGATGTGACATTGGAGTAGACTTGCAACACTTGCACAGCTTTGATCATAGCTGCATCTACCTCATTGACCTCTACGTGAAGACGTTTATGGAGACAGTATTTGCTCTGGAGACTGCCGAGAAGCCCATCATGCATGCACTTTGCCAATTAACCCAGCTCTATAATAGAAACCATACTGCTCATTGAATATAAGGTGGCTACTGCCGAGGAGAAAAGGACTCCCCTAGAGCAGGAGAGGAAATGGTGAACATGTGGGCATATTTCTCCCCTCCTTCTGCTGCATAGGCACCTATATACACACCTCTGACTTTCTGGGGTCTCTGGCGGCAGGGGCTGTTGTTAGCGGTTAAAAGTGTCTGAAGTTTGTGTCTGTTTGTCTTTTACTGGCCCATAAAGACCCCAGAGCTGCATGCCTGTCCCCATGGAGAGGCCCCTGGTCCCCATCTGCAAGCTCTTTTGCCAGCAGGGGGTTAGCAGCGTTGCATTTCTGCCTCTCTAATCATGAGTGAACACTTCCCCAAGAAAAGGGCCAGGTTGACCTCAGAGTAACAGACACACCAACATCTACATTTATCTCTATTTTGTTTCATTCTTATATTCAGTCATCCTTTAGTAAGTGAAATTGTTGCTTGAGTTTACCTCAGGTCCCTCTGGGCTGTGTTTAAGTGCTGATGGGACTGAAGCAGACAAAGGAGTGGAAGGCACCTTGTAGATCATGTCCATGCGCTCATAGGCTGGGCTGCTGGAGGGACGGGGAACACTCGGGATTTGGTAGATGTTTTGCACACTTAGATCAGCTTCAGTGTCAGTCTTTTCATGTCCTGATGGACCTGCAGCAGCTCCAGTTTGTTGCGGTAAAAGCTGCAGTCTATTTGCCGGGGCCAGTCCCTGCCGTCCGTGAAGAAAACACATCCACCATCCGCTGGTGCCCGCCACATTTTGATTCATCACCGTTATGATGTCCCCCTTTCTGAAGGCCAGCTCATCTGCACATTCTGCTGTGTTGTCGTACAGAGCCTTTGCAAGTTTCTTCTGTAATGAAAAAAGAGAGGGACACGGATTAGGAGGTAAATAACACCATCGTTCAAGTGGTGTCACTTCTAAAGATGAGTTAAAACTAAGATAACCATTAAGACTGTCGTGTGCAACAGTTACCTGATAATTTACATGCTGAGATCAAATCACTTTATATTCACTGCATTACTAAATGTCATCTTTTCTGAAGGTCCTCGGTGTAGAGCGATTATGTTTTTGGTGCTGCAGGATGATGACAACATTTCCTCTTACAAAATGCTGCTGCCCGTTGAGTCATGAGACTCATCATCAAGTTCACAAGAAAAATTGCAGAAGTCATTTTATAAATCATAACTAACAAAAACGGTTGGCACAGATTCAGTCTTATTTGCTCTAATTTATCAAGTAATCGTGAAACAACATCAAAATATTAAGCTGAGCTTTTTAATTTTCAATGAGACATTTCTTTCCTTTGCTGTTTCACTTCCTAGTTTTCTTCTTGCAGAGAGATAAGTGCAAACAAAGTGTCAACAAAGCTTCCTCTCGTGGGCTTGCAAGCATCCTGTCATCATTCCAAAAATAAATGTGCAAAACTTCACTTTACATATTTTTTTTCTCTGCAACTTAACAATAGTCGCTTGTCACTCTGTGTGGTTGCTTCATGCATGTGGTCCTGTAAAGTCCATGCTCTCTCGATGATGTGACAGTCTACTCCAAGTCACCTGATAAAGTGTTCTTTCTTGCAGTACATGAAACATCGGATGAGGCTTTATACTTTTAGCACAAACATTTATTGCTAAACAATCGCATACTGAGGGCTGAATTCACAACCTGCAGCTTGTGGTTTGGCATATTTAGATAGGAAAGAAGGTGTACACCCATATCCCTTCGATGAGTTTTTAAAATTCTCTCTTAATAAATAAAAGTTGAGAAAAGTAACAACAGAAATTCAAGTGGTCTGTACTCTTTTTCCAATAATAACTATTTAAAAGTGATGTTTACCCTTGTTAAGTTTGGCTCCAGCAGCTTACTGACCAGCCAGTCGGCCAAACTCAGTGCAGTGGAGCCAAACTTTGCTCAGTCCCTGATTTTAATGTAATGCTTATAACAGTCCCTGATGGTGCAGCCTGCCATTATGCCTATCTCCAGGTGATGCCAGGCATGCAGAACTGGAGGTCCTGGAAATTGGCTTTGACCAGCCTTGTGATGCTTGAAAAAAGCTGAAGGCTCTCCACAGCATCTCATGCAGTACTGACTTGAAGGCATTGTCAAGATCTAAAAATAAAAAGCAGGTAGATCTTTCCTTTACTTCTTGGCAGTTTTTACTTGGTGCAAGATGGAAATTGCTTGTTCCAGACACCCTGACAATCTACTTATCCCTGCATTCTGCTCTGCAGTGTTGACGTAGTTGTTCTTTTGCAAGACTGCTAAGAGTCTTTAGGGCCACAACACTGAAGAAAATCTTCCCTTCCATGTTAAGAAGACTGATCTTCTGTTTGGAAATCAGGATCCCTCCAGCTGTTTGCCATGCCCGTGGTATGATGCCTTTACCCCATGCTACTTTCATCAGCTTCCAGAGGAGCCTCAAGATACCCGGCGTATTCTTACAAAGCCTGTATGAAATGGGGGGCCAGGGGCTGATGCTGTCTACAGCTTTACTGTGTTCACAACTTGGCTCCACGTAGAGGGTCTTGTGTCCAACTGGTGCTCAAGTGGTTGGATTGGTGGTATATCATCGGGAATGGTTGCTGGTATGGGCCTCTGGTTGTCAGAATCGGCATTCCTCAGGTGCTCTTCCAGTTCCCTCACAGGTACTTTACGGTACCTGGTTTTAACCTTGACTAAGAGGTCTTTGACAAACTTGTAGGGATCTTTGTAGAAAGCAATCCTTGCCCAATCTTTCTTTGTATGTTGCTTTCCCAAGCACTCTGCTCCCCGCAGTGTTACAAGGTGCTGCCTGATGTCACCCTATAGCGCCTCAAGTCCTTTCTAAAATTCTTTAAGTTCAGTATAATAGCAGAATCATAGTGTTATTGGAACTTAATATCTGTAATTGATAACTGTCTTACAACATGCAAGTAACATCCAAAATATGAGGACCAGCAGGAGAGTATATGGACCATAGACTGTATAAAGAATGGACGCCATCTGCCTCCTTGCTGGGTCACTCCGAGAACAGCACCCTCTGGTGACGGGCTGCAGTATAGGTCATAAATCCCACCCCCTCTAGCAATCCCTATGGAGCTGTGGACAAACTTGATAAATTATTTACACAGAATATAATTTTTTTTCCCCCTGGTTGCCGTGTTGACATGTATACATGTTGACATTGATACAGCCTATGGGTGTACGAAGATTGGGTAGCTCACCCAGGGGATACGCTATTTAAGCCGAGTGTCACCACAGCGACTCTCGGCGACTCTCCCACCGAATGTGTACAATGCTACTGCGCAAGTGGTGGAGTGCGTACAACACCACTGCACAATGTTGGTTTCAGGAAATTGAGAAAAATCGCGGAAATACCGAGAGCCTTTAAGCTTCAAAACAGTATACTGGTGGAAAGCAAAACCAAGTTGTCCATAGCTGTCCAAACTGTCTATGATACAGACCCATTAAATGGATGTATTTTGTACATCAGTACGGTACAAGTGGAGGAGGAGAGAGCTTTAAGTAAAACAAACACACTCTCACACCACCCTCAGCTGAGAAGTGTGTGTGTGTTGAAGGGTGCTTCTGCAATCTCTGCCCTCTCCCTGTGGCTGAATCCTCTGCAACAAAGAGTCCATTCACCGACACAGCCTGACACGCTCAGCACCTGTTGGGATGCAGGCCTGTGGAGCACTCTGACCACAGCACACTATGCATCCCACCCAGCACACACACATACACACACACAGGCACGTAGACCAAGCCTCAGCAAACTCACTACTTAATCCCATGGGTCATGCTACAGACATGCAAGTGAAATACATGGGGTCAAATGACAGTCTGCCACCAAAGCAAGATTTATGCTGCTGGACCTTCTCTCTGGACTCGTCTATGTACTCTTTCCAAAGATGACATTGTGAGCTGGTGTTTTCAAACTCTGGCTGTGTCACACCATCACTGTCTCAATCTACTCATATCAGGACAGCATGTATGTGGGAAAATGTGCTGAATTTGATTATTGTGTCTGATAAAGGAAACCCATGTGCCATTTAAACCACACCGTGACTGGTTATGAGTCAAGTGACTCATAACCACAGTTTCTATCTAACTTAATCTCTAAACTTCAGCTTGGCATAAGTAGAGTGCGTTACCTTTAAATTCTTGTCACTTATTCACAACTCCTGTTTCTGTGGATCACTAAGTACAGTTACAAAGTCTGATTCAGCTGTGACTCTTTTGGATTCCTGCACACGCCTGCTTGTGCAGATCAGCCTCACTGACAGCTGGTCTTCAGCACTTTAACCATACAGCTGTCTCTGCCTCTCCCGTCTCTCCACTCCATCCTGTTCACAAATTAACATTCGCCCATCAGTTGCAGTGCAGAAATGCTTTTAAAAGAGATAGAAACGTGTCTTCCATAAGGTACTGTAAACCACATTAAGCTACTTAAGGCCAACTTAGATACATTCTATCAATAAACACCCAAATATGGAGTATGGATAATGTTTAAATGACGATAGTTGCCTGTAGAAGATATAAAAAAAGGAAATTTTTTTCTTAAAACACACTAAAGAGGAGGTGAAGTTTCCTGTCGATGCTGTAAGTCTGCAAAGATAAGAAATAAAACATATTTACTCTAAAACAAGTCTGAAACAGACTTCTTTAAACAACTTTCTTTCAATCTGAAACAACAAAAGGAGATTTTTTTTCTTATTTTCTCTTCTAAAAATCCCACAGTTTCAAAAAAATGTGATCAAGAAATTGGTAAAACAGTTTTTCCACACTTAAAACTGTTTTTTGGTTTATTTTTAGACTTAAACTGGTAAGAGATGATTAGTTCTTACCACTACCTGTAATAGTTGCAAACAGCAGTGGAAATGATGGACAAATAGACCAAAAACACACTGGGTGATCATAAACTCAAGGCCTACACACATCTATCTATCAGAAAGCTGCAGGAACCATTCCCGGAAGAGTTTCCCAGAGCGGGAATGACACCTTTAGTTCACTGTGACCTTTTGACCCTTGACAGCCAGGGCGTGACCTTGGGGTCAGGTTGGACCCTCATTAATTATACATTCAGGCACATGCCTGACCCAACACAACACCCACAGAGATGGAGAACAAATCTCCATCACAGCCGCTGACCATATGAAAGGAGTACTGAGTAGTGCGGCGTCTGCTATTGGTATGTAGACTAAGGTCTAAAAACTTTGACTGGAGCAGACGCTCTCTCTCTGTGATCATGTTTGAGGCAGAGGGTGGGGCTTTAGAGGAGCAAGGGGTTAACAAAGAACGTTAACTGGGAACTGCAAAAACTAGCTCTGTAAGCTTTAGGTGCATCTGAAATTTATGTGCGTACCAACGGGTCAGAAATCTGGTGACAGTCCAGTGAAATAATCAAATGATTTGGTGATTTTTTTTCTTGTGATCACAGTAACTGTCCCCTACTGATCTTGATAAAGCAGTAAGATAAGATAAGACAAGATACGATAAGATAAACCTTTGACAGGATACATTTCTGGCAATAGAAAATGAGACAATAGGCTTTCAGTTAAGATATACCTGACCGTGACATGCCAAGCCGATATTTTTAATGACTCAAGTTAAGTCTGTTTCTGTTTGTTTCATCCTTTTGCAACTGCAGGGATATGATGGTCTGACAGAATCAAGATTTAAAGAAAATGGTTTAAATCCAGAAAATTAGAGATTAGAGAAAATTAGATTAGATATACAAGTGCATGTCTGCTGTGGGTTTCCACATCACCACATTCTGCTACACTATTACAAGTTTTTTAAGTCAATGAGCAGGATGTCAAAGTCACTAAAATTGAGGGGAAAAAAAGTTTGTTTTCCCAGACAGTAGCAGAGGCTTTGAGTTTATATGTGTTCTTGAATTCAGACCGGAGGTCAGCCTGTAGAGATGATACATTAGACTTTCCCACAGTATCTCTGATACGTGGACAGGGGCAGGAAGAAGGGGAGATGGGAACAGAGCAACAAAGTGAGAGAAAACTCTGACCTGGTATCCTCCAGAACTATTTACTGACATTTTTCAAATTTGTTTCTGACTGATCACTTTATCATCGTAAACGACCCTCAGATGTGCTGTGTGGAAAATCGCCTCTTCAACCAAAACAAATTGAAGCAGCATGGAGAATGACTCAGGCTCCACGGCAGTGACACTGACTTGCAGCTGCCCTGGTATTTCCTGTATGGGGACTGGTGAGAACTATGTCAAAGTCTCAGACACACGACTGATGAAAACTTCTGAAGATCTTCAACTGGATGATCGATGTCTCTGAGAAATTCCTCTCAAAATGATAAAAAAAATAATGTCAAGATTCAGCAGAGAGGATTCATGGATTATTAAACTGAATATGGTTGAACAGATGTTATCCTCATCCCAGTGATGATTTTTCTAATAGAGATTTATAATCAGCATTCGTTAACAGCATTTCAGTTACCAAGTCAGAAAAAAGATAAATCGGAGGCAGAAACAAGATGGCTACATTTATGAAAGTTATTTTAGCGCTTGTTTTATATTCAGACAAGGCAAGCGCTAAAATAACTTTCATAGCTGTAGCCATCTTGTTTCCACCTCCGATTTTGCTTTTTTCTGACTTGGTAACTGAAATGCTGGTAACTCAACAACAGCATTAGTTCAGAGCAGCCCAACATACTGACAAAAGAGATGGTTAGGGAACATCTGAAAACAACATCTTTGATCAAATCTGTGTGTTTGCTCATTTTGAACCTTTATAATGAACTCTGGAGGTACAGAGTTAGGTCTGTAAGCAACACAGTGTCATTGTCCTTGCATTAAATGTAGTCATTGTTTTCTCTCAAAAAGAACAAACAATGCTGCTGCATGTGTTTATGATAGAAGAGCTTCTCTGCACCTTTACCAAGATTTTAAGAGAAGTGGGACAGACGAGCAAAAGCAGCTGATTCAGCTTGATATAGTGTCCGATTATTGTTTTATAGAGAAGTGTGAAATGATTGAGCTGGATCAAAGTGAAAACAGCAAAAACTGAGATGTACAGCAGCTCACACAGATGTACTGTGTGTTATTTCCATCCTTATTTCTCAGCGGTATGGTGGTTTCTGTGGATGACAGACTGGACGATGTGCACAGCAGCAGATAACAGATAGGCTCATTTCTCTGTAGCAGGAACTTATCTCACCCCTCACACTCTGCTTTTATTCGTACTCACACTTCCTCAGACCATCATCCTCTGTCATTTTTCACACTTCATAAATTCAGAGTGCTATCACTCTGAATTCATTTACTTGTTACTCCTGCAGTTGGAGTTGAAAAATCATGATCGGTGTTGAGATTAGTTTAAAGGTGCTGCAGTAAACGGATGACAACCTTCTTCTCCATTAAATTCCCTTTACATTAGGATTCTATATGATCAAATGAAATGATAATAAATTAGGGAATTGGGACATTGCATACTATCATATGAAGTGTAATCTAATAGCTTTAATGCGCCCTGTGGAGCCACTAAAGCCAGAAGGTGGACATGACTGGAGCGGTAAATTAATGTGAAGTCTCTAACTAATGTGAGCAGAAACTACTTTGACAAAGTAAAAACTAAAATTAAGCAACAGTGAACTAAATGGTGGCGCTGTAAAACCAGAAAATTACGCTTGTCTCACTTTTCCTCATCACAAGAACTTCAGGCCTTTTTTCTTTTTTGCCAAAAACATTTTAAAATGTGACGTTTACCTGGACTCGTCATGGCGAATGTAGCTTATTTTAAGCATAATGAGATGATGTTTAACAGACATAACAAAGAAACACATGCTTAGTTTGACGTCTTGCAGTAAGGCCCTGAGCTCAGCATTTTGAGGCTGCAATTAACACCTTTAACTGTACACACACACACACACACACACACACACACACACACACACACACACACACACACACACACACCATTTTGTTCTGTCATTGTTCTGCTGCATAGATATAATTGTAGGAAAGTTTGAGGAAGTTATCAGATAAACCCGACATCTTCTTCTTCTCATTAACAGTCATTCATAGAAGTAGTTATGGAAAGTCCCTGTCCTGTTGCAATATTTCGTGTGTAATGTATTTCTTTCATCTGATTGGCTCACTGAGCTCTGACACTTATTTGTCCATGGACTGAGCTACTTTATTTACACATAACCCTGTAACCCAGTTCACATTTTTGCCTGACAGGATGGAGTAAATTAATAATCCTTAGCAGGTAAACACATTAAAAGTGGCTGAATAACATTAAAAACAGATGGTGAATTAGAGTCCAAAATACTTTCCACTTCCTTGACCGAGACTTGAGGATGCTGTGACTTCTTCGCGCCAGCCTCCCGCTGTGTGAGCCCTCATGACTGTCCACTGACTCTTGCTCTCAGATGATAAAGCCTGACAACAACACAGCACACGAGGCGTCCAAAAATAGTTCACTGGGAACTATAAAAGGAATCTATTCCGACGTGAAAACAACCTTAAAGAGCGGAAATGAGATTGCCCAAACCGTCTGTCACCGAACAAACTAGTCAGAGTCTTTTAAGGAGCAATGAAAAAGATGAGCTCAGCTGTATATTTGCTTTTCATGGGAAAATGTCACGATGATGCACATCCTCTTGCTCAGCTGTGACCGACAGATAAGACCTGGGAAGACTGTACTTTTCTGTCAACATTACTCATATTGAGGCTTTTAAAGCATTTTCCACTCCCAGACTAACTCAGGACCAAAGGGAGAGAAACATGCACAGATTGTATCAACTGCTATCTGCAGTGTTTGGTGTGTAAACTACTAGATTCTCATGTGTTAAATTAATGCCCTTTGGTTCCAGGAACTGCTTTTCTTAGGAAGTAAAATGTTTTTTATAAACGCAATCATGTGTGTTTCCCCCACAACACTCAGGTAAGTGCTTTGTTGTCATCACTGTAGATCTCAGAGCAATGATGACAGAGCTGAAAAACAGAACTTAGTCAATTACAAATATTGTCAACTGTAGACCCGTGACTACCTGTGCATCAACAACACACAGAATTCCTCCAAAGACGGACAACGTGAGCTATTTGACAAAGATGATGAGGTTGATTGTCTGACTTTGATTTTGCAGTCTAATTATTCCTCTGCCGTTGACCACTCGCAGCCTTCACTCGCACTCTGAGGGTCTTTTCTTGATGCAAATACACGCAGCTATTATTAACTTCTCGGTCAAGCTCTCGATTCATAAAATCAATCTTAGAGACTGTAAAGTTTTACAGGGAAAACACAGAAACTGAACCAACAACATAAGGTGAATTCAGCAGAAACAATCTCAAACTATCTCCACACATTTGAAGGTAATTTCCTCAGTCACTTGAACGCACAGAGCTTAAGTATCCAAGCATAAAATCCATTGTTTTCATTGATCAAAAGTCTGTGCAAAATAAACCAAAGTACCAAATTGACAAGTTTAACATCTGCCTTTAAAATAAATAAAAGGATACCAATTAATGGTGAAAAGTCTGAGTGTATAATCTCACTCCTGAAGGCTTGTGTTAATGAGGCTCGTAAAGTTTCACTCTCAGCTCTGTGTCAGGATCAGCCCTCTCAGGTTACAGCCCACAGTGAAGCAGGTCAGGGGGTTGAGTGTAGAAATAGGCAGTAGCTGACACCACAAGTTAAAGTGGACTACAAGCAGGTTGTCTGTAAGGACATTTTTCCTAATGGGCAGTATTATGCAGAAATAAATGCATCACACTCAGCATTAAAAATCAGATCCAAACTATTAAAGGAATTTTACCTCAGTCATAGTGAATGGAATTTAAAAGGTAAAACTTTTCTAATGTAAGTTATTCAACAGTTGCAGTACTCACCATGTTGGTAACGCAGTTCTGTTCAGTGTCACACAGAGAAATAAGTCCGTCCACAGAGAGTCGGTCTCAGTGAACCATCTCAACAATGAGTGTGTGTAAAAACTCTTGGGGGTGTACTCCTCCTCTGTGTCTCACAAGCATATTGTCTGAGCTGTCACTGAGAGCCAGACTGTTTTACACCCTGGGCGGGGAAACAGAGCTCCATGTCACTGACACAGCTACTGATCTGCAGCCTCATTGGCCAGAGGGCCCCCCCCCCTCCATCCTACCCTGACCCTGTGCAGCTGCCAACCCCATCACTGCATCTTTTCAGCGTTTCACTCTGCCCTCTATCTTCCTTGTAAAGCAGAAGTTGAAATGTTGCTGCTGGTTAGCTTTACAAACTAACTGTGCTATTTTTTTGTCATTACGTTTCTGCTTCCTCTTTTATAATAAGTCTGAGGTATCCCACAGTACGTGACCGGTCAGTGAAGCACGGTTGGGTAAGGTGGGGTTTGTTTAAAGCCAGAATTCTTACTACGCTGCTTGTTGTTGTCTGGACAACACAGACAGCAGCAGCGTCTGGGAGAGTCATGTTGGGGGTTGGGGAATGCAGGAGTGATGACCTCCAACCTGGGGGTGCATGCCAGAGTGAAGTTCTTTAAATCTGCCTCTTTAATCCTCCCGATTTTTCAACGTTTTTCCACTATGAAGTAACTTTGGGTCTCCAGATCAGATTTCTCCTACTTGTTTTATGCATTGAAAAAAAGAGAAGAAAACAGAGCTCAATAGGTAAAATGGCCCTGACATTGAATGCCTGTTGTGTGTTCATTCACTGTCCATTTCTGCTCCCTGCAGGTTGCTGAGATTTTGCAGCAGCTATGGAGATGGGCAAAATGGGTTAAAATATTTTTCATGATAAGATTTGCCATTCTGGCGATAACAATAAAAGTCCAGATAAATAAAAAAATATATTATGTGTCCAATCTATATTTTTGACACATTTTGTCTCGAGAAGGCCAGTTGGAATAGTCAAATAAGATACTTAAACACAAGTTTGAGTGGTAGGTTATTAAGAAAACTAATGACATCAAACAAGTCTCAAATGTGAAAACATTTTCAACATTTGTTGAAAACTCTTTTTGCACAGAGTGAACAGCAGCAGCAGATCCACTGTAGATCACTCATCTAAGCCCCAATCTTGAAGGAAATCCCTCATGTGGAGCCTCGTTCAGTAACGAACTGCTCAGAAACATCTTCATTACCTTCGGCCATGTCTGTTTGTTATTCTGATCTGTGTGGGCTATGAGTCCGTTGCTCACGCTTACGTCATCAACTTGCATTTATCGCGTTAATCATTAGGTGGCAAATATTTATCAGAGGATTTTTCTGACGATATATCATGAACGATAATTTACCTCCCATCCCTAAGCACCAACCATGGTCTTAAATGACCACAGCATATTATGAGATCTGCAGAGAGGTATCATCAGGAAATTAACAGCAGAAGCTTGTTGATATTAGTTGTTTAATAAAAATCTGCATCACAACGAAGACAAAATATAAAAGTGGAAATGAATACTCTCTCTACCGACGCATTTCTAAGAAATATGAGATGTGAGAGAAGTTTAAAATGAAGTGTCCAAGAAGTGAAAGAAACTTTGAAGGTTAGAAAGTTAAGTGAATCAGAGGAAACCTTGTTGTATCTTCATTAAAAGAGAAGACACTCAGACATCTCGACCTTCTTCACTTTGAAAAAGAAGAAGCGATTGACGGAAGTTCTGTCCTACAAATAACACAGAACAGATCTGAATAAAAAAAACACAGTACAACATGACGTTTTATTTCCAAAAACAGTATTTTCACCGAGGTCATAGAGAGAGACAGCAAAGTTCAGCATCCTGTTATGATTCTCAGGATGAGCCAACGTGAGGGGGGGGGGCAGAAGACTAGGGAGGAAAACCATAGCTGCTGGACGTGACTCAGTCTGTGGTGGTGCGGCGGTACCAGAAGCGGGCCCTGAAGTCGTCACTGCAGGTCATGAAGCCGGGGTTCGTGGGAGAGTGGACGATGCAGCGGACGATGTTGTTGTGTCCTAAAGACAGCAGGTTTTTCCTCTCGGCCGTGCGTGAGTCCCAGCAGCACAGGCTGATGGTGCGCTCGTCTGGTAACAGCACGTAGTCTTCAGTGTGGTTAAACACGCCCTGCGTACGATGCATCTGTCGCCCGCTAAGCCCTGCACCTTTAACACACAGAGATGACATGTCAATGCGAGGCTGATCATGACGTCAAAGAGACACTCTGGTAGTTCTGATGTAACGCTGCAGACTGTTGTAACTGAAATCGTTTCCTCCTGGTCTTTGTTTCCCTCTCAGTCCCTGGGACAGCTGTTCAGTCACAGCAGATTGTGTAAAAGTGGATCAAACAAAAACATCAAGTGATTTTGTAATGGGAGCACTATTTCAGGGAAACTGATGCGCTAAAACCTCCCTTCATAAACTCTTGAGTAAACGTTTCATACTCATATCCTAATCATACGAAGTCTTACTGTGAGCCTTTCCCTGTTTATGACCTGAGGATTTGAATAAAAAGTGCAAACTAGCTCCCTTTGGTCTGCTCCCTCTTTGGACAAAAACGTCAAACACTAACATCCATGATGGATTTTATGGGTCATGTTCTTTAACCAGCTCCTTAAAAAAAGGAAATGCTCTGAGATAAGGACTGTAATGCTTTCTAAGGTTTGAGAGGCTGAAATTTTTTATATCTCAAGTAAAAAATTCTGCATCAAAGCTCATTAACTCTAGCTGACAGCCTGACAACTTCTTGGTTGATCCAGAAAACTAATCCTAAGACAGTGAAGTCTCTGTCCATACACGACCCCAAACACTCATCCAACTGCTGAATAAGACTATATCCAGCTTATGAGTGAATAATGGGCCCTGTACTGTAAAACAAGCATTCTCTAGAAGCTGGGTACTACATTAAAGGGATATTCCGGCGTAAAATTAAGTTATTGTCAAACACACCGTAACACCAAGTTAGACACCCCCTCAAGAGATAAATGTTGCCGACTGCTTGCTTCTCTAGTTATACCAACTTTAGCAACGACCGCACGACAGCAATACATAGCGGTCTATGTCTCCACGTGCAAATCTCAACCAAAAAGCCACTCTATAGCCACAAATAATACTCAGAACAGCACTTAACTTCATCAACATTACATATAAGGTCCCAGCCATAGTACTAGCCTGGTTTCTTTAGCAAAGAGACCAAATACAACTCACCCACTCTCTTCCAGCAGCTGCTTGTTTGTAGAGGAGCCCTGGCGAGTCGATCACCGAATGCAGTCGAAAATTTATGATTATTACATAATGAAAATGCAATCAGACCGAGACTCTAAGGCAGAAGAACTACCACGTCTGCGGAGCACAAACAAGATACACAAGAACTCTGATTGCATTTCCATAAAGTAATAATCATAAATGTTCTTCCTTGAGCTGCGAAACTCCGCTGAACTGGCTAATCGATTCGTCAGGGCTCCCCCGTAAACAAGCGGCTGCAGGAGGAGAGTGGGTGAGTTGTGTTTGGTCTCTTTGCTAAAGAAACCAGGCAAAGCTAAAAAGATGTTTGATGGTTAGGGGGTGTTTCACTCAGTATTAAGGTGTGTTTGACCAGAACTTAAGTTTACGCCGTAATAGCCCTACAAGTTTGTTTGGCAGCCTTATTAAACAGACAGCTGATGGAGAAAGACAACCAAGCAAATACAGAGTGGGATCAAATGATGATACAGCCAAATACTGTCCCCCTGAACGGTGAGATACAATCACCAACACACCATCATGCATCATTGTACCATCACTTTATATGATCTTGGTATTACTGCGTCACATTGCACTGGATATTGTTAAGTATAATACAGCCATTGGAAACACTAGACATGGGTCTTTTTAAGTGATTCAGCAGGAAAATACTCTGACTTAAAAGGTGAACAAGATTCTGCAAACCTGCAACCCAAACATGTACTGTGGTTGAACTATTTCTGTCATGTGAGTGTCACATACAGTCTGGGGTAAGAATCCCAAAAGCTGTTGAGATATTGAGTCTATAATGATGAGAATCAGGGTCTTAAGTGTGCTACACATTTCCAGGACATTTTTGTCATTGCTGAATGAGGTTAAGACTTTCCTCGGACTTTGATTTGTTTTTTACATTTTCATTATTTAGATAAAATTGTTCTTGATTCAGCGAGTATAACAAGGAAATTAGTTATTGAGACTTTTTCATCCTTTTCATCTCAACACAACATCGCTCTATAAACACGTGTCCATCAAGTTAAGATTGTTGTTGTTTATTTTTGTAACAAAGGGTTTTTCAACACTTAATTGCCTCATTTCTTCTTACTGAAATATTAGCAAAGAAAACCATCCACAGGAAACAAACGTTTCTGCATGTATACAAATACGGCAGAACATGACACAATCATTCACTGGAATGAGCAGCGTCTCAGACATGATTTCATTGTATTCAAAATTACTCTGGACGGTATTACTTCCCCATTTCTGACTATGAGATCAAAGGGATGAAACATTTCCTCTTTAATGCTCTTGGAAACCTGCACAAGGTTGTGCTGAAAATCCTTGTTCATTTGATCATTCTGACACCTTTCCTCTGTTAATGTTGAGTGACAGGTTATTTCACAGTGTGATCAATGATCAGTGTCTGTGAGAAAACTGCAAATTTGATATTACAGTGGGTGATTTCAGTGTCTTCTACATTTATTGCGCTATTAAAGTTTTACATGATCATTAATATCAGTGCGCCACTAATGATTTCTACTCGCACTGTGTGAGCACAACAAAAGCGTTGTGCTCCGACGTCATTTTCGACTTGTTTTGAGTCATCAGCGAGTGCATCAAATCCTGTTGGACCCTCTTCCATTAGAGCAGTAGAGCAGGTAATGTAACCTGAACGTAACAGCGTAGCTCCTTCAGCGTGTGAGATTGGGGCTAACAGCAAAAATCCCTGACACAGCAGTGCCGCTGCTGTAAAAAATTATGAATTCCTTAAAGATACTCATATTAAATAAACAATAAGTTTCTTTTAACCAAAATTTCAAGGGATTCTTTAAATCACCTGCCTGAACCTGGGTTGGGTTCACTATGAATCTGTTAAATCTGTACAAGCGCCAGAAACTTCATGTATTCAAATATATGGTACCCAGGAAGAACAGGCTATTTTAGCTTCGACAACTGGTCTCCATTTTTACATATATTGTTTTTATCATAATGTGAAAACTATACCACAAGAGAGGGGGTTAACGAAACCAGCAGAGGAAGAAAATAGATGAGAAAATGTTGATAAAAAACGAAATTGATGTTATGCAAATTATTTAAACCCTATTTTTAATGAAATCAGTGTAAACAACACATACTAAAAGGCTAAAACTGAAATTTGATTATTTAGTGAGTTATTACTTTCTTGTCCTTTCAGATTTGATGCCAGCAACAAAATATTTCAAAAAAAAAAAAAAAAAGCAAAAAAGTTGGGAAAAGAAAAAAAAAAAAAAAAAAAAAAAAAAATCAGATTACCGATTAATCGGCCGATTCAAAAAAAAAAAAAATTCACTGTAGATATACAGCAGGCTATTGCTCTTCACACAGACAGGAAGACCGACTGATCGAAGTCGGACCAGAAAAGCGTTTTCAACCGTGATTTCACTTTAAACATTTGATGTTAAAGGGAACAAACACTTGATATTTTTGAATCTAAGACATCCAGAGTTTAATGCACCTCACTGATACTGCTTCAAGACGCATGTATTGCGCAGCTTTAGCAGGACACAAATCCACGTATTCTCCTTACCTGTGTACTTGACCAGTGTCCGGCCCGTTGAGATCTCCCACAATTTGACCACAGAATCCTTGCCGCTAGAGAGGATATACTTGGAGTTCTTGGAGAAGATAGCAGAGCAGACCTCGGCTCCGTCATGGGCCTTCTCGAAGGTGGTTACGCAGCGGTTGGACACGCCATCCCACAGCTTGATGCTTCCATCTTTGCTGCAGGTGACATAGCTGTTAGCAGAGGGGTTGTAGCCCACACCGCTGATTGTGTCTGTGTGCTGGTCGAGGGGGTTACATGACACAAAGCACTGGAAGGTGTTGACGTCATAGAGGCGGAGAGTGGGGTGCTGTGTTCCTACAAGCAAGAAGTCACCTGATGGATGAAAGGAGATTGATCGTAGCATTTCTGCTTCCTGTAAGAGAAGAGATGAAGAGAGGACTAAACTACAGAATCATAGTAATCAACGCAGACACATCAGATTCATATGCTTCCCATTTCAGCCTTTGTAAAAACCTATGACAAATGATAAAAAGGAAAATCGAGATCATCTGTGTACTGTACCTGTATGTATTTAAATGCTCTTTTTGCAGAGGGCTTTGAGTAGTCAAAAAGTTTGAGTGTGTAATCTCTTGAGCCTGAAGCTAGAATCTGTTCGGTCGGATGGAAGGCGAGGCAGGTGACTTCATCGACATGGTCGTACAGTGTTCGGATCACAGGGTGGTTCTCCATGTTTTGCTGTGCTGTCTCGTTCATCATCACCTGGATATTACAAAGCATAAAAAAAACTGTCTCTATAAGTCTGCATGACTCAAAAACAGTTGAAGCACTCCAACCTCAAATCTAACTCACCTCAATAGGCATAGCACTCTTGGCCAGCATGCGTTCAGTATCCAGGATCTTGATGGAAGCATCAGCGGAACCAGTGGCGATCAGCTGGCCATCACGGCTGTATGAAGCGACTCGGCATGGACCCTTATGTGATGTTACATAGCAGGTTTCATACTCTGAAGCCTCTGGAGACATGGTCTGGACATCTGCATCAAATTCCAGATCAATACCCACACCAGGGGCCACCGTATCCGACCGCCCAATAGCATACTGAACTGCACTGTCATCGTTCTCCATCCCTGTAAATAAGAAGGAAATAGTCCCTTTAAAATCTTGCACATACCCCCAAAAAAGCAGGAAAAAGGAAGCAACATTCTCCAGGGCTGGACCATCGTTATTTACAAGCATGGCTTCATAAAAGTAAGATAATCAAGGCTGAACAATTATAGCTGCTGTGTCATGTTTGTTTTGTTCTCTACAGTAAACAAAGTGCACCTTCCCTCTTTTCCTTCACAGGACAGCACCTCTCGAATTCAACACAAGGACTTAAAGGAGCTTGACAAAGCTTGGAAGCACAAAGTAAATGTGTCAACTGGGAACTTTAACATGTCGTGCTGCATAAATGGTCCAAAATTGTTGCAGATTGTGGTAAATATGTGGCGGAAGTGAGGGGGAAGTTCACTCAATATAAAGTATTGCACAGTTATTACTTTACACCATCCAGACTTCATAGTATGAAGTTGTTGAACAATAACCTGTGTTGGAAATGTAAAGACAGAAATAGGAACCTTCCTTCACTGTATGTGGGAATGTGGAATGGTTAAACCACTTTGGAAAAAGGTGTTGGAAATCCTGAGCAGATGGTCCGGTTCTGAGGTCCCTTTGAGCCCACTGTTGTGTTTGCTAGGGGACCGGTCACAAATGCCTAACATATCCGAACTTGCATTCTCTATTATTATTGTGAGTCTGCTTACAGTCTGTCGAGTTATCCTAAGACACTGAGAGGAAGCAAGGGCCCTAAATCTGAAAGAATGGGTTGATAAAATGGTAGAAATAGCATCTTATGAAAGTATGCTCATTAGAGTAAACGGTAACCGGGAAGAAGTGGTGACAACTCTCTGGGACAGCTTCTGGACCTTCATGGCAGTTGACAACAGGTCTGAACAGACAGCAGTCTCCCACATGTCTGTGTGATCCCGTAATATGTTTATGAGTTTTATGACGTGATGTGACAAAACTCTCTCTCCACTAGACTGTTTTTTTTTTTTTTCTGGATGTAAGCACCTATTTATTTTATTTCATGGGACTTGAATACTGAAGTCTACCTTCATATCGCAACATAATACAAATGTGCCAGATGTTTCTGTGATCTGGAAACAAAAGCTTGTGAAATATATGCCATGTACCGGGCCTGCAGCTGCAGGTGAAGAGACGAGAGCAGGGACATAAGCAGGAGGAGACAGCGGATAGGATTGTGTCTTTGAAAAGCCAAGGAACAGAGGGTCTCGATATGTGATGTTCACTGGAACTATGAGCCCAGGGTCTCGATATGGGTCATAAATACCTGTGCTCAGTGATTGTGAGCTTACCATCAATAAAAAGTACTGGTTATTTTACGTTTAGTGGAGCAATCCTGACTCTTACCTATCTTTGCCAGCTGCATCAGCTGCTCTGAGGGCGACACCACACTCTGAGGTTTGACCTCGTTGATGAGACTGTTGGCGATGTTGGTGTATCCATCGTAGAGGAGCTGGCTTATGATGAGCCTGTACAAGTGCTGTCGGTCCTTCAGTGTTGGTTTGGGACGAAACATGATGGGTCAGACTGACGAAGAGCGGGCTGTAGATAGTGACACCTGTAACAAAAGACACAATAGTGAGAGTAAGTTTAAATGCTACACTAACTTTAAGTAACGTTTGTGTTAGGATGAGTTTCTTTAACCAGTCATATTAGCCTTTAGAGTGTTGGAGCTGTGTCACTCAAATACCTCAGACACTTTAGTGTTAGATTGCTGAAGCCGGGGGCCTCCGACAACCATCCCTGACCGAGGAACCCTGTACACATCATTTACATCATGTAGGTCCCCAAAATATGTTTTGCTGTGGTATTTCCTTCTTGGGACCCTCCACATGTTCACCTAAGGCTTTTAAAAATATGTTGTCCTTTGTTTTTACCGTACATGGATTTCTCTTAGGGTCAACTAAATATCAACAGTATGTTTAGAGTTGTGGACCGCTATATATACTTGAACGGTCTCAGACCAATCTTTGTTACACTTGTGGCATGATGAAGCTGTAACCCAGATCTGCAACCAGTAAAGCTTGTCAAACTGACCATTCGTGTGGACCTTCCATTCTTTCAAGTGTGAACCTGGGCTAGGCATCCTTACAGTTCGTTTGACAAAATCACGGGAACTGTCAAAAGCTACAGCACAAAGCTGTTCTGCTAGCATTGCTAACTAACGTTTCAAACACACGATGTTACCTGCAACCAGCTGCAGAAAATGAATGGGATCTGAGCTTAGCAGGGCTGCTAACATTAGCTTTGTTGCTTTCTTGATACAGAACAAAATATAACTGTAGTTACACACATATCAAATTACCAGACAGGCTGTACATACCCAACAATGAACGCCAGACGAAACGGACCCGTATAATGCTACTATAACTTTATAAATGGTTATAATATTCAAAGTTAACCATCTGCAAACTTCTAAAGGCGCTTCTTGACCCAAACGTGCACTACGATGCACGTATTTGCGTCTTACGTCACAATAAGGACGCAGCACGCTTCGGCATGGATAAAATGCTACAGCGCTCTCGATACGGCAGAGCGCTGTAGCAGCCTGCTAAGCAACGTGCCTACGTGGCGGCCATCTTGGCGAGGGCAACGTTCCCATTAAAACATGAAATATACATGGAAAATAAATCCCTTGCTTAAGTCTCAACCTATTTCGCCGCGGTTTACTTTTTTTTCGATGCCCAAACGTGTGTTATTAATACAGAACATTAGATTTTTATTTTTTTAAAACAAATGCTCTGTATTGATAGCACGTTTTGGCGTTGGAAACAAAGTAAACTGCATGAAAATCGGTTGAGGTTTGTGCAAGATATGATTTATTTTAATCGTACATGCATTGCCTTTAATGGGAATGATGCCCCCGCCAAGATGGCTGACACATAGGCATGCAACTCAAAGAGGTATAGATTTCTATACGATGTCTATGGTTATGCCCAGTTTACATCCTTTTAGCCATCATTTCTTTGTTATTCTGTGTCCATACTCTCCATATACATATCAGACAGTTTTTCCCCTTCAAATATCTTTAATTTTTTTGCTGAAGAAAAAGAAGAAGAAATTATTATTTTTAAATATTTCATTTTTAATTTTATACTTAGAATACAATCACTCACAGACAACATGAAGAGCAAAGACAGACAGTTAGCAAACGTTTCTAACCTTATGTGTTTTACCGAGTTTTACACACGTACTGTATGGTTTTACATACCTACAAAGTATCAGATACATTTCTGATGTAAAACATTACTTCAGATTTGTAGACCTACACTTATAACCCAGCAGAGGGTGCACAAGTGCAGCATCTCAACCCAGCATACCGAACACAACACTACATACTGCATTACAGTATTCTCACATTCCTATAACTAACCCTTTTAGTGCCTTATCTAGTTTGGGACTTAATATTTACATTAAATATATAAAGTAGAAAGGCCCATATTTGTTTGAAGGTGAGAGGCTCCAAGTTTCTGATCACTCCAGCAGAGCTGTGTACACTGTCAATTTTGTAGAGGGTTCAGAAAGTACCTTTGGTGCTCACACTGCTCAGTGCTTGCTCAGTTAGAAATATATGTTATCTGTTGTGGTGCTAAAGACAAATGTGGGGCATGAGACTTTTGTTCTTTAGCTTCAGAAAAGGCGTAACTGAACATTCAAGTGGATAGAGGCCTCAAGCATTTAGCGCCCACCCACACACAGTCTCTCAGCTGCCACCTCCTGCAATGTGGTTCATCAGTTCAAATGCTGGCAAAAAGACTGAAATGTAGTAGGTCTATATCACATGCAGATGAATGGTACCCGAGCCTGTTGAGAGAAATAAGCCTTTTCCAAAGATACGTATATCATTTATCGTTTCAGGAGCACAAAGTCTAGCTAGGGAGCCATTCAAACTCTAATTAAGTAAGCTTGATGTTTCTCTGGGGTATCTTCAATCTTGGCCCTCTACTTAAAAAAAGTGTGTCTGTTGAAGAGTGTGGAGGCAGGCAACTTGTCATCAGACAATAAGGTACAATTTGAGAGGGTGGAAAGGATCTTCTTGCGTTAAGTGATTAAAGATGTGCTGAAGTTGTACTTCTGTATGAAGACAGAAGCTTTTACAGTAATGTTGAGACATATTCACAGACATCAAATTAGTTTCAGCCTCTTACAATCCAAATTTGTCTGATGGAACCACCCAACATTTCCAAGAATACAAAAACAGCTGCATTCACATTTCTTCACATCATTTAAAACCTATAATAAGTATTTGAGAGATGTGAAGAAATAACAACTGTGGGGTCAGGAGGTGTAGCTCCACACATTTTCTTAGTCTTTAGTCACTTTCAGCTGGGAAACTGGCTGTAACCTTGTATCCTGGAAACTATAGCAGCATTGCCAAAATATTATCTATTAGCTTCATCCTGTGGCTTCTCATTTTTCTAAATCAAATCCATTTAGGTTATTCATAATATATGCATACTGGGATTTTAAAATGTGTCATCCAAATCAGCCTTGAAACATGCAAAAATGCTTCCACCCTCCAGGACCACGAGCTGTCTGTGGATGGTATGAAACGTGTGTGGTAGGAGGTGTCTTGTTACCATGTCAACAGAAAGCATGCTCTCAGTAAGCCTGCAGTTGCCTTGGAGACCAGCTTGAGTCTCACAGTGAAATGAAATAAAAACTATTTGTTTTCTTTCAGCAGATGTCATATGATGATTGCACGCTCAATCCCACACAATGACATGCTGTTTGATAAGTGAATAAGAGTCTGGAAAACATCACTTATATCTGTGTGGTTAGCAATAGGAATATTCCTGTGGTTATCAAATGCTTGGATGAAAGAGAAAAATAGGTAATATGTCTGAAAATGAAACCACATGATCAGCCTGCGCTCAAATGTATGAAAGAGGTCGCACTGATCAAACGTCTCCACTCCGCACCTGCTCTTAGACTCATGGAGCATTTTAGCCTCTAGTAGTCCATTGTTTGTTTTGGTTCAGTCTCAGTTCTCTCATCAACACTGTTTCCAGCTGCAGAAGACAGATTCTTTCCACACTCACAGGACTAAAAAAGCATTGTAGCCAAAGAGAAGAAAAACAAAGCTATGAACTTAAGGATAGTCAATGAAGACCAAGATATTTCTAAAAGTGTTTGTTGCAGACCAAACCAGAGCAAAAAGAAAAGAAAAAAAAGTCAATACCAGTCAATACCAAGTCAAACATTTCTTAGGTGCTCAAAAACACCTTGTAACCAATGATCTGCTTAATGTGTGAGACAACAGCTATTTTCTAAGAGGCTGGCAGCAGTTTGGAAAGGTCATAAAATGTCAAGTTTGAGTATTCAGCTTCATGTGTAGTTTTTTTTAATGGGGCTTCAAAAATCTATGCCAGTGCAGTTATTGTTCTCATAAAGCCTGTAACATGAATATATATTTTCTAATGTTGTACCAGGTCAAATAAGGCAGACAGCAATTCAGGGTAAGGTTTAAGCTATTCCTCTCGGCATCTCCAGGAAGAAGCATATAAGGTCCAGAATGAGTCACAGGCTCTGGGATTACTCATGTGGCAGCATGAGGACATAAAGTGGGTGCATGTACGTAGTTTCTTTGCTACCATGAAGTGTCAAAAAGATTATCCATAGGACACGCTGGGTCAAAATGATGAAGAATCACCATGCAATGATAATCATATTTATCATTTTTTTTTGTAAATGTGGACTCAGATTGATGAATATGAAAAGTATCTGCTGCATTTGTCTTTCCATGCTGTTGTGTGCTGTCATAACAAGAAATAAGATTTATGTTCCCTGTACTCTTTTTAACAAGTTATGGAAACTGCTGCCAAAATGACCCATAAATCATTTTGAAAATCATCCTGAGTACATTTTTCTGTCCTGCACTCAATATCCACAATATTGCAGAACAATTAAAACAACTTAAGCCGAGACATTTGAATCTAAATGGGCGTCTTGTGTATTAGTTTTTGAAGAATGTGGGGTGTTAACTGATGTACCACTGCAAAATAATAATAACTGTCATGGGATGTAGTTGGAGGTGGGAAATTCACTCTATCTACTCACAACTCATCCATTTGTTCTCTGCCTGAGAGAGTGAGAGCAGTGCACGTGCAGCCAGGCGGCCACATCAACATTAGCTGTGCTGCACCCTTGTCTATGTGGGTGTATGAAATGCAGTGTGTGGGAGGAAGTAGGTAGGTGGGGGAGCGAGAATATAAGAGAGCCAGAAGTCAGGTACTGCATCAAACTGTTGATGGTAAAAGCAAGTCAGTCAGCCAGTGTGACTGCTGAAGGTAAGCCTGAATGTGTCACTGCACTTCCTCTGCCAAGCGGTCACTTTCACTTCTGCACAACACTTTGTAGCAGTCTTGAATTCTTCCATCTGTGCTCAGGGCCTGTCTGCTCTTAGCTTCTGATGATCACTAATCTAGTCTTTTTTTTTTTCCCAACTACTTCTTTGTTTGACAGCCACACACCCACCCAGCCAGCCTTTCTCCTCCTTCTCTCACTCTCCTCCTCTCTGCCTCACCACTTTCATAGTGCATCTTCTCTCTCATTTGCATGTGTTCCGCTTCCTCGTGACAACTAACAGTTCATGTCAAAGAGCTGTGCAAGAAAATCAGGTTGGAGAGGAGCACAGGACCTGAAGCATAAAGATTTGTGCAGGTATCCTGAACAACGTGCTGTTCAGTACAGGAGACTGCCTGAGGGGGATAACTGTTACTGAGTGAAGAGCAAAGCAGGGGGGTAAGTGACTTCTGACTTCTCTTTTCTGTGTTTTTTTCCTCCCCTTAACTGTTGCGCCTGAGTTTTGGCCTAGTTACAACACGTTCTGGTTTCCCGTGGTGGTATTCTTACCTTCACAGTTCAATGATATCACTAGCTTTTGTTTCCCCTTTTTAAACATTTAGTGTTTTACAGTCAGACCATTTTATTACTATTAAGATGAAAACAGTAGATGTGAAAATACAGGGTAATCTTCATGGGGATTGTTATTGAAAGCTGCATCATTAATATGTTCAAGTATTTTATTATGAAGTATTTATATTAAATGTATTTCACTGTTACTCCTCTGATAAGCTGTATAAGCAATAGCTTTGTTCATACCCAGTTCAGTTTAGTTATAAAAATGATATTTTTAATCTGAACTATCAATCCCTCCAAAAGATTTAACAGTCCACATGACAACAGCACTTTTTATAGAGCTGCAACGTGTGTAGCAATATGGCATTTTTACATAGCTGCAAGGAAGTGAGAGTGTAATACAGATTAAAAGTTTCTGTCACAAAGTTTTGAGTGGGTAAACTTTCAAATGACCATTGGGTGCAGACCCCTCTTTTTATTTCTTTGAAGACATCACCTGAATACAAATAGAAACAAACTTTACTCAGTTCACAGAACCACAAAAAGTCTAACGTAGGCGTGCTCATGCTGCATAGCTAACAAAGAGAGTGCTCTATGCCAACTGTACCTCTGTGGCTGATTTATGCAAAACCACAATACATGTCGAAGCACCATCACAGCAGCAGGAAATGATATTTGCCTGACTGAATATGAATCTTGTAGGTGGCTTTACACTTTGATTAGATTACTACGCACATGTAGCAGTCTGTCAAAAGACAAAGCCGCCCCGTACCCTGTGAACATCACTGCTACAGCATCTAATTGATGTCCGCTGATGACGGAGACAACAGCCAATGTCAGCAGACACGTTTCATTTGGGGAGATAAAAGCCTCTGCTGTGCTGTATGAGCACCTGATCTCATTCCCTCACCCCACTCCTACAGTGAGTCACTCTCCTACATCACCCCCTGTTTCTCCGTTTGTACTCAAACATTTCTCTCAGTGTTTTATCTCCACTGCCTACTGAACTTATCTAAATGTTGCACCACTTACTGTGGAAACCAAACGGCGCATATTCAGATGCTTCTAATCTTTCCTGTTTTCTAGGACTGTGGGTATTTTTGCTCATCGCTTTTACATATTGTAGTTCCCTGTGGTGCGGAAGACATCCTTGGATTCTATTACCCTGCAAAATCTAGACTGGATTAATTGCTTTATTGGCCATCTGTCCTAAAGAGAACTGCATATCTGTCTTCATTACATGATTTAGTATTTTTACTCATTGCCATGCTCTTTTCTCTCTTCCAGCTGGTGCAATCACAAAATATTTACCAAAAGGAAAAAGTCTCACTGTGTTCTTCAGGAGCAGGACCTGGAGACAAATCCACTTAGATAGACAGAGCTCCGTTTGATCCCAGGCAAAGCTAAGGTCTAATGCAAACTGTTCTTATCTTACAGGTAATTAGAGACCTGGCACTGGTACATCACGACAGCAGCAGTGTTACCATGGAGACTGGCAAGCCAGGATTGGCAAATACTCTTGTGCACAGCAACTCCGTCGCAGCACAGACAGAGAAAAGGATGGACACCCAGGCCCCACTGACGGCTGTTTACATCCACACCGGGGCTACTCTTCCAGCACAGCCTCACCCACAGCCTCCTGCAGCTACCCACTCGCCAGCCACACTCCATCTGGCAATGCCACCACTTTACTCCAAGGAGACGCTTCCTTTTCTGACATTCCATATTGCTGGTGGGTTGCAGGCTATGCCAGGATTAAGTTTGGCAGCTGCTGCTCCTGTAGTCAGACCCAAGTCGGCAGGAAAGCACATGTGCCCTCATTGTGGACGGGACTGTATGAAGCCCAGTGTGCTGGAGAAGCATCTCCGCTGCCACACCGGGGAGCGGCCCTACCCCTGCACCACATGTGGAGTTTCTTTTAAGACTCAAAGCAACCTCTACAAACACAGGAGAACTCAAGCTCACGCACGCCTCTCATCTGAATCGGAGCAGAGCAGCCTGAGCAGCCTGGACAGCATGTCTAGCTCAAGAGAAACCTGCACCTCCAGTCTGTCTCTGGAAGAGCGCAGCGAAGAGTCGGGAAGCTCTGAAAAGAAAGCCACACTATCTGCCGCCGAGGTCACCTGTTTAAGTGGAGCTGCAAAGGCCTCCTCAGAGCAGATGCAGGGCTCTGTCAGTGCGTTGAATGAACTGACTCCTGTAGGTCAGCCAACAGAACCAAATCAAAGTACAAAGGTAATAACAGAAGACCAGAAACAGCGGAGGGAAAATGAAAAACCTTCAGTGACTTCTAGTCGACATCTTCCTCTACAGAGACAGGAGGCAACTCTGTTCTCCAAGCAGTGGGAGAGCTCTGTATCCAGAGGGAAATCCCAGAGCCACGAAAGCACGGACTCAGGCTTCAGTGAGAGCAGTGACCACTACCCAAGTCCTGGCAGTGTCTTACCTGAACACAGCATGGATTCCCTCACAGAATCCACCAAGGAGCATCTTGAGGAAACCAGCTGCTCACAAACACTGCCAAAAGCCGACCAAAGTGGACAGGAACCTAATGATACCTCAAGATTGCAGGAGCAGAGGACGCTGGAGGAGCGCATTTCTAAGCTGATTTCAGAGAACTCAGCTGTTGTGGAGGACAAGCAGCTGGAGAATGTGAGGCCACGGAAAACAGTCCTGTCAAAGCAGGGCAGCATCGATCTCCCCATGCCGTACACGTATAAGGACTCCTTTCACTTTGACATGAGATTAAGTAAAACTCCTAACGTTGGATTACAAGGAAACAGAAACCATGGCCTATATAGCTCTGTGCCCACTCAGTGCTCCAACACCGTGGATCATGCTCCCTTGACCCGAAGCAACTCCCTCCCCTTCAGCGTGACGCTCCTCAAGCCTGAGAAGACCAGCCAAGCCTCCTCCTATCAGAGCGATTATGTAACTCTCATTCGGAGGGGAAGCTCTGGACAGATCAACCCAGCAGGTTTCGCAATCAGGCCTGTGAACCAGCAGTCATCCACCCACCGCCCACTGGTCCGGCAGGCTGCCGTAGACTGCAACCACGCAACAGACGGTCTCTTCATGAATTCCTCCATGGAGGAGGCCTACACCGGCAGTCTCAGCTGCGATGGGGATGGCGGTGACATTTGTGGCGAGCCAAGCAACAGAAAGTTCCGGAGGAAGAAAGCACAAAAGTTTGCCTACAATAAGTGGTACATGTACGGGGGAGGGACTTTTAAGAAGCTCTATAATGCTGAAAAAGGTGGGGATGAGAGTAAAGGCAGGAAATGCTTGGCACACCCAGAGCAGGAGGTCATTCAGGGCTTACAAAAAAGGCTGTCCACCGTTAACAGGGAGACGATTACAACAACAGACTCAACAGTAAACTTCACAAGTGCAACAGTTTGTCATCCAGGCTGCCCCCCTGCCAAAGTCTCCCTCGTCTCTGCTTTGGATTTTCATCAGAAAACCGGCAAACTTCCAACGTCGTGCAGTTCTCTTAAGACTCCCCTCCAGAGAAATCTGTCTTTGTCAGTTCTGCCTTTACCTCCAATTGGATCACTTGTTAGCCACAAGATAGACGGCATCAGCAGGGCAGAGGCCAAACATACTCATTCCCCCCCGCAGCTCTGTGGAGCCCATGCTCCCTCAGACAGGAAAAAACAGAAAACTGATGACAAAATCATTTGCCCTCTTGAGATGGGGACTGACCCAAACCCATTGAGTCATCCTCCTCCCCCTGCCACTGGCGGCACTCCTCAACAGGAAAGCAATCTTACTTATATAAGCTTTCAGCAAAATCAAAAACATACACAGCTCAAAGGAGTTCTCTTCCAGTCAGGCATAATCAATGCAAATACACCATCTGTTAGCACCTCGACAGCAACCTCCACCCACTCTCCTGCCAAGACCAGCTTTCTGCCCAAGTACCAGCTCAAGTTACCCAGTGCTGCAGAGCCTGATTCAAATCCTGCCCCACATGCTGTGGATAACCAAACACAAGCGGATGGCAAGAAATTCCCCACGGCGACATCGTCTTCTCAAGTAGAGCAGGAGATACACTTGGTCTCAACCCCTGGAAAGAAATGCAGCAATCCTGTTGCATCTGTGCAGAACTGTGACATGAAGACAGTTTTATCTTCTAACTCCTCACCAGGCCAACTAATCTTGCCTAGGTTAGCTACAAACCTTTGTCAAGCGGAGACATCAAGACTTGACAAACATGTGACGTCAAATGTAGCTGGAGTGCACAAGCAGTTTGCAGAAACTACGATAACCACAACTTGCAAACAAGATAATCAGGCCAGATTGTGCAGTACTTCAGCACAGTCTTCAAAACCCACAGGTGCATCAGAATCCATACATGTAACCAGAACTGCTCCACCAGTGCTTTCCAGTTCTCCAGTTACCGCTATAATAACCACAGCAAACAACCAGAAATCTCCGACTGTCATCACAGTCTTGCCTCAAGCTCGTCAGTCTAACCCCAACCCACCTCAATCACACGTACAGCCCCCTCCTGCGTCAGACCAGGCAGGCCTTGTAAACAGAGCCTTAGCTGCTGCACACACCCCGACGGTGCCATCTCAAATTGTGCCGCTTGACCAGATGCAGTCAGCTGCTCAGAATGTGTTTCATGTCCACACAGCAGATCTCCAGATTTGTCTCCAGATCATATCTGATGAGCAGTTGGCTCTCATTGAACCACAGATTGAGAGGCAAGTAAGTACCTTGGATGTGATTCAGAGTGGAGCGCATAGCTCTGTCAGAAAGGACCATCAACAACCAGAGTCTGGACAGGGATCAGAAAAGAGCAAGTCTTTACCCATGGATAACATAAATCCTCAACAATCTCTACAGTTTCAGCCAAAACTCCCTCTGACTGAGCAGAATAATTCTGCTCCGGCCGAAGTATCATCTGAATCAAAGCCTCTGAAAGCTCTAGACTCATCGCAACGCCCACTCAACTACATTCTTGTAAACACGATCACAGAGACTCAGACCTCCACAGACGGTGTTATGTCAACTGCAGCTTCACTTGTAGGTGTGAAGTCAGGAAGCAGCCAAACTTCAGAGAAGGAACACACTCTCTCCGTGAACCGATTCGCCGAGGAGCAACTTTTACCGGACACCAGGGTCAGCCATGGCGGACTAATCTCTCAACAATCCTGCGGCCAAAACAAACTCAGCGTGACCTCTTTTTCTCATAACATTGTAAAGCAGAAAAGCCTGACAAGTGGAATACTGGAAAAAGAAATTCAACACAAACTTATAAGTAGTGTAGGTACAACAAAAGCTAAGGACAGCAGGTTAGAAAGTGTTGAAAGCCAGCACCTTCCTCAGGCTGGGACCAGTCAGGCCTCCAGTAGTACAAGTCAACTCTTTGGTTCAGTTTCATCTTTTTCCATCAATAAATGCAAAAGCCCCACATCATTGAACACAACAGCATCCATCCACTGCAGTACTCCAGGGGAATCTACGTTAGCAGGGGCTGAGAGGCCATCTAAACACGCAACCCTGGGATGTGAAAGGGTGTTCCCCACTGAAGCCTCTGCCTCTTCACAGAAAATGAGCCTGACTGAGTCAAAGGATGTAATCAGCTCTGCCCACCTAAAAATACAGCTCGCTCAATTTTCTCCTAATACCAGGATGGAAACTCTCAAAGATGACCCAGCTGTGCATGGGAGTATCCAAAGCCCAGCTGAAGGTATGTGTGACCATATTTCTCTTCTTTAATGTTTATAGAAACTCACAGCAGAGTCTGACCTTGTCTTTCTCTTGGCTCTCTGCTCTCTGTTGATTTAAAGCATAGAGGGGAACTTTTGGTTTGGATTTTGGCAGTCCCCAGATTTTTAACAGTGTATTTCAACAACACAAAAATCTCAGCCAGCTTTTTTTTCTTTTTTTGTAAAACTAACTAAATCAACTTCCCAAGTTGGTTGTAATGGGTCAAGGGTCTTGAATTGTGACATAAATATATTTCAGGGAGAGAAAACTTAACTCTTATATTTAATAAACGTGCAAAGGCCATTGAAGAGATTTTTACTCATAACAAGTAATTTTTTTCTTGCATTTTTTTAAATTAAGGTGGTTATCTAGACTTGCTCTACGGATATATATATATATATATATATATATATAGTAAGGGGCCAAAAGTTTGGACACACCTTCTTATTCAATGTCTTTTCTTTATTTTTTATATGACTATTTACATTGTACATCATCACTGAAGGCATCAAAACTATGAATGAACACATATGGAACAGCAAAAGTTTGCAGCGCTACCAAAAAAGCAAAGGGTGGCTACTTTGAGGAATCTCAAATATAAAACATGTTTTCAGTTATTTCACAAATTTTTCTTAAGCACATGATTCCACATGTGTTCATTCATAGTTTTGATGCCTTTACTGAGAATCTACAATTTAAATAGTAATGAGAATAAAGAAAATGCATTGAATGAGAAGGTGTGTCCAAACTTTTGGCCTGTTCTATATATATACTGTATATATATATATACATTAAAGAGATTTTTACTCATAACAAGTAATATTCAAGATTCCAGCTTTTTATTATAGATTACTGCAGTATGTGAGAACATACACAGAAATCAAAAAGATATATCTCTCCAGCCCACGATGTAACATATCTAGAGGGTAATTTAAAAAATGTACAGAAAAGTTCAACAGAGAAGAATATACTACAGTAGGAGAGCAGTTTATGCATCTACCCTCGTATCTACGTCGTCGATGTATATATACACCCCTAAATGCGTCATACAAACACAAACCTAATTACCAGAAAAATGTTTCTGTCGTACATATTTACACATGACCTAAAGTGCAGGTCATGGTTAAACTGCTGTATTTCTTTGATGTTAAGGGCATGTAAACAGATAGCATTCATGTAACATTGGAGTTGTAGTGCAAAAAAGATCATACAGTGCAAAATACGGAACCAGCTGGGCTGGTCAGTGAAACAGCCACGTGTCTCCTCTCAGCTGATCATGTGGTTCACTGCTCATGTAAAGATTTTAGTCATATGGCTTTTGAAGACAGTCTGTTTGAGGCTCTAAGTGCTGAAGGTCACTGTACAATAATCAGTTTTTAACATCTTTAGTTTATATAAAGCTGATTAGTCAGGTTACTGAGGTGAATGAATATCGTGGTTATATTTTGTGTTATGTTGTGTATAATCAACATAAACACTGTTAGAATTATAATGTACACAACGCAACACAATGATGCATTCACTCTAAATAATCGACCTAATTCTGAGAGCAGAAACCAGATAACCATCAATTTAACCACTAGATGGCAGTCTAACTTCAAAAATCAGCAGAACTACAGCCTGTGCTGATGTAGTCAGGGTTTTGTCAAAAATAAACCAAATATGTAATTTTAGTTCAAAACAAAATAATTTGCTTGTAGCTACTTTAAAAAATCATTACTATTAAAATAAAATCTCTCCGAACACGTGGACTTCATTTTTCTTTTTCTTTGTTCTGGCCCCAGCCCACACTGTTTTTGTTTAAACAAAACTGTTTCATCCTGGTCTTAGCACACGACTCCAATTAACTCAAGTTGACTAAAGTCCAATTTAATTAAAGTTAAGGAAGCTCAATGAGGTCAGTCACTTGGTGATCCAGGGGAGCACAGACTGAACAGAAGAGCTGACCTTTACTGCCCTTTACTGCCCTTCTGGTTGAAGCAACCAGTCACATGTCTCAGTTCGTGGGGAGGACTCATTGCTGAGACTGCACTGCAGGCTCAAAGTAGAACTGAATATGTATTTACTTCAAATCCAATTGTCTTGCATATTAGTATCTCTTATAGCAGGGACATCCCTTAGCCCGTCTTAGGGGGAGTATTAAAGTGAGAATGATGGGAAACTCTAAGTGGATAGGACAGATGAGGAGGAGGAGTTCACTCAGCATTGTGCACCATGCAGAGTTTGCCAGACCAGCGAAAACAAATCTGAGAGCTCATTTATTTTTCACAAATACCTCTAATATTTAATCCTTTTCTTCACATTTTATCTTATTTATCTAAAAAATATTACTTCTCTACCAATAAAATATCACAATATTTCCTTTGGGTTGGTCCATGAGTTTGTGGTGCACGATCAACATGACTTTTTCCCGGTGGATTCTTTCCAATACTATATATCAGCGGGTTTTCCCAGTCGGACTTCATTTGAAATGTATAATTTCCTCCCTTGTTTTCAAGCAAATGAGTGAATGATAAGATTTGACATTGCTGATTTTCTATACTAAAGAAAATGTTTGTCTTCCTGAAGAGATTTTGGACAGAGCCTCTCTGACGGGATCTGCAGCTCAGGAGGAGCCGCTGTCACAGGGACATGGAGAGGTCTCTCCCAGCACAGACGAGGGGCCAAAGCAGAGGCACGAAGCTAAAGAGACCAACCAGCAGTGCCTAAGAGGGCAGGATGGAGAAGAGGTGGTGGAAGAGGATAAAAGTGGAGACATCAAGACGGATGAACAAGCAGACGAGCAGGGCGAGGCCGAGTCTGACTCCAGATACACGTGTTTACTAAATACAACAAAGCCAGAGGTGAGACTCAGTGGATTTCAAACAAATTAGAAAATACCTCTACAGTTCAGACATGACAATAAAGCACAGTCAGTGGCATGAATCAGACCTCCCTCCAATCCCATTTTTTACCACAAGAGTGAAACACTTTACAGCATTTAGAGAGTTAGAGAGGAGAGGAAGAACTTCCTTTTTAGACCTCAAGCTGAACCAGACTCATGTTAGACAGTCATCTGCTGAGACTGAGCTGGGTTTAAAGAGGGAGATGGAGAAAGAGAGAGATATGGACAGAGAGAGAGGAAAACAAACAAAAATGTGATTTAAGTGCAAAACATAATGGAATCAGTATGTGTAATATCTACAGGAACAGCATGGTGATAATAATAAGCTGATTCCAATTTAATTTAAGGCAAATTCCAGTCAAAAGATCCATAGTAGAAATAATATCATAGGTAATACTGAGGTCCAGGTAAATAATAGGGCTTGAAATTAGATTTATTGAAGCAGAAACAGTCAAAAAGTTCTAAAATTAACAACAACTTAATAATAGTGATAAAAATTGAGAAATTGATGCTCGTTGTTAAATCAGCTGGAAATCAGGCAGGTGCACAGCAGCAGGACATCTGCAGTATCGATTCAGTGGAACCCACAGAATAGAGTTTATGGACTCCCAGGAAAGACTGTGGTCAGGGACTCTAATTGGGCATGAAGATTCAAAGTCCATGACACAGACAGAAAGAGAATAAAGAGGAAAGTCCAAACCTAGAGCAGCATAAAAGCTTGTTTATGCTTGTCATACATATGAAAATGTACGCGTCAGTTTCAAACGATGGTACCGTCACTGCACACATACCTCCATCTGTCCTTTACATTGGCATGGATGTTAACCATTACATTCACCAGGGGGCAGACCGAGTCAAAAGTTTCTGACAAAAACAAACAAAAAGAAATATGGCGACTGTGGAGGAGCTAATGATAATGTATATTTTGAATAGGAGACAGAAACGAAGGCAGTGTTAGAGGAGGCGGTTGGTTGGTCAGGCCACTAAATACCTCATGGTTGGAGGACGGAGAATTCTTTTCTCTTGTAGTAGTCCACTGATGAGAGAAATTGAAAGCCCCGTTATTGTCTTCTTCATTTGTCAATGTCAATTTTATTTGTATAGCACATTTAAACAGCCAGTGGCCTACCAAAGTGCTTAACAAAAACAAAGCAGTAGGAATAAAAGCAAGTCATACACAACAAACAGCAGCAACAAAAGACATGTAACATATAAATGTAAATAAAAACAAATATGTAGCTAATACAAGTATCATACTCCGTCAAAAGCTAAGGTGAACAAGTTCGTCTCTCAAGTGTGTTTTTAAATGTTCCTGATTTTTATCAGTGAGTTCCAAATTTTCCTGCTGTAAAGCATTTTGGCTCAAACTTTGTTTATTTAAGTGCTCTATAAATAAAGTTGACTTGACTGGACTTCGCTCTAGAGATGCGTATTGGGTAGCGACAGCAGCAACACTGCCCCCATTGTTTCTGGTGGTACTGCTCTGTCTGGCTCGTATCAGTAAACCTCAAGGGTACGGACAAAAAGAATGTGAAGCACGGATCCATATGTAACGTTGAGCATAAATGAGCCTTTACTCTAACCACAAGCTTATCAAAAAGTAACTTGTAAGCCCACTTAATGCAGTTAGTGGCATCCATAATTTATAAGTATTAAAGAATAAACCTGAGTGCACCAGTGAAAACACTGATTCTATACATTTTTCTGCAGGGCCCCTCTTTGATGAAAATAGTGAAAACCTTCTCAGGTCTCTTCTGCCCCTCACCACACACAAAACCCTCTTTCATTTACACTTTTTTCAGAATTTATGTGAAGCATTGTCTGCAAAAACCCCAGAAACCTCTCAAACAGCATAATAATTCTGAATATTTGATTTATGGGCAGGCTGCTGTTGATAGAGGTGAAGCTGATCCGTCAGATCGGTGTTGTAGTTTAGTGGTTGTGATGTTTGGTGCAGATTCAAAGTCAGCCTTTTATTTATCTGGCAGTCCTTTCACAAAAGTTGGCCATGCTTTGAGCGCAGTGTAAACTGTAACAAATGTGTGAACTGTGCAACACTTTAGTATACTTTCCCCCTCTTGCATCATGGATGTAAGCCCCTTCTGAGAGTCCTGCAGAGTAAATGAAATAACACATGAAGACCAAATATAAGAAACACATAAATATTTACAACTTCGCTGCAGTTTTATTCATCCTGACCAATTACTCATCCTTTCTCCGCTCATTTTCTGTACACGTAAACATTAACACCGCCACACAGTGCACAGGCATTCGAGTTTTCAAACTGAGTTTTCCCAAAACAGACTCAAACGGTTCAGGATCCTTTCCAATTCAGCATTCCCTCTCAATACTTTCTGATTGTTATTCTCAGTTGCTCATAATCCCCATAAACCCTGACCGCCAGATCGACTCAGACTGCCCTGATCTGGGAATCGTGTGGGAGAAAGTTGCAGACCAAGGGTTGTTTTAACATCAAAGTGTTTATATCTTTTTTAATACTGCTTTAAGAAAAAAAAAAAAACCCTCAGTCATGTAAAAAATGTACCAACAAGCCACACAGAGAGACAAGACAGATTGAAATTGTACCGGTCTGTGTTGACACATGTGATCTGCAGCTCGCTTTGGAGCCAAGCAGCTGACAGCAGTTACTTCATCATAAGTCTCTTTCAGTTCAGAATTTATGTAGACATTTCAGACTTGAGGTTTATAGAGAAAAGCAGAACGACTGCGTGGGTGATTCCTCTATACTCCTTTTCTCAGAGATATGACGCTTTGTGGTATTTGAGCAATGCGAGAAGCCAATGAGAACCTGTAACAGAGGGATGACAGTGACTGAATTCTTGGCATGGTATGGCAGTAATATTCATCCCTTATACTCTGCTTTTATTAACAGGGAGGCGACAGAAAGACTGCGGTGGATTCTTTCAGAAACTCTTTGCTACCTGTGCAGCATCTCCAGGATCTTTCCCAGACACACTCAGGAATGTCTGAATACCCTTCACAGTGCCCACAGCCAGCTTCAAGGATTTCAGATGACTTTAATTCCCCTGCCAGCAGTAGTCAAACGAGACTTTACAATTATGGACAGCTCCCATTGGAAAACAACAACTTCTATTTCTCACAACAACACTGGGACAGCAGTGCCACCCATGAGCAACAACCTCAGAGCTTATGTCAGGCAGAGTCAAGTCAACAAATCAAATCGAAAGAAACACAGAATGCCTTTTCACAAATTGAGTCACATGCACCTCAGACTCAAAGATTTGCACTCCAAGACCAAAAACAGACCAACATTATTCCACCTGTTCGGCAAGAAAATACCACTGCAGCTAATAACATCACACAGGTAAGCTGTAAGGCATCTTCAAAGAAGCAGAAAAGTCTCTTATCTGATGTCAAAACATCCTCCACACAACCCAGCCAGGCATCTTTTTCTGCTCATGTCACCAGAGCTGGATTGACGATGGACCACCAGACAAACAACCCTTTGCTGGATGTTAATCCTGTACAATCTGTAACATACCCAGACCCTGAGGATAAGGTATTAAATGACTACATAAGCCAGAGCAGTGACTGTGAGCGGGTTGACAATAACAACAAATTTCAGTCCTTTTTCTTGACTGGACAGCTTCATGGCTACCAGCCAACTGAGTATTTGAGCGGCGGAGTGAGACCAGTCCAGAGCTGCCAGGAGTATACAGAGGACACCAGCAGCAGTGATGATGAAGGGAAGCTCATCATCGAGCTTTGAGCAAACACAAAATACCATTTAGAGATTTTTTACTGCTGTATAAAAGTGTTAAAGGCGGATATCCTCTGGAGGCAGAAATAACATCAGTGTCTGAGTTGAGTGGATGGGCAGAGATTTCAGTGTATAAAAGCTCCAATATAAACAAGAAATAAATAGCATTATCAGTGTTGAATTAACCAGACACAGCCTACACTCGGTTTCATTTTCTCGACTAAAATACTGTTAAACCGTGGTACACTACAAAATGCTGTCTGCCCGTTTACATCTGGATAGTGGAGCACTTTAACAGGCTACAGCCCTGACCGGCACCTCAGGGATATGAGGCTCAAAATCACGTCCAAACGACGAGTTATTTCGATGCCAATTAGGGAGGGTGATGAGGTTTTAGTCAACTGAAACATACATAGTAAGCAAATTAGTCATTCAGCTGTGATTAACGTGGGAACTCTGAGGTTGAAATAATCAAAGGTAATTTCATCATTATGAGCCAACTTTGTTAGAGTAAGACATTCGGAGACATGTCCTTCAGGCTAAAACCCCCAAGCATGCATTTGAAATCTGAATTTATGAATTTTAAAACAGTGTGTTTTTATTTTTCCATGTGAGTCATCTCAAAAGATAAACATGGCCAGTGATTTACTAAGGGAGCTACTAACAGTAGCCATGTTTACATGGGCAGAGATAATTGGAATTAAGGCCCCATTTGAAATAAGAATGCGTCATGTAAACGTTGATCAGAAGATTCTGATCAAATTCGGCTCAATCGGAAAGAAATTGTATTCTGATCGAGAGGGGTGGTTTGTGCCGATCATTATTACGAAACGCGTCCATGTAAACACCGATCGTGACTCTCTAACCTGACTCTGTCTTTACTATTTATTTATTGAGGTCGGTACAGGAGGTTTCTAATTAACACTCTAGCATAAAACACAACCGCAAGTGCCATGCCTGCTCTTCCGGTTACATAAAAAGACGAACATACAGCGTAATGATGTCACATCTGCACGCACAGAGCAACCTTTACCAGGACAGTAGAATAAGTAAGCAAGGGCGCCATCTAGTGACAACATTTAACAGGTGGGAACATCCTGAATTGGATGGAGTGAGCCACTACTGCGTTTGTTGGTTTGTTGACAGCACAGGCGTAAATACAATTCTTCTTCTTCATGATCGGATAATTTGATTTTGCACCCATTAAAACAGTAGATTCAGATTATCTGATCCCTCAAAATTTTAACCAGATCAAGAAATTTTGCCCATGTAAATATGGCTGCTGTAGACCATATAGCTCGAGTATCTTCTCACCCACACTCTTTGATCTCACATAAAATGCCCCGTTTTAAATGAATTCTGTCCAGTGCTCAGTGACCGTTTTGATTTTACTGATACAAAAACTCGAAATCTAAGGCAGAGTTAGAGTGAACAGCACGGCTTATTTTGCTGTCAGCAGTCAGTGTCTTACTCATAAGTGGCTCCCTCCTATTTGACCTTGTCTTTTTTTATGCTAACTTTGAAGAGTGTTTACAGACACAGTGTGACTCCTGCTATTTAACACAGCCAGTGAGATTACTTCTGCCCCAGAAATGCTGTAGTATTTCCGTTCTGCTTACACATGCTTTATTTGCCAAATTCACGTCTCCGACGCTCACTCTCTCTTATAAATTGCACTTTGTAACCTCTCCAGACAGCACCTGTGAGTATGAATCATGTGCACATGCTGCCAAGTTGATCCCTGTTGCCAATCAGATCCCACAGGTGAAGCAGGCACAGGCTGGAGGGACATGACCCTGTTCTAAGTCTGGCTTTTTGTAATGACTCATCAGCTCTGGCAAAGACCACAACAACAGGAAATGTGTGTATGTGACCCTATATGTACATATCCACAGCTATAACTCAAGCTGACTTGCTTGTCAATCCTCAGCAAATAAGCGGTTATAAAACTTTTTGGATTTGAGGGGTGGATGTGTGAAGAGTTCATCTGTTGAGGCCTGTCTGACATGTTAGATAAGTTAATACAATGTTTGACTCAGGGGAAGAGTAATGGCACGACGATGTAAGTTGATTACACTGAACAATTAAAAGTTGATTTATTATACAAGTATGAATTAATTTAATTGATGTGTTTCCCATTTTCTAAATTTTATATCATTGCGATATTAAACATGTCCAAATAACTGGCTAAACAAATGAGTCCTACTTTTGTTGCATTGAGCTTTGTGTTTCAAACCATTTAAACAAGGAAAATCAAACTTTAAACAAAAAAATATATTAGTTTTCTGGGTAAACCGCTCCATCTTTTGACGAACAATATAGCACTTTTTCTAAAAAGTATTTTTGTGTGATTTTTTTTACCTTTTATTGACAAGACAGGGTGAAATGTGGGGAGACAGACAGAGAGGGGAGGACATGCAGCACATGGTCGGGGCCAGGTGCAGGGACGCGCTAACCCGCTCGGCCGCATCGGCCACATGGAAACTCATGATTCTTCCACAGAGGTTTTAAAGTTTATCCACCATGTTGCCATTTCTAAGAAACTGCAATAAATATAATGTTTTCCCCTAACATAGTTCAAACACAAATCAAAAGAGCCTCAACATTACCAGACTCTGAGCAGTTAAGTCTGTGTAAGGTCTTGCAGAGCCCTCAGCCTTTTTGCTGTCCGCTGTCGGACAGGTAAACCAAAAAGGTCACGGGGTTGAAAGATGCCCTCCAGTATGATGGATGCTGCCTTGTTAAATTGCTGTCCTGAGGAATTTCCTGTCCACTGTGTATTCCCTATGAAGGCAAATGCTGAGTTTTATTACATCTATATTTCTCTTTGATTTATTAAAAACAGGTTTTGGAGTACGTAATGGGGAGAACATTCACTTTCACTGCTATTGCACTGAGATTTAGGACTGAGGGTGTGTTCTAACTGACCAATCCCCCTACATGTATATCTTAGAGAGAGCTCATATTGGCCGAACTCTGACACTTAAGCCAAGTTTTTGAAAAACAGGAAAGGAAAGCCCCAGATAATTCCCCAGAGCCCTATTCACATGAACACAGACCCCCAGAAAACCTCCCAAAATTACATCAGTGGGCTGCATGCATGACACAAACAGCTGATTTTTTTTCCCTCCAACTTTACCCTGAAGTTTTGGGGTTAGCTCATGTAGCAAGATATCTCCAGGAATATTCATCGCCTTTATATCACACAGCCAGTGATCCTTCTAGTCAAGAAACGGTACAAATCAATTGCAAAGGCTGCAAATTCTCACTTTAATTAATTTATTTTTTGCTCACAAAGAGAGTGTACTATCAGAATAAGGTGAGAACGAAACCTCAATTAAAGGGATATCGCAGCATAAATTTAAGTTATGGTCAAACACACCGTAACACCGAGTTAGAGATGAATGTTGCCGACTGCTTGCTTCTGTAGTTATACCAACTTTAGTAAGGACCACATGATAGCAGTACACAGTGATCTACGTCTCCACGCGCAAGCCTCAACCACTTTAGCTTTGCCTGATTTCTTTAGCAAAGAGACCAAACACAACTCATCCACTCTCCTCCAGCAGCCCCTTGTTTTTGGGGGAGTCCTAATGAGTCGATCACTGAGTGCAGCGGAGTTTCGCAGCTCAAGGAAAAACATTTATAATTATTACTCCATTGAAATGCAATCAGACCGAGATGCTAAGGCAGAAGGACTACCACATCTGCAGTGCAGAATGATTAATATGATGATTATTACTTCAAGGAAACGATCTGCTGCACTTGGTGATCGAGTCATGAGGGCTCTCCCACAAACAAGCGGCTGCTGGAAGAGAGTGGGTGAGTTGCGTTTGGTCTCTTTGCTAAAGAAATCAGGCAAAGCTAAAAAGATGTTTGATGGCTAGTACTATGGCTGGAACCCTATATGTACTGTTGATGAAGTTAGCTTCTGTTCTGAGCATTATTTGTGGTTATAGAGTGGCTCTTTGGTTGAGGTTTGCACATGGAGATGTAGACCGCTGTTGACTCCTGTTGTAGACCTGATACTAATATCCTTAATAAATAATGTCTCTGGTACAGAAAATAACACCAGAATGCTTTCCACTTGCACTGTTGGTGTAAATGGAGCACTTATTTATACAGTATACTGGAGAAGTCTCTGCCTGTGCAGAGCAGCTTGATAATTGGCCAACACGGTTCAATAGAAATTATTGTGCACCCACAAGGGCAAAACACGACAAGATAAAAAAAAATAAGTGAGACAGTCTTTTAGTCACTTTCGCCCTACAGTATATTCTTGTTCAGTCATTTGTTCATACTGTGGTTAATTCAGTTACTTGTACACTGAGATTGTGTAATCAGTGGTCTGCCATCTTTTTTTTTGTACATCAACTGTAATGGACTTGGGCATGATTGCCCACCCCTGGACTTGGGGCTGAAACCATCCCTCTATGGCTTAGAGCAGGGCTGGGCAATCATGTGCCATGGAGGGCCGAGAGGCTGCAGGTTTTCTTTCCAACCCAAAACTCCACCAGGTAATTTCACTGAGTACCTTACCTCCAAGCAGAGAGCAGAGACTAATCAGTGAAATCACCTGGTGGAGTTTTGAGTTGGAAAGAAAACCTGCAGCCTCTTGGCCCTCCATGGCACATGATTGCCCACCCCTGGCTTGGAGGGACCCTGAGTTAACTTATTGGTCTTAGCCTTTGATTATATCCAGACAGTGCAACTCACTGTGTTTCTGTAACATGCATGAAAATACAACGATCAGACTTATTCTTATACGCCCGATAACATGCATTCACCAGACACAATTAAAAGTGACCTATAAATTTGATCAAAATCTTTTAATTCGTATAAAAAATCTTTTCATGATCATGCAGAAACACAGCAGGTTAGTACCAACCTGCTGCACTGCCTGAGGTAGGAGACCCTTGATAATACAATCATGTACTATATGTGTGTTTCTAGACCTTTGGAGATAAGACTATCTTAACACTTTGCTGTATGTTATTATTTGCTATTTTAATGCATGTTTCACTGTGTTTTATCCTGTGAATGATGGGAGGAAGAAAAGAAAAGATAATACATGATTTCTGCAGTGAAGATGCTAGGAAGAGACAATCTATAACTATCACTGACAGGTGGATGTAAAAGAAGCTTCAGAGATGGTTGTTATTCAGATTTGTAAGTTTGAAACCAAGGTCAGAGCAGGATCAACAGGAGGAAAAGTTACACAATGTCCACCTGCATATTTTCACATCCTGATAAGAGTCTGTGGTCACGTGGTCTCATTGACCAATATTCTTAACACGTGTTTGACCAGTATTTGCAAAAATTAACAATTGGGTAACAAGTGAAGCAGAGCAAAGAGAAACAAACTGATAAGTTTGTGCCATTTAGAAAGTACAGATCTTTTGGATACCCACAATGAACATGGAGACAGGCTACCATTACGAAGTCCAAGGTTTTAAAGATAAGATAAGATAAGATAAACCTTTATTCATCCCATGGTGGTAACAATTGCAGTGTTGACAGCAGAAAAAGATCAGCAAAGCAAACATAGAAGACTCATCAAGCACACAGATAATCAAAACAAAAAAGTTAACCTAGACCTATACAAAAATGTTTTTTAAAAAAGAGAGCAAATGTAAGCAACAAATAAAACTGTTTTGAATCAAATCAAACAACAAAACAAAAAAGGACGTGTCATTGCACGTTGTTTCAGTTATTAAACCTGAGAAAAATGTGGGTATTGGCAAGTCTAATAAATATTTAGGCAGTCAATATTGCTCATTGAGGTAGCATTGAGTTATTGTCCATACGTTGTGCTAAAAAATCTGGACCATTGAGAGCAGATCTGGTCAAACAGTCTGATTCATTGACTGTATATAGAATGGACAGAGTCTGCCTCCTCGATGGGTGAAGCCACTCCGAGAACAGCACCCTCTGTTGATGGGCTGCAGTATAGGTCATAAATCCCGCCTCCGCCAGCAGAGCTTATGGGGCTGTGGACAAACTTTAGAAATTTATTACACAGAACATACATTTTTCTTCCCCCTGCTTGTGGTGTTGACATGTAGTTACTGTAAGACTGGTTTGTGCTCAAGTCCTCTTTTTTCTGTACAGCTCAGTTTTTAAAAGTTATTAGGGGGTTCGTGTTTTCTTTGATTGACACCTGATACAGCCTATTGGCGTTCAGGGATTGCGTAGCTCACCCGGGGGATACGCTGTTTGAGCCGAGCATCATCAAAGCGACTCTTGGCAACTCTCCTGCCGAATGCGCACAACGCTACTGCGCAGTGCTGGTTTCAAGGAAGTGGAGAAAAATCCTGGAAATACAGAGAGCTTTTTGACTTCAAATCCGTATACAGGCGGAACCAAGTTTTCCATAGTATATACAGTCTATGGTCTGATTGCAGCAGGATAGAAGGACTTTTAGTATCTCTCCGTCACACACTGTGGGTAAACAAGCCTGTAACTGTAACTGTTACAGTGCTCTGCAGTAGTTTCAAGGGGAAACATTGTTTATGAGCGTCCACAGCTTAGCCATCATCCTCCTGTCCCCCACCACCCTTACAGGGTCTTCCTCACCAGTTTGTTTAGACTGTATCTGCAGTCATGATGCTGCTGCTCCTGCAGACTGCCTCATAGAAGATGGCTGAGGCCACCACAGAGTCATTGAAGGACTGCTGCTGACACCAGTCCATAATGTTCTGGTTCAGTTCTCTGTACTCCCTCTTGTCATCATGAGGCCAACAATGGGGGAGTCGTCTGAGAACCTTTGCAGGTGGCAGCTTGTTGTGTGGTGAGTGAAGTCTGCAGTGTACAGGGTAAAAAGGAAGGGAGCCAAAACTGTCTCCCTGGGCCCTGCAGACAACAGTATCAGACACTTTCATGGGCCCTCACAAATTGTGACCTACGTCAGTCTGAAATCTAGCAGCCAGGATGTATGTGGTGTCCACTCCTTTGTGCTTCAGCTCATCCCTCAGAACCACAGGCTGTATGGTGTTGAAGGCATAGAGAAATCATAGAACATGATCCTCCCACTCCTGAGAGAAAAAAAATAGTTTTTCAGATCTCTGATACATACAGCTTAGGGTGTGGGGGTCTCCCCCAAGGAAATTTTGAGTGCATACTTATGCAAAATTTAGTGGTGAAAGTCCAATTTGTGAGACGATAGCTTAGTCGTCATCCTCCTGTCTTCCATCTTTCTTGTGAAAGAAAACCACAAAAGTTTACAAGTTCACATTCTGGTAAGATTTGATCAAGCATTTCATTTTAAGAACGAGTGTAAATCAGACGATAGTTTTAACTTAAGAGTGGATACCAAACTTCATCATTAGGGAAGACAACAAACTTGAAATTTTCTCACGAGACATGCAGCTTAAACAACGGCTGAAATAATGGTGTTGTAATCCACCAGAGTGAGAAACACAAGGCTTTTTTTTTGGTCTGAAAATCATGTAAAGCTGTTACAGAAGTATCATCGAGAAAGTGCCAGCGCGGCCGTTTTAACAGACATAACAACACTACTCGCATTGGAATGAATGGAATTAGATGCTGTTCGGTTTTAAAAAAACAACTATTTATTAACTGACTACACAGTAAACAAAGAATGGAATGGAGAGAGCAAAACTTGGACTCAACATACCGTACAGGGACAAGCTGAGCAATGAAGAAGGAGAGCGTTACCTTAGCAAAATTGCGGACATTGCTGGACTTGACCCATGTGAAAAAACTGTACGGCCAGAAGATGAATTTGAGATGCTACCACCACTTAATCAAGGGTTTTGGGATCTAAAATTGTATTGGCTATAAATAGGTGCAAGGTTTAAGTATGGGAAACATTTCAAAGATTTGTAGTTTATAGAAAGGATACGGGTAAATGGTGTATTTTAAACGGTGTGCAGGTTATTATGGTCACAGAGTATTTAAGGCGCCTTTTAACATCCGTCTGTGATGCTGGTCAGACCTCCTGCCTGTAACCTGTTCCTGGTCTTACCCCTAAAATAAATCTTAAATGTTTGGTGCACCCCAGCAACTGGCTGACTTCAGTTCATTTATGGGTACTGCAACATCCAGCCGCTCACAAGGGTTGTTCTTACAATAACCAGTCTGTGTTTTCTCTTTGTTGTTGGAAAGCAGAAAAAACAGTTTTTCCAAAACTTTTCCTCAACATGTTTCCCTCTCCTGTTATAGCACTTGTGAACGCAGCAAATATCCACCATTGTAAGTTGATAACTTAGAGCAAAAATGAACTGGAAAGAATCACTATTGATAGTTCCTTCATGCCAAAATGGCAGCGGCAAATGTTGACGCCCTTTTATCAGATTGTGGTTTGCCCTATAAGGGCAGCTTTGGGTTTAAAATACTGATAATACATTGGTTGGGG